TAATTTTTGTGCTAAAAATATTAATGATGTTGAAATATTAATATACAGCTATGCATTTTATCAGTTAATTTCAATAAAACGTTACTATCAACTAAAACATTTTTGGGAATTTTCACGGTCGTTAAGGTGATCTGATTGAGAAATATCTGGTTTCTTTGTGCGGTACGAAGCTGGACATGTTTCATGTTAATTTGTTTGCCTGGTGGTTCCAGTGTTGTTGTTATTGTTCTCATCTGAGAACGTGACTTACTTTGATGAAGCAGAAGACGCTTACACTTTTGGAATGGCTGGTTTCATTCCATTCATTTACTTACAGTATTTGTGGCATGTTCCACATGATTTTTTGTTTAACTGTCGATGATTGGTGTACGCCGTACCCAGTCCAAAACCCAGTTCATGATTATGATAAACAATTGATATCTCAAAGACTGAAAAATCAAAATGAAATTTCAATTTTTCTTTCAAAAAATCTGTTGCGAAATTTTGAAAATTTGACACATGAATTCATTACAGTGTCTTTATTTTCGTAATCAATTTCCATTTTTCGAGGGGAGACAACCGTGACATGGTAGTGAATTCATTCGAAACATATTTTTAAATTTCAAGGTAGATTTTTAAAGAAAAATTTGAAATTAATTAGGTTTTTCGTTCATATATATGGACCGTCGCTTGAGATTCGTGCCAAGTAATTGTACTACATCTTGATGGAATATTTTTCAATATCTTTACTTGTTTTGAATAGTGTTTCAAATTTAAGAAACGCATGAATTACAACTTCCAGCTATTTAACAATAACAAAACAAACAGCAACTTTAAAAAAAAATTCTCTGAGCTCATCAAAACCTATATTACAAGGTTATGTCTCTTAGCTCATCAAAACCTGTATCAAAAGGTTATATCACTGAGCTCACCAAAACCTGTATCAAAAGGTTATGTCTCTGAACTCATCAAAACCTGTATCAAAAGGTTATATCACTGAGCTCATCAAAACCTGTATCAAAAGGTTATATCACTGAGCTCACCAAAACCTGTATCAAAAGGTTATGACTCTGAACTCATCAAAACCTGTATCAAAAGGTTATATCACTGAGCTCACCCAAACCTGTATCAAAAGGTTATGTCTCTGAGCTCATCAAAACCTGTATCAAAAGGTTATATCACTGAGCTCACCAAAACCTGTATCAAAAGGTTATATCACTGAACTCGTCAAAACCTGTATCAAAAGGTTATATCACTGAGCTCATCAAAACCTGTATCAAAAGGTTATATCACTGAGCTCACCAAAACCTGTATCAAAAGGTTATGACTCTGAACTCATCAAAGGCCTTACCTGTATTAACCTGTATCAAAAGGTTATATCACTGAGCTCACCAAAACCTGTATCAAAAGGTTATGTCTCTGAACTCATCAAAACCTGTATCAAAAGGTTATATCACTGAGCTCATCAAAACCTGTATTACAATGTTATGTCTCTGAGCTCATCAAAACCTATATTACAAGGTCTTATCTCTGAGCTCATCAAAACTTATATTACAAGGTTATGTCTCTGAGCTCATCAAAACCTGTATTACAATGTTATGTCTCTGAGCTCATCAAACCCTATATTACAAGGTCTTATCTCTGAGCTCATCAAAACCTGTATTACAATGTTATGCATCTGATCTCATCAAAACCTATATTACAAGGTCTTATCTCTGAGCTCATCAAAACCTATATTATAAGGCCTTATCTCTGAGCTTATCAAAACCTATATGATAAGGTCTTATCTCTGAGCTCATCAAAGCAATGTTATCTCTGAGCTCATCAAAACCTATATTACAAGGTCTTATCTCTGAGCTCATCAAAACCTATATTACAAGGTCTTATCTCTGAGCTCATCAAAACCTGTATTACAAGGTCTTATCTCTGAGCTCAACAAAACCTATATTACAAGGTCTTATCTCTGAGCTCATCAAAACCTATATTACAAGTTTTTGTTTCTGAGCTCATCAAAACCTGTATTACAAAGTTATATCTCTTACCTCATCAAAACCATGATTACAAGTTTATGTCTCTGAGCTCATCAAAACCTATATTACAAGGTCTTATCTCTGAGCTCATCAAAACCTGTATTACAATGTTATGCATCTGATCTCATCAAAACCTATATTACAAGGTCTTATCTCTGAGCTCATCAAAACCTATATTACAAGGCCTTATCTCTGAGCTCATCAAAACCTATATGATAAGGTCTTATCTCTGAGCTCATCAAAACTTGTATTACAATGTTATGCATCTGATCTCATCAAAACCTATATTACAAGGTCTTATCTACATCAAAACCTATATGGGTCTTATCAAAACCTACGTTACAAAGAAACTTCCACGAGATCCTAAAATGCTATGTTAGATGGTTATGTTTCCGAGATCGACGATGCGACGATGTTGTTTCTGGGCTCATCACAAATCATAATAGTAAGTAAGTGTCTAAATATCATGACGATTCTACATTTCTGAACTCATCGAAAGTAATATGACGACGGTATATTTCTGAACTCGAGATCGTCAGAGACCCTGACAATTAGAATGATGATCAAGTGATGTTTTTAATAATGTAACGATTTACATTCTGAGCTCGTCAGAATTGAGCTCGTCTGAAATAATGTGACAAGGTGGTAGGCCAGAAATAATGTAACGATTTATGTTCTGAGCTCGTCTGAAATAATGTGACAAGGTTATGTTTCTGAGGTCGTCAGAAAGCAACTCGTCTGAAATGATAAACCGGTATAGCACGCCACAAATAATTGGACGACATTTTGTCTCTTAGCTCGTCAAAACCAATAAAAGTAAACAATGTGACATGGCTATTCCTCCTACACACGTGTCCATTCACCTTATACGGTCGGCTTTACTGTGAATAACCACACACACTTCTCTATCATTGTCATACTCCCACCATTTCTTGGCTGGTGCCAAGTAAAACACTCGTCTGTTCCTTACGGTGACCTTGTGACCTAAACTAGTTAATTGCGGAACTATCACTAAAAAATCCGATGCGGTATGTACTTTTAATTTTTCAAGGAATTGCGCATCAATCGGAACTTAGGTTATGAAAAACGGACTTGGACCTGTCACCATTTAGATGGGTATTGTTAATTGAAAACCGTTAAAATCTCGACTCAATCGATTTCCTGATGGAAAAGGGTTCGCGATGGGGTGATTTACTATTGTATTCGAGACTAAGCTACAAAGCCATTGTAATTGAAATGTTAACGTAACAGCAACCGTTTTCTCTGGTGGTATATCGAATTTGCTGTCTTTGTATTCAATCAAAACACGACATTGCTACCCGCAGACGGCCTAGTATGTTCCTCCCTACGTACCCTCATTGATAGTCTCCATATCACTGTTGATCGGGGGAAATAAATCGCCTAATTCCGCGAGCTTCTGACAATTGAACTGCACGCGGCCTAACGGCCTCGCGCTTTAAATCGGGTTGATTTGAAAACGAGCTTGATTCGAGATGAGATAATAGTTTTTTTCACTTATTTTTCAGCAGTCATTTCAATGTTTAAACCGACACGTCACGACATCAGGCTTAATGTTGACAGAAGTACATGTGCTCGGGGATAGGGCCGCCGACCGTGCGGTGTGAAGGCTGTACGCGCCACAAGTGCACGTGAAGGTGACGACCTAGCCACGTCGTGCCCATAAATAATGACACTCACAACACAGTCATTAACCCTGGCGGTAATTAAGGTCGAAAGGGGCCAGCACTTTTATACAGAAGCCAGATTATCACTAACTTGTGGATAGATTCTTACGAAAATCTTTTTTATTTTTATTTCAAATATTATATTTAAAACTTCAAATATTACTGCATGGTTTATTGGTTTAAAATGGTTTTTTTTCCAGCGGTGCGATAAATTATCTATTGTGAAACGTAACATACTAGTAAAGCAACGTTTGTTGCGAGGAGTGATTTGTTTTTAGTTGTATGTATACGGGAGAAGACTTTGACAAGAAAATGAAACATTGAAATGAGACAGTAGAAAAGACGTTAATTTCACTCATGATATTATACCGTGACACAATAGGATTCTAATTAACTAGCAAAAGGCATAGAAGCAAAGTTTTTTTCGGAAAATTCTTAGTTGAGCAATTAGCCTCGCGAACATTCAGACTCTACTCGTGAGCACAGGGATTTGGCACGAATTCCCGACCCACGGTCAGCATACATTTAGTGACTATAATACATAACTATTGACCGTGGGTCAAGAATTCATGCCTAGGTCTGTGTTGGTGAGACTTGTTACAGTAGGATCCAAACTAAACGATGCGTGGCCATGAAATAATATTTACCAATAACCAGAAAAAACAACGAAGCATCAGGAAAAGATAACTCGCACATAAAGTTATTGTAACTTAGGAACAAAAATGTCATCCATAGGTAGGCGATCTAATATGACAGGACAAGCAAGATAATTTACGCTGTTAAATCAAAAACTTACTGTAATGATCGGAAACCAGATATGTACCACATACGTACTGGAATAACAGCAGCATGCGGCAAGTGGCAAAGGATTACACGACTGTTGCTATACCTCCGGTTCAGTGTTATATTTCAGATTGTAAACAGACGGAATCCAACCTCGACATCTGTATGATGGCTGTTGCTTAAGTAAATAACACTTGTTCTATATCTCAAATAGACAGATGAGTTTACATACAGAAACATTACACAAACAGAAAGATTTGATATTTTCGCTAAAAAAAACACAAAGTAACTAAAGACGTTGTTGAAGAAATTACTATTTCTTAATCAACTCATTTTCATATGCAAAACAAAGCAAAGTGACAGTGTTTATAAACAAGGCCCAGTTACATAAACATTCCTTGACCTGATGTGAAAAAAACAAAGGTTTAGGATAATTTCTACAATTAAGCAATGTTTGACAGAGTAAAACCAGATCACAGGTATCAATTTTAATGTAATCAAATAGATTTTTAATTCACACGCGTCGAATGATTAATAACGATCAGCTATTCAAAAACGTCTGATCCATACAAAGCAAGTCCAGTTAATCAAATGAAATAAAAAAAAACATTTCACGGGATGTGCAAGACGGGGTCGCCTCAATACGTATAAAAGTAAACACAACGTAGATTTTACATAATCTATGTTCACTAGAAATGTCCTCGCCTGGTACAAGGTGCACGATCAATAGAAAACTGTACTGCGGCAGCAATTGACAAAACGGTCGAAAAAGACTCTTTATTCGTCTGGAGCTGAAATCGTCAGCAAAAGAAAGTACCTTGGCGGGAAAGAGCTAATATTGATCTTGTCTGCAAACGTCCTTGACCTCGGGTTCTTCGGTACATAAATCAGCAGGAGAGTAGAGGGAGAAAAGATTATCTGTAAAAGAACATCAATTTATATCAATTATACATCGAAATTAAGAATCAAACACCCCTATTGCGAAGAATTGTCGATTTTAGGCTCAATTTGGTGATAATTGATATAAATCCACGTGACGGCGTGAAGAGACCAGCGTATGGTAATGGGGAACATCACACCCGTGGTTCAGACAAATATAAGTGCACTATGATTGTCTGTGACCCCAGTTTTAAATAATATGGCATACTTCGGCAATTCGTCATTTTAAAACTTGTACAGAACCATTCATCATGTTATAAATTGTATTTCTGTATGTGCCAAAGTATAGGATACAAGGTAAAGCACTTTGCTTAAAACATACAGAAGTCTGGTTCTTTGTTTGAATCCATATTCGACCACGTCATTAATGTTTTTATAATATATATATATGATAACATATCCAGATATATCTATGTATGTACTTTTCACGGTATCTGTAAAGACAGTCTATCTACATCCATTGACCAGATCCGTTACTGTTGAAGTATTCGTGCATAACGTCCATCTACAGATATGTTTCTATTACACTATCTCTCCACAGTTTGAACAGATGAGTGGCACTCTACAGATCCGTCATTATCAAGTTACCCATCCTACGTTAAAACAGCTAACCGTCTAACCAAAGACTCGCTTCCAGTTAGATGTATACCAATAGTTTGTCCAGATAACTGTACATTACAGGTTCGTTATTATAAAAGTATCCACCCTAAGATCAAACAGATAAGTATCCACCCACAGAACCATTGCCAATAGGTTATCCATTCATAACTAAACATATAATTGAGAATATGATTACGTTTATGCAGATAAATATAAAAATGTTGAGAATAACATCATATGGGCAGTCTTTTTTAATTCATGACATAACTTCATTGTTTATATTATGACATCACAATACATTTTTAGTGACACAGCCAATGGAAAATTTTCAAGAGACGTTTATTGCAAAAAATATGACATGTTCGATAACTGACGGATTATAGTTGATTATCTCCCTTAAGTAAACGATACTAATAATTAACATACATTGTAATATGCATTGTAGACAACTTTGTATCATAAACTTGGCACTTAATTAACGCCGAAAATTAAAAATGTTTTAGCTCCGTCCCCAAAAGTCGCTATTCACTGCCGAAGAAGCTCTATAAGGACACGAGAGATAAAATAATACATAAATCAGAATTACGGTAACAAATGGTCGTTACTCAGTACCAAAGATTAAGTCTATTTGTCGCCTAGGATTTACTTTAAGATTTTATCGACATATTCACCTTAACTTTATAGGTGATTGAGCCGGTCACTATGATGGCCTCACAGGTTACTTGGACCTATCTGACTTCTGGAGATTCTTTACTGTCTTCTGTCCAATGTTATGTTTCAGCGACTTGTCGTTGTATATGTACGTTTAAACACGGCTTCGCCGGGTTGGGTTTAAAACCCACATAATGTATAGATTGTTGATGCTTCCAAACACGTTCTAACATATTTCATTCTCCACAGGTCACCTCCTGGAAAATCAGATACATCACACATCCTGAAAAAGGATAAAAAGTCAGAACAAATGAAAGCCAAGATGTCATCCATATTCATTCAAATACACCTTTATTGAAATCTAAAAATACGCATCATCTCACGTTTGCCGTCTTTGACAGAAACTGTAACCTTATATTTATTTATTTTGTTTTTATTTTTTGTATTTGATAAATAGACGTTCAACTTAGTCAACTGTATAACGATAATACACATTTTGAACAAACTAACAGCTGTTTATTGGAGCCAGCAGGACGTCTGGAAGTTTTGGAACTTAACACCACACTTTTGGACAACTCAAGTTTGCGGTAACCTACCTTTCTTTTGGACAAGTAAGCTCGCAACTTTCCTGTACCCCTATTAAGTATATATTATTTGAATATGATTTATCTGCTAAATATAGATATGACCCTTCCCAAAATGTGAGTTTATCTAATAGAAAGCTCACTTGGACACAGAAACATAACATAACAAATAGTTATAGTTATATTTCCAGTGTGTATTCTAAATTTAGCCTTACCAACATAATTGATGTTCACACTTTCGTAAAGTCTGATGCGTTGGAAGCCGACCGCTGTACACTTGTGGTAAAAACTAGTGTGAATCCGCCATTGTGTTTGTTCTATTTTTCTTTAATTTTTGTAAATGGAAATGTTAGTGTTACAAACATATCACCAAACTGAAATGAAACTGATTTCTGTTTACTTCCTGTAGTTGACAATCTTTCCCACGAAAACAGAATCAGCTGTACATGTATAACGTCCAATGTACGCTAATTATTATGTTTTAAGAAGTGTGAATAAAGAAACAAAATGTTTTCGATGTAAATCTAACAGTCAATTTATTCTCTCTCTCTTTTTTTTTTTTTTTGTTTATTTGTGTGTAAACTGCATTTTTCAGTTATATTAAAAGAAGCGCTTTAACGCGCGCCATTTAGAATATCTGTTAAAATGCAGTTTACACACAAGATTCCTTATTGCACATTACTTCGCACTAAAAAGATCATTTAGACGATAAATAGAAACGTCATTAATGTAAGAACAATATTGGTAATACTTCAAGTTTTGAAATTAGATAAATCATCTGGTTAACAACTACTGCCGGTACTGTATGCTAACCCTTAATGTTTATTTTTAATATGTCTCTCTCTCTCTTGGTAGATATCCTCACACTTGGAAACTGGCAAAAGTAATGCTTCTATTAAAAAAGGGCGATATACATCGATCATTCCACACTTTATAAATTAATAAGAAATGTATCGTGATATATATTTACCTCTAGAAGAAAGAAAGCATGCTTGTTTGGTGTTCTGTGACATTTCTATGGCTTTTGACTGTGTCTGACACAAAGGAATCATCACTTAATTAATGTCTTATGGGATATCTGGTGAGCTGTTAAGATTAACTACTTATCAAATAGGCAGCAGAATGTTTTTGTTTCAAATTCGGTTTCTCGTACTGGTCTTATAAGAGCGAGGTTGCCTCAGGGTTCCATATTAGGGTCATTTTTATTCCTAGTTGATATCAATGATATATCTGATGTACTGCTTTCCACCTCGAGGCTTTTCGCTGACGATACCTCTCTTCTTCGCATGCCTGTTCATGTCATGAATAAGAAATACCCCCAACATAGATCTTGATTTAATTAAGTATTTGGGCAAACACTTTGTTAATCGATCTTAGCAAAAACCAGTGTTTAACTTATTGATAACGCTGTAAATCTTACCAGATTTCAAACCTCTACTAATTCAGCCTTTCTTCCTTCTACTCATCGTGCTTGGAAAATGCTCGATGTTACTTTTAGATCGTCAACAACTTACTGCAAATTTGAAAACTCCATCTCACGAAATCAAAATTCACCTTCTCCCATTTACGTTGGATATGGTGAAACACAAACTAAACATTATTTACACACAATTAAGGTATAACTGCAATTAAGATAATTATGATCTATTTAGTTAACATTTTTGATAACATCCCTGTATCTGCGGATCTCCTTGTGAAAATCATTTCTTCTTGGAATGTCCTCATTATCGCTACAGTGGTTAGAGTTGTTTCAAAGTTTGATTATAGATCATGAAATTAACCTAGATTGTTTATCAGCAGGTATCACTGAATTGACAAAACAAAGCAGTTTTGATAATTTTCGAAGTGTGTACAGATATATAAAGACCAGCGGAAAAGTTTGGTTCATTAAAAAAAATCATATTACTTGTACAGTTCTTTCACTCTCTCTGTCATCCCTCCCCCAATCCCCGTTCTTTTTCTTAAGTCACATCTGCATGGTCATTTGAAGTTTATTCAGCGCTAGAAGATGCTATCAAATTCAACTGAAAATTACTATTATTTTTCGAAGTCGATATTTGTATTCAAAGCATGTGAGATTTTTGCTACACCACAAGCAGAACTTTAATGTAGGTAAGGAGATATGTTTGATAACCGGTAATTTACGTTATTTTCATATTGTCTTGCAACACCTACATATAACGTGTTTCAGTAAACATGTATTTAGTAATCGTTTTCATCCTAGCGGAAATTCGTTACTTCTCAGAATTTTTTTTAAAAGACCTTAATTATACAGTGTTCTTCGAATCCCCTGTAGGTAATTGTAGGTAACTTCTGCATGGACATTTCTGTAACTGTAAACTGCATTGGTTTACCCGTTAAACATGGAAACCTACAATGTGCTGTCGTTTACTGGTGTCTAATTTTTGCAGCATCATGAAAGTCGTTTCAAAAGTCCAAACATCATAATATTGTGAATATCGACGAAAAAACATATATATGTGCTAACATCGATGAGGTGAAACTTCTTGCTTGAGTATATATGGGAATGGAATACAACAATAAAGATAATGGGTACATCAATCTACAAAACACCGCCTCATTTCAATATACTCATCAATTAGATATGGCAATGTCCAAGTCTACTTGGTAATTTTGTCTACTTTTAGCAATATTTGATTCCATAATACAACATTAACATTTTGCCGGTTGGTTCAGTTGTTTCATACCTTATTCTCATTCAAGAATGTGACATTACTTACTTGGATTGACCAAAATTTACATGACGGGTGTCGTCGATTTAACAGAAGACGCTTACTCTTCCGCAACACCTGGTCTTATTCTCCGTGTACTTTTTAGGAGTCACCGTGTAACCCTACTTTTGTTCGTGTTTTGGCCTTTTTTTATTGACTTTGAGTTTGGACTATGATTATATTGCCATGTTGGTATTATATTGTTGTTAATTAATACATATATAATATTTGAGAAAGGAAAACGATCATGATTTACAACATTCGGCTGTCAAGTGTTCAAATTAAACTTCTCAATTTCAAATCTAACAATAACAGCGATTTTAGTTTGTTTCATCTATAAAATAACAGTATGATGACCTAGGCTAAAATAGAATTAGATTTCTGATATATCAGTTAGAGGTTAGCATGGATAAAGCAGGAATTGTAGGTAAAATACGCGAAACTTAAACAAATGTTCAAAACTTCTACCGATGTAAACATTAAATGATTTTGTTTTTCATTCACATTCTGATATATACGTACCCGATCGAGTATTTCCAGAACGCAGACAATTACTTGACACATCCTCTGAGAGTGTTATTGCTGAAAATCTTAGTAACGTTCAAATATCCTGCAACAAAGAAATAACATACCAAAATAAAAGCCAGGTGTATGAATAATGGGAATCACCAACAAATTATAACAAGAAATAGCAAATAAAGATATACGTTATGTTGATGGAAGAAATTCGAGATAAAAAGCAAAACGAATAAAAATTGAACAAAATATGAATACAACCAGCAGAAATTCAACAGTCCCTCATTGTCAACGGGAAAAAATGACCAAGACAAATGGAGGGTGTATTGTGCATTGTGTTGAGAATATATGGGGAAATACTGCTATATTCATTATAACACAAACGAATCTAAAATAAAATCTAAATTCCAAATGTAATGTAGAATGTGATTTTGAGAAAAAAAAATATCATTACAACTTTAAAGAGTAACTAGTACGGGCTAACGGGAAATAACTCTGGAATTTCAATATTTGTTTTCGAAGGGTCGGAGATGTAACAAGCATGTAGTTAAAACATCTGATCCAATATTGGACCATTCCGTCAATATTACTTACTAGATTCTATATATAGAAGATCCAGTACCAATATTGGACCATTCCGTCGATATTACTTACTAGATTCTATATACGGAAGGTCCAGTACCAATATTGGACCATATCGTCGATATTACATAGTAGATTCTATATATAGAAGATCCAGTTCCAATATTGGACCATTCCGTCGATATTACTTACTAGATTCTATATATAGAAGGTCCAGTACCAATATTGGACCATACCGTCGATAATACATAGTAGATTCTATATATAGAAGATCCAGTACCAATATTGAACCATAGCGTCGATATTACTTACTAGATCATATATATATATATACATTAGAAGATTTCTGGTATTCCCTGTTTAGTTGGGTATATTTTACTATATATTTTATAGAAGATGTACTAATATATCTAGTATCACCTTAGACATGTTATTCATTACTTTCTACTACTACTATTCGAGATCAGAATATATCTAAATAGAGCGAGCAACGAGTAAAGAACAGGTAAAGTTGTAGCAGTCCAATGGAATATCCCGTAAGTACAAGTTCAGTAATCATGATGGTTCATATTACATTTTCAACATTTAAATCATCCAAGGCCACGGTTTTGTTGTAAGCTTTCCAGTATACAACTGTCGATTTTGAGAATGCCAGAGGACTTTTTTTCCCTACCGTATAACTTGCATCGTTTATTACTATTGAATACGTACTATATATTTAGTGTCCTCAAAATCTCGAATTTTCGTCAACTAATGATTTTATGTCGACACTGTCCGTAAGTATTCTAACGTTTGAATCCGATTCAATTTTGATTCTTAATACTATATTATATGTATATAAATTTATATGAACGTTTGGGTCGTATGACTTGCTCCAATCCGATATTGCAGTGACGATACTCTCGGGTATAATTAATTTTCTCCCACCTGTTTCCTCATAATCATGTATATCAAGTATAGCGTATTTATAAACTAATATATAAAGATAGATGTACCTTTTTTTTTTTCAAGAATTGGCTTTCTTGTTCAACATTTTTTCTCGGATCGTCGATATAAATAAATCGTACCATCCATCCCCGCTCTTTTTTTCTGAAACCTTGGATATGTCTGGATTACTGTCCAGTGAAAATAAAGTTTGTAATCCTCGTCCTAATCTTAATCCAATTACACTTAAAACAAGTGATCAAACTTATGAATGTCTTCATTTTATTTTTTTCATTTTTGTTAACGAAAGATTGAAAATAGATGTACACACAACTGCTCTCATAGACTACCACGTCGATGATGCCTACTCCTTTCGGTACGAGGGTCTCTTTAAGTTATACAAAACTAAGCTACAAATAATATATTGGCTTCATTCAAAACCTAGATAGTAGAACAAGAACTTAAAAAATATGTGTGTTCAAAGTAGAGGAAAACGTTCTTCAACTTAGCTTGAATGATGCATTTAACATATAAGAACTGTCTTCAGTATCGGATTGATATCCTTCACCATAACAACAAATATGACTACATGTACATCCGGTGTTCAAAATTTGATACACGAAATGTAAAGCGTACAAACACTTCTGTTTCTTTCTTTTCGGTTGTAAACTGTCTATATTGAAAACATTGTAATTTCGAAACCAAGATGCTATAGACAAAACACGAATATGATATTTTTTCTTCTAAAATTGAGAATGTAACTTTATGCACATGTATTATTCACACATGTAGTACACGTACCTTTTTAATATTATTTTTCACCATAAATAATGCAATACACTTTAAGATGTCCATAACGGAATACATCTACAGATAACCTATGATCTGTTATAGTAAACTTGTTGTAATATAAACATATATATGATTGTGTCACCTGTCTGTTTTACGTTGAAATTGATTTACCTCCTCTAACGATTTTATACTTAAATGAAATTGTTGTGATATGAAATACTGAATTTAATCTGTATAACTTTCAATAACATACAATGTCATCAAATGTTTATGTTGTTATATTCAGCAGGACTATACAAGTATATTACTATTTGCAGAGACATATATCACATATATGTTAAATATGTCTGCTATTTGTGAGCAGCACCATGTTCCTACTCCAACTTCCGGAGGTGGAAACGCCCGTAAGTCGTTTTATTAAATGTTGCTGTTATATCATTGAAAATAAAAAAAATAAAATGCCTCATTTATTTTACTGAAAAAAACTGTTTTACTGTTAAAGAAGACTTTAAAGTATGCTTTTCGGATTTTTTAGCAGAGCATTTTGCTGCATTTAAGATATACATGAAAAAATACTGATTGCTATTGCTATAAGCGACTTCAAGATGGCGGCAAATTACGATTTGGTTTTGTTACACGGGCCGAAATACAGTGTAAATTCTATTTCCTTTCCTATACTTTGTTAGTTTTGTTATAACACGATGTCAACAATATATCATCGAATCATTTACAATTATGATGCTAACAATCGCCTGTTTAAATATTCATATACTCCCGCACATATTGTCTATTGGACAGATGTTTGCTACATATGTGTGCTGTGATCCATATCGTATGTGTGTAGACATAGGTTGACAAGCGCTTGCATAAGTCAAGTGTAACCGTGGTAAAATGCTAGCCGCAATATAGGTGAATATACTGCTCGGCTAGAGAGAACATCTTCGCTCTGTAATCAATAAAGAACAAATTCAGTTACCTTGCTAAAACAAGACTTCACACACTAAGGTCATAATAAGCTAATTGGATTTTTTAATTCTTATTATTTTCTTCTTCAAGATAATGTTTATAACCTTTTATCCTTAGAGCTGAGTAGATGCATAGAAGTTTTAGTATGGTTAGTTGTAGTATCCTCTTAAATCAAAGGAATTTTATACATGTTGCATTGACAACCATTTTATTGGTCATAGAGCTTGAAGTGGTTATTTTTTATTCTTGCAGGTTTTAATTGGTATCATTTCCTGGCAATGATGCTCAAAGTAAAGATGTTAATAAATATTTATCATTTTACAAAAAGCACTTATATGACTTACCCATACACAAATATGTCTAAAATTAAGAGGTATGAGGTGAAATTGGATTCTGGTAAAGGATGTAACAGAGGTCATTATTTATTTCAATGACTCTGCTATGAGGTGAAACCAATCGAGCTAAAGAGAACTTCTCTCCAGTCTAGTGATATATTGCGGCTAGTATTTTACTAGGGTTACAGTAATCTAGATTTCAATGTCCATAGAAATAATCATGCTTTGATTTAAGCCTTTTTAGTATGTATTTTTGCAGGGTAGAAACATTCTTTGTCATGAGTTATCATCTCCAAAACATGAAAGGATTTGTCCATGTGACTACTTCAAGGATAACACAGTTGGTCTTCGTGATGTTATTCTCCAGGTCATCAAATTACTGAAAAAGGTTTGTTACATACTTATCTTGTTGGTAAGTAAGACAAGGTGAACAATTCTGACGAGAAGTAAGTTTTCATATCATAGCTACATAGTATACATGTCTCTCTAGAGTGAATTATATACCTGTTAAAATTGGAATTACTTAGTTGTACATGGTTTTATTGATGATACCTGTGAATAATATATTGATCATATGACATTAAAACTTTCAGCTAAAGCATAGTCGTGGAGTGATGGTGATAACAATGTGTACTTGATCTGTTTTAGAGATAATTGTCCCCAACACATTTGGTCTTGCTTCATTATCATTGGTCATGTGGAATTGCTGACACTGACTTTACTGACATACTGTCATATTTCACACATTGACTAGGTCCACTACCTGTATTCTCATCTTTTTTAATCATCACATATTTTAAACATCACATTTTAAATATAGGATAGTAAAATATTCTGTGGATGTCGAGTCTTCCTATTACAGTATGTTAGTATTATCTATATTTTAATGTTAATTGTTATTATTGTTAAAAGACAAACCAGTCGTTGGTAACATTTGTATTTCATGACAATTAAGATTATTACACTCTGAAAGCTTACAAAATACACCAGTCTTTTTATATACCATCAAGTATATTGTGTAAGGAACTAACTGTTATGTATATCTTATACATTGTATATCTTTTTTGAAGGACAAAAAAGTTGTGATAGATGATGAGAATGCTTCAGCCATGACAAGAGAATCGTATGTCAGGATGGTGCAAAGAAAGGTTCAGTACTGTAATGATATTTTTATCTTCTGATGATTGAATTCTGGAAGTATGAAGTCCATATTTTATAGAAATGACAAATGACAATTATGTCATGAAACAGATGAATAATATATACATACTATATACACTCTGTAGTGGTGATGTGCACCCTTTTCCCTATACAGCCATGAAATATGAGTAATACTACTGGACATTTCAATATTGTGTTTCAGATTATTACCAGTGTGAGGCCATGTGACCAAGATAAACAAACTACTAAAGATATGAATGCTATTAAAAACATAACCTTTATCTAGGATTAAAAGACAATGTACATCTATATATGGAGTATACAAATTTTAAAAATTTACCAAAAAAAATATCAGTGAAAGAAATATCTTTGGTTAATAAAGTAACCTTATATTTCTGTATTCGATTGTAAATGGTTGCCACTGGTTACTTTTTGATGACAGATATCTTCAAAAACTATCGCCTCGGTTAAAGTCATACCTGCAATGGGAAGGATACAGCTGTTGTGGTCACGAGAGTACTACCTGGCAGAAAATTCACATAAAGGAACATCACAGGAACTATCTACACAAGATGGAGATATAAACAAATGGTTTTCAGAAGGGGACACAGATCACATCAATTACAGTTGCAACGAAGGTAGGATAATTCTTACTTACAGTATTATATTTGTCAGCTCAAATGATAGCAACAATTTATCTTGCCATTACTATTTATGATGTGGAAAGAAACCCATGTCAGGAATTAGGACCACTCAAATACAGTGGGCTCTTAATAATCTAGACTTTCATAGTCTTGAAAACTCTGTATGAACCAATAAGGAACAGATTTTTAAAACATTGTTTATACTGACTAATGCAGAAACTTGAATTCCAGTTCTGAAAGTAAAATGAATGTATGTCAGCACTTTTTTCTTATCAATATTTGCACAGTACTCTAAATTGTTTTTTGTCCACAAAGGGCTTGTTGTGTTCAGCATGCCAATTTTGCAAGTGTGCAATAACTACAACACAGTGAATGTGATGTCCTACTGTGACCACTGCTAGATTGTAGCCCAGACAAAGGTCTTCAAATTATCTATGATATGCAAATGTGATTTTATTTGCTTTTTATTTGATTGGACTAGCTTTAGAAGAGTTATTGCCCCTGAGTTTTTTTAATAATTTCAGCTGACCTTGTTCAGAGATCTCTTTCAGATTTTACTTTTATTTCATCAAATCTTGGTAGGCTTAGTAGCTATGACATCAAATATTATTTTCCTGACACACATTGTTTAACCATTTACTCTCCTGCAGTCATGTTCAATTCATTATTGTGTCGCCTGCAGAGCTGGCTGACACTTAGGGATCACTTTGTCCGTCGTCACGCGTCAGCAGGGGCATCGACGGCATCCGTACGAAAGTTTTCCAGACTTTTTTCAACTATGCTTTGAGTTATCAAAATGAAATTTAGTAGATGGCTTCATGTTGGAAGGGTACAGATTAAGGTAAATTTCCGGCTGTCTGTGACCCTTCTTGGCAGAACAATGCTCCTTTGAACTTAGAAAATTCTCTGGGAATATTGTTGTCAGAATTTTTTGGGTTACCTTTTGAGTTAATGAAATGAAATTTGGTATATGGCTTTTTGTTGGAAGGGTACAGATTCAGTTTGAGAATATGGTTTTTAGTACAATTCTTTGGGAATATTGTTTTCTGGAATTTTCTTGCTTATGCTTCGAGTTATCAAAATGTAATTTTGTATATGAGTTCTTGGTCAAAAGTTACGCACCGAGTTCGCTTTTTGGCAGTCTGTAACTGTTCTTAGCAGTGATATGTCCCTTTGAACTTGGAAAATTTCTCAGGAATATTGCTTTGCAGCTTTCCCTTTATGCTTTGAGTTATAGAAATAAAATTTGGTATTACAACTTTATGGTTGAACGTTGCACATCCAGTTCAATTTCTGGGTGACCGTGACATTTTATGCAGGCGACACATATAGTTCCGAGAAACTCTTGTATATGTTACACATCATTTTATTTTCAGTGTCTGATCCCAGTTTTGATGAAGGTATACAAGTATTTGAAAGGACAATACCACTTACTGTCAAGTCACAGTATAAGGTATATACATCTTCATTTTACATTTATAGCATTGATAAATCTGTCAAGTATATATATGTACATTTTATATCACTGACTATCATGTCCCAGTATATGTAAGTATTTATTACAGGTTGACTGTTAAATGTATATTTAATCCCTTTCTTCTATGCTTAACAACATTATTTCAGGAGGTGAAATAAATGTACAGCCAATGTTGAAAGTATAACTATGGTAAATCAGCAGATGAGGTGCCCCAAAGAGATTTGAATTCATAAACGGTGAAAGATTTTCCTAGGAAAATTTGTATTTTAAATATTTCCGTATTGTCATGTGGGTAGAATTAGTTTTCCAAATCAGCGGTTCGTAAGTTTTACTTGTAAAATTTCGATTGTTGACTTCAGTTGATGATGACAGTCTGAAATACCATTCATCTTTGCCCTGTTTCTAAGAATAAATAGATAGTTTTAATTTGTGTTGAGCTTCAGTTATATATGCTATTTCAAATGTGTATGTGATTTAAATGCGGATTGATTAGTAGCATGAGTCCTATAGACTGGTCAAATACAACAGGATTTACTGCTACAGATAAAATATTGTTTTATGCATTGTATGGCAGATTGTAACTGACTGTCTGACATGTCAGGCATAAAAATCTTCCATCTGACCAAACTGCTGTAAAGTTAAGGAAAACCTTGATAGCAAACAATACATTTCCCTGTTGGTCTGATAATCCCTAGAAAATTTTTTTACACACAAATGAAGTACAATGACATGCATTAATTGATCGTTTAACTTTAAAAGTTGGCTTGAATGATACCAATATACTGTTGTAGACTTTATATGTGTAAGTAAATCTACTTGTCTTCTTCATTGACTCAGTTTGAGGTGCCTGCCCTGTGCATGCAATGGGAAGGAATGATATGTGGCACCACAGAGGAGCCTCGTCTTCTTCCTGAAGTTGTGTCTATTTGTCAACACTGGTCAGATGCCAATGTAGGCGGTCGGATATTTATTATCTGTGATAACACCATCAGTATATCAGGTCTGTTATTGAACATTCAAATAGTCCAAATAATTATTTGTCAAGTACTGTAAATTTAAAATTTTGCATTTGATTTTCTGGAAATTTAAGGTACCGCATAGACGATAGAAGGTAAAGAAATCTTTATAGATTCAGTATCTTTTTTAACACAAACATAGACGATAGAAGGTAAAGAAATCTTTATAGATTCAGTATCTTTTTTAACACAAACATAGACGATAGAAGGTAAAGAAATCTTTATAGATTCAGTATCTTTTTTAACACAAATTTCATTTGAAAATGTCAGTTGATTATTGATACCCTTACTTACATCTCTATGAACTATGTTTGCTGATTGCAACTTATTTTACCTTTGACCTATCTTTTGGCTAAGTTATTTTAAGGCCTTACAATGTATTTGACTTACTTATGGATCTTTAAAATATATAGGTTCCCCTTCAGAAGATAAAAAAAAAATTGCAAAGACTAGGTCTCTGTGACAGATATGATATTTTCAGATTTGATGCTTATATGGTGAAAAAAAAGTTTCCAGTGCCCATTTTCAATACTATTTCATGAAGAGTCTTTTTTCACACTTTTTTTTCACTCTTACACTATTTATATAAGTACAATGTATATCTGTCTTGGAAATTATTGTGTTGTTGACTAGGAAATTATTTACTGTTACCAACAGTATGTTTTGATTTATTGAATTAACTTATCAGTTACATTCTCCCGTACTATTTTTATGCAATGATGAAAAGATGAAGTAACTCCTGGTAATTAGGAAAGCATTGATATAATGTCTATGTATGTTTGACATGGCATATAATAGATCTTAATAAGTAGACAATCTTGACAAAAATCCTCAGTAAACATTTGTACAGGATTAGATTTATAAAAATGTTATTTGTTTCAGACTTCAAATGTGTAAAGTGATGGTGTTTAATAGGGATTAAGTTTTGAATTACTAAGATGAACTGGTCTTGATTGGTTGAGAGTGTTCATTGTCAAGTACATCATTAAAGAAACCTTATTGGAGAAGTAGAACAGGGTTATGTAATGGTAAATTGTACTGCACTTTGTTCAATGCTTATAGCAGCTTATAGAAATTACTTTCTTATGTTAAATTATATTGTAGGTTCATCTGGCCAGCATCAACAGGAGAATACTGAATGTAGAAAGTTAGTTAAAACACTAGTGAAACAGGTACATCTACATATGTTGTCAATATGATATTTATTATAGCACACAAGACATTACCACTGTCGTGTACCTGTTAGGCACCATACAAATGGTGTGATATAAATCTGGAGTACTTCTGAGTTTCGCCCAATACTTCTCCCGGGTTAGATTGTGCCCATAAACAGTGAATTTTCAGCTTAAAGTGAGCATCAACATTTTGTGGCTGTCTACATCTGCCATCTTGAAAAGACAATTCCTTAACAGGTACAAGATAGTGATTACAAAATTGACCATTTCTTTAATCCATATTTTGAATGGAATCTAAGATATTTTGATAACTATTAAAATATGATCATGTCTTTTTTATGACTTAAAACAGCTTTCTATATGCTTTAGATGTATTCTATTATTTGATTTTATTTCAAGTTATATTATCCCGTAGAAACACGATATATATGATATGTACTATTTATGTACTGTTAGTATTAACCTCTATATATTGATGCAGTTTTGTGGCTGTCCAGTATATATGTTTTGTGTGGAGAACTCTGCAGACGCCGTAAACTTTACCAAGCCACCTAATCCTGGCATACTGGCCTATCTCCAGCGGCGACATCATCTTAATATCAACTCTAAGGTTACTGTCTAGTATTGTGTAAAATTGATAAAATGTGATAGTATCAGTATAAGACAGAGTACAAAACAGTGGTAAAAACATCGATGTCTGAAAACAGAGAGTACAAAACTGTGGTAAAAAGACGTCAGTGTCTGTGTGTTGAAGAACAGCCTGTTAATAGCTTTTAATTCATTTCCTAATTCAGTTGGTATCACTCTATAAAAAAAACATGAAGCTTTATCCTTAATCAGACTTTGTGGCCATTGGTCAATGTCAAAGGTCACATTTTATCACTTTTAGATAAAAAGCTTAAAGTTTGTGTTGAAGATTACACCCTTCACACTTTTCCAATAAATTGAAATAAATAGGAAATAAAACGATCAGGGAGTGAGGATATATTTGTGTGATCTCAGCCTGCTCACTTTGTTTTATTGGTTAAAAAACATAATCAAGGACATTGGGGGGGGGGGGGGGGGGTTACAAAAATTATTAAAGTCATATGTATTAGCAGTGATACAACTCTATATACTTGTAGTAAATGCCTTACTGATTTCTCACTAATTCGAAGAAACAATTTGACAGCTTCAATCAAAGCTTGATAAAATTCAACAGATCTCTCTGTTTTTCCTCGGAAAGATATTGTACATACTGGTATGGTTGTTTTTTCAGGACAGCGTTTACCTTTACCAGTCCCAGAATCACAAGATGGTGGCTGAGACTTCAGGGATGCCACACCTCAAGGTAAAAGTATCTATTTGATGTTGATTGAATTATTCTGTTGACTTTTTTACATTAGAATTGACTCTATGAATGACAGAACTCTGTTCCTTTTAAAAAGTTACCCTCACTTGTTTATAGGGACAGAGACCTGATGTTCTTCAACTCAAGACCAATATAAAAAAAAATGGTTCAAATGTCAGAGTATTTTGAACAATATTTAATGTTGTGGACTAATTTTTTTACATTTTTATTAAAAGTTCTTTGCTTTTAACCCTGTTACATAAGGTAGAACTGATCTTTAGCTGTCATTTCTTTTTATTATTTTTTTTTCTTTCTAGATGTCAAGGGCAGTGCTTCAGCCTTCTTTGGTAAGCAAGTAAATTCTTGTTTGTCCCCAAAACTGAGTCAGTCTTCTTAAAAATTATGTTTCCAATACTCATATCAAGATTGTGTATGGTCCACAGATGGTCCTACTCAGTGTGTAACTATAATCCAGACCATGTATTACATTCAAATAGCTGCCAAAGCATCCATCTTGATAATTAAGTTACCACAGTGACTATTTCTTCTGAATGAGAGGTCACATCTTAAGTTAAGTAGTCAGCAACAGGATACTGAGAAACTTTTAAAGTTTCACTGTCTTGCCAATATGAAAAAATAAAAGTGGGTTAAAATTTGAAGTTAAAGTTGAAATATGTCATTGTAAGTGCATGTACCAGCAACCATATTCTACAGGTATCTATATTTTGACATAGACATCACTTGGATATAGTGCCCTGAAACTCACCTGTAGCATTCTGGTAGCTTTTGTGAATCTTTGGCACCCAAAATCTGTGACATCAATTCTGCTACTGCACTTCCACCAGGCAGTAGTGACTTGTATAAACACAGTGTATTCAGATACTCATCAGTCTCATACAATAAGGTAGTTTTATAATCTGTCTTATTTCAGCAGTTATTGTACACTGTGTTGTATAGAGGTATTATAAAACTAGTAACAAAACATAGACGTTTATGCAAACTTCTTAAATCAAAAAAAAAAAGTTGAAAAAAATGTGAAACCTAACAGAGCTGGGACAACAAATCAATTGGATGAGCTGTTCCTTGGAAGATGCATGATCATTTCAGCTGGTGCTAACATCCCTTTCATGTCATACATATGAGGGCTGGTTGGTAAGTTGTGAGCCTCATATTTAAGGGTTTGTCTTTTGGCAGATATATTGCATTATTTTTCAGTATTATTCCCTTCAGTTTCTTTACTCTTTTGTGAATGATATTTTAGGGCCTCAATTCCACTTTTAAGAAAATCCTTTTCTTGACCGTTCAGGAAGTCCTTCACTGCATGTATGATGTTATCCTCTGACCAAAAGTGGGCACTGGAAATAGCCTTCTTCAATTTTAGAAATAGATGAAAGTCTGGTGGAGCAAGATAAGGCAAATAAGGCAGATCCTTAATTAATTTAAAGCCGCAATCATTAATGGTAGCCATGGCAATGACAGACTTGTGAACAGGGGCATTGTCCTGGTGGAACAACACACCTTTACTGAGTTTTCAACATTCCAGCTCATGAAACAATCTTTTTGATTTCTCTAGCGGGGGTTAACCAGGTTGCTTCCATTGTTTAGACTGTTGTTTGGTCTCGAGGATGAAATGATGGACCCATGTTTTAGTGTCACAAACCTCTGCAGAACGTTAGCAGGATCTGCCCCTAAAAGTTTCAGATTAGCAAATTAGTCCGCCTGGGGTTCTTCTTATAAACTGTCAGAAGTCTTGGTACCCAAGGGGCTGAGAGCTTTCTCATTGCCAGATCTTCTGTAAGAATGGAATGTACTCTTTCCTGTGAAATCCCAACTGCATTGGCTATGACTATATATCTCTCTGTAACTGCATGTCAGCCATGACAATATCATGGACTTTATTGACTATTTCTGGGGTAACAACAGTGACAGGCCTTCCAGGACGGGTGTCATCCAAAAGGCTCTGCCTGCCATGCTTGAATTTGCCTCCCACCTTTTCATTCTAGCATATGAAGGGACATCGTTCCCTAGTGTTATTACCATATCAGTATGGATATCGTTAGGTGCAAGACCTTTTTTCGCAAATATTGAATCACTGGTGTTTCAGTGATTTTGTCTATTTTGCTAACATCACTTGCCTTGTTTACATTATATACTACCTCTTCGACATAAACTGACCAGATGACACCAGTCTTTGGGTATACAGACTTAAATAGTCATGGATTAGTAGAGCCGAAAAAGGATATCCCTGTTTAACTTCTTCAATTTCAATTCAAGACTCACAACTTATAAATCAGCCATCATAGTTGAACACCTGTACACAGGTGTGTGTCTAGGGTCACCACCTGGTCTCAAGACCAGTAACACACTCTGTTATTTATTGGTGTATATTTTCATACAGGCTAAGTTAACTTAGAGAGTGGATGTTTTATCAATATTTCAAACTTTGATATTAATTATTGTGTATATCAGAATATAATGAAATATCTTTGATTATTTATCTCAAAATTCAGACAGAATAATTAGATATGCATTCATCCAAATACAAATTTATAAATTTCATTATTATGGAACATTATGAAAAGTTTACTTTCTGCAGGGACATACAATGTATGATACATATACCTCCCACCTCATTGGATGGAAAATATATATATGTAGAACAAGTGAGTTCTTTCGAAAATTTCCAACTAATCTGTTTTTGTTGCTGATTTATGTCTCGTTAGTTTAGGAGAACAATTCGCAAATGCCAAACATGATCATGTTGATGAATAGATTTCATTACTTCTTGGTCTTGGCCATTACATGATACCACAGACATAGATATCTAAGATGTCCTACATGTGGAAGTTGATGATGTTGTACAGTATGCGTGCATGTGTTACTGTGAAATTTATTCTCTGAAGATATCGTGCTCAGTTTTTGTTTATCTATTGATTGTGGCTTTCATTCTGTATCTCCCGTGCAGAACGGAACAGTAGAAGGCAAGAGTAGTACAAGATACAAGCTTTATTTTTCAACAGTCGTATATGTAGAGGTAATTCATGAGGAAACATTTGTATAACAAGTGATAAACAACACACAAACAAAATATCTGACATGGTAAAATTACAGAAGTAAAACAGTTCTACACTGTGTATTTGCTGGCAAGCACCAATTAAAGTAGTTTTAATGTAATGCAGCATGCGTGATGGAAATAAACCATAAGATGAAATAGCTATATATTGATGGAACACAGTATTTGTCAGCAAGCATAAGAAAATATTGTTGATTTTAAGCACTACTAGTGAAAATGTGCCTGGAGGCAGAATTGAGGTCGAATATGATCGATTAGTGAGAATCCATGGTTTTAAGGAGGGAAACACCTCTAGATATTTCGACTTCCACAGGTGTTTTTCGGGTAGAAATAGTGCTACTTGTACATCTTGCAATACACAGATCACTTTCTTAAGACATTACCTAAGGATTTTTTTTATGAAAGCTAAATCTTTTATTTTAATTGACCTCTAAATTAGAGTGAATTTAAACCATGACAAAAGCTGAAATTATTGTGCAAGTGCATGTACTAATTGAGTTAATTAGAGTGTTTACCAGTATACAGTAAAAAGATGATTACCTGTATTATTACCTGTCCATTAGTCATCAAAATAAGTGTCATAAAACCCAATTCCAAGATACATTTACTAGTATGTTGGAGTATTGGACATAGTAGACACAGGGCACACTAATATCAATGTCATCTATGTAGTTTTTAGTCTACATATGATAAAAGTCTCAAAAGATCTCCCCTATAAACTTGAGCCATAAAGGAAAGTTAAAAAACAATCAACAATGGTCTCTACTATGTATGCACTTTTTCTAGTCACTGTTTAGCATGCTTACTACCCACACTATAGACATTTGGTGTGAAATTCTAGCAAGATGTCATGTTATGTGTTATGCATTTATATATGATTTTCTGTTGATTTTAAGGTAGATTCAAGTCATGTGTTCAGCATTCCCAACATCCCATTGTTTCTGAAAGAGCTGAACATGTTACCTCTAGAGAACTTTGATCAAAGACCACCTGAGATTCCTGGGATTCAAGATGTGTCTTTCTTTGAAGACAATGAAATCAGCATGCATCTTGGTTATGGTCGAAGGGAATTCTTGTTTGCTAAAGACATAGACACTTTAGCAAAGTAAGCTTTATCAAGCACAAGAAATATCACTTATATAAATATTTTCAAAAACTGAAGCTTACTTGTGGAGAAAAACTAATTCAGAGGAAATATATTTATTTACTCTTTCTCCATTGAGCCAGTCTGAGAGTTAGAAGCAAAAAAGGTAGCGTTTGTTGGTTAAAGTTTAGCTTTCAATGAATAGAAAATCTTTATGTAACTAAGCATTAAATGTGTTGTGGTAATTGGAGGTCATTTAAGGTCAATTGAAAAGGAAATATCTTGTAGCTGTCAATTATACTGTTTTTGATTTGTGTTGTCATACATGTCTTTTTTCACTGCCATAGATTCAACAAGACATATGCAGAGATGGCTTCCTTGTCTACAGCACCTTTCAGCAAGTTTTTGAAGTCAAATTCAATAAAAGAGCCAGGAGACAAGGCTGATAGTCAAAGAGAATCTGCCAAGAAGGCACGCCTGTCCAAGTCATTGTCATCAGATCGTGAACTGCCCCACTGGATGATGTCAGATAGGAAAACTAAAGGGATTTCTCAGTCTTCTAAACCCTCCATCAGTAATACAGATAGCACAGACTCCACCAATACCAAGTATAAGTAGGTAGAGATGGTGATTTGGAGGAGTTTTTAAATTCCATACATATGTTGTTATTAATTAAACTATCTCTGATCCTGGATTAGTGTGTGATGATTAAATTTGATAATGGTTTATACATTAGTCAAAACTTGCTTTTTTTAACTTGTTGTGTATCTTGTCATATGTTCTTGATAATTGACATTTTTCATGGTTTCTTTGTAATGTATAGAAGGACAAAATATGTGATGACAGAGACAGAGCTGACTGAGATTGCTAAGGATATACTTAAACAGGTGAAAATGTTTTGTAACTATGAAGAGTAGTGTTCATGTTCGCTGAATTATCTCCCTTCTTACTTCTCTTAAAAATCATAAATATCTAAAACAATATCATTGACCATATTTTAATACAAGTAAGCATCCACTCCTAGTGAATAAAAGATTGACCATAAGTTGGAATGGAAATGGTAAATAAACAAGTGTTTCTGTCTTTTCTACCTTTGTATTGATGAAAATTTGCTGAAACTGACTAATATTGATGACAAACTTTTCTGTAATAGGCAGGAAGAGAAGATCTCATTAGAAACATACAGCTACAACAACTCAGAGAAAATGTAATTAACAGACATGAGAGTTCAACCACTCAAAAGCAGAAAAAAGAAAAGTGTTTAAAATTTACAGAGGACCACTCCAGCTCAATGGATGTAAATTTGGGAGAGGAGGAGGGCACTGATTCCTTTGTAGATGTTTTAAGTTCACAGTGCGATATTGCACCACAGAAGGATTCATTGACAAGACCTGCATCAAACATGATCTTGGGAGATGTAAAGTTTGAGGACAGGAATCCTAAATCTGTGTCAAGTACATCCGTTCTTGATAGCTTTGTCATAAATGATGAAGTCAGGAAAAAAAGTCAGAAGAAAACTTTGAGGTAAGTGATTTCACTGAAATACCTTTTTGGGACATATAAAGTGATAAGCTTTTGCCACAAATAGAAAGAATGAATATACAATGTATAACTTAAAGTTATTTTTATTTTAAATTTGAATTTCAAATATATTTTTGGCGACAATTGTGTTTTGATTATGACAAATCAAAAGTGTGTAGCATAATTTATGGGAAAAAAATCTAATAGTTTTATTCTCTGGTAAGCTCCAATTATAGGACTTTACTTGACCATTGGATCAATTCAAGCTTTACAAGATCCAGGTAATTTAAGTGTTTTATCAAAATAGCAAAATCATTTGTTCTGGAGAGCTATTATAATAATAAACAACAAACATAAAAAAGACAACAAAGTATGCTTAGACTTATAAACAGGCAAACCAAATACAGAAACAGTAAATGAAAAAAAGATACATAGATTTTCTTCACTTGCTTCCATAGCTCCTAATTTTAAGCCCTTAGCATCACGGATGACTCCTAGAAGGACGAAACAGCTGTATGATGCAGTTTAATTCATTGTTTAGCACTACTGTATCTAGATTATTAAAAGGTGCTATTCACTTGTGTGTCTTTTGTATCTTTTGTACAATCTTCAATGATAAAACTGCTTTTAAGAGTGCAGAGTTATGGTCTTTTGCTAATTTTTGTTTTTAAAGTTTATAATGGACATTGAAAATAATTGGCATAATTGTTCATGTGTTCATGGTGTATATATGTAGATAATGATATCTGTAAGTACATCATTATTTTCATACTGTGTCTAGAGAAAGTAAGAATGAACCAAAATTATGATATAATCCCATTGTTGTCACAGTAGTAACTTTAATTTTCTGGCTGTAAGATTTTATTGAGTAGAGTGTTACCTTAATTGGATTATGATTTTGATTTTTCAGGAAACCTCTCAATATAGTTACCAAGCATGTCATGCAGGATGAACATGACATTAGTGAACAGCAGAGAAAAAACTTATCTCCAAAGAAACCATATAAACTCTTAACAGAAAAATCAGAAAGTGACCCTGTTCCAGCTGGTGAACAATTATCTGAGGCAAATGTAACTATTCAAGAGAGAACTGAAATCACACATGATCAATTCACTGAAATATCTCGGAGAAAACTGCCTGACTTATCAGTATTGGATGAAATATTTTCATGACATTTCAAGGCATTGCAAACATAAAATCACTGCAAATTTGAAGCCAAGTTGTTATTTTTTTTCATTTTGTGACTAAAATTGGAGTGGTCAGAACTCCATTGAGTGGTTCATTTGTTTTGTGAATGATTTGTTAGAAACATTCCAGTTTGATACAAATAAGTGACAACAAATAGGTGTATTTTTGTGAAAACCCACTCTCCACACTTCTGTAATAGAAGCGAGTTGGGTTGGTGTGTATATAGTGTTAAATACGATCTCGGTCAATAAGCCGACAGAGCATGATTCTTTGGCTCATTTAGTAGAGCCAGACCATTATAACACCAAAGACCAGGGTTCCATTCCTGCTTGTTTTCCTGTTCTGTTACACTCCAGTAGTAAACTACATGTAGGTTGACAGACACCATAATACCTTTAGCTATCCACCACATGTATTCAGTAGAATGGGAATAGAGGTATGGATTAGAGAGGTACAATCTATGTATTTTACCAGTGATAGTGAATTAACGTAGTTGGCATGACAGTTTTAGTGATTCTTTCCCTTAATTTGAGATTCATTTTTTGATGTGAAAAATATCGAAAAATCCTTTAAAAAAAAGTGATGAATTTTAACTCTCAATTCATAGATGGTCATCTGTTGCCCATTTTGTTCTTGGGATCAGTCCAAAATCAAAGTGACATAACCTACCTAGTACATACTCACAGCTAAGAACCAAGGGGAACCTACATATGAAATATTTTAAAAAGATCCATCCAGTACTTCTCAAGAAATAGCAGTAACAAAATTAAGTTGTCAACATCAATGATGACAGCCTGTCAGCCATTTTGTTTTCCCAATAGCACTTAAGATTGAATGAGGAACACATATGGGCCGAGAGGAAACTTCAGAAATATTTTAATAGTTGTCAAGCATTAGTGATAATGCAATTTTGGTTTTCAAGTCAGACTCAAAAATGGATCTACACATCTATGTACCAACAGGAACCAACATACATTTATGAAGTCTGAGAAGTATCCTTGTACAACTCAAGAAATAGCAAAACAAGAATTGTTTACAGCCAGACGGAGGTAGGATGATTTAAACAGCCTATCATTTGATGATTGTTGTGAGCCAAAATAGGGTAGGGAGTAGAAATGACTTGTATTGTAAAATTTCTTTTGAATGTACATAACAATCCTGATGAGATAATGTCATACCTCTTAAAAATCAGGATTCTCACAATGATCTGATTTCAGATTCATATTCACATTCCACATCAAGGGAATCCACATTGCAGTTGTCAACAACATGCAACGTTTATATTTGTAACAAAGTATTTAAGAATTGGACTGCTTTCAGTTGGCATCATGTGACTATGAATGCCTAAAAGTCAGCTACTGTATTATCATCATAAAATCAAGTTTGGCACAGGATTAGATTTAGTTGTCACTGTAAAAATGTTACAGGTGAATGATATTGAATTTGTCACATTCACCATTTGCTGATAAGGCTAAAGTAAATATTTACATGTATACGTGGCACGCTCACATTGTGTTACTTTGGTAAGATTTTAGTGTTCAGTCGTTGTTTAATGCACAAAGTCATGTTATAGTACATAAACTATGTACATACCTAATTCAGCAGCAGTATAGATATTAGATTGGCCGTTCCTTGTATATATATATACTTAATCTTCAGTAGAATGTTGTATTGTGTGTATATAGGAACCTGAAATGTTGACCATAACAAGCAATACATGAATCTGGAAGACAATCCACATCATCTATCCACAAAATTAACAACAAACAACCATGATTTGATACTTTTGTAAACACTATATTATGGAGCATATGGAAATGCTAAAACCATGAGCTTTACTCATGACTGGATATTGACAAAATGTGAATATTGAAGCAACGAAAATACATAACAATTAACGTAAATATGTCACCTGGACTGTACATGTTTTAGTTTACAGTGTGTAAACAACGTTTGATCATATGTTGTTAGCTTACACTTTTTATCAATATCCTTGTACGTGTAGCATATTTGAATCCACATAGTTTGGATTGAGGTTGTGTTATACTGCAATATCTGAGTAAAATTCAGCTAGGAATTTGGAATAACTGGTTAATAGAAACGCAACAGATTGGCGGTGTGGAGGAACATGGATCTTTGTGTGGATAGATTATTACCAGTAAAATTGTATTAAAAGAAAACACATGAACAAGAATTTCACATCTACTAGCTGTTTACCAAGATGTTAATTATAAAAATATCTCAGTAATAAGTTTGTTTAAAAAGTCATTGCAAAAACAATGAATACTTGAAGGAAATACAAGGATTACACTGATTAACAAGGTGTGGAAGTCAGAAATAGAATTTGTACATTGTTTATTCCAAATAATGTAGGAGGTGAATTTATTTTGTTTTTAAATGTTTATTTCATTACTATCTATACGAGTATACAATCATTGTCCTCTTTAGATATCAGAATTCATAGATGTATGTATCGCAACTTCATTTTTAAAAATAATGGCATGGTCTATATATATGTTTGTGTGTGTGTGCGTGTGTGTTTTATATATAACTTCCAGGGCATCAATTAAACAACATCTGTTCTTAAACATTTTTTTTTTTGAAAAATACATGGTAACTAGCGCAAGTGAAGTAATCACTATATACAACAACCACTTGTCCTGCAACCTCTGTGTACACCATATTATTTACATCTATGTTGTAACCCCACTGAGAGCTGCAATATCACGTTTTCATCTACACCAAGATAATGTGTATGACATTTTTCTACTTGCCGCATAGAGGCATGCCTGTCTAATTAAAAATAATGTGGTAAGTACAAGACATGTAATACAAGGTAACACCTAAAATACACATGATGTCTTTTGTAAAAAATTACAAATATATAACTACTCATTTAGTTGGTGAACATAATATTCTAATCGGTCTCCTAGTTTTAACGTAACCCTGCATCGCCCTGGAACACTAATACTTAAAATAGTCATTGAAATCAACTACCCTCTTCTTGGATGAACCTAGCATCTCTACTCTACTTACAATAGGTAATATACCTTACATCTGTAATCCATGTCAACTACACGGGAAGTTTCATATTATATCAATATATTTTTCCAGTAGTCAAATAATGTATAGCATATTAAATGAACTGATAATATTGTTTAATGTAAAATGGTTATTCGTGTCTCCGGATAGTAATTTGTTCACATTATTCTGACACAATATCAATACAGACGGGTTGGGCCTGCCAAACCGATCGTAATGATATGTTACCATGTAAACCATATTTGCAATAGGCATTGTAGAAATCCATAACCGCACACCAGAAGGAAGGGACCAAAAAGGTTCTGATGCCATGTATTGGCTCCTCCTGTTTCGCAGTAAGGGAAGCAATCCTGTGCGAGATCTGTCAAGAGAGACAAAATATTTCAAAAACGTTTTAGAGTCCTTTTTTTCTTGGAAAGTAGTCCTAACCTCCAGATATAAACTGTGTGTCACTGTCTTATCAGATTTCACATGAAACCAACATGTTTTTATTTGAAAAACGAATTTGGACAAAGAAGATCATTGAGCAAATTGTAGACTCAACTTGGACTGTTTGAAATACACCCCGAACGATTGACAAAGAAAACGATAACATGGTTCTCCGAACCTGCACTTTTTTCAACCCAGAGACAGAACGAATACATTCCCTGACTAATGTGAACGCTTAAAGCTGAAGTTAAATACGAGGCAGTGATCGGTATGGCATTAGGAAACTAAATTTCATCTAGAAAAATTGATCTCAAAAGGTACAGTAAATTCAATCCTGTCACCTAAATGTGCCCAGGCAATAAAATGACCATTTATTTTTATTCCTAGACTCTGCAACCATGTCAACGGTTGAAAAGTCCTTTATTTCCGGAATATAATTAATATACGTCTCAAACTTGAAGATTCGAGATGAAGTTTGATAATTTCAATTTTCTTTCAAAACCTTACACAAAATTCATATTACCTAAATTTGCGAGCTCATGCTGACAAGAATGATTATTCATAATGTCTCTTGGGAAAATTTCGTTAAACTATGAATTTTGACTTTTAGTTTCATATGTAACCAGATAGACTTGATTTATCAGATTCAGTAATTGCTGTCCTTGTGATTCAAAGCTCACTGAGGATCAACAATACTGACACAACAAGAACTCATCATTCATGTAGCAAACGTTGTTATTGGGTTTCGTAAATGCTAGATTCAATACGATGTAACAAGTGTCATTGTCATTATTGCTGGGATGATTCCAATGATTTTTCGAAGTTAAAGAGAAGAAAGATTTCTATTGTCATACCTTGGTGGCTTGATGAATATCCCTTACTTAAGATCAAACTTTTATTCTGCTCTGCATTTCACGAGAAGCAACCAATGTGCCAATCTTTGTACATATAGAAAAGAATATTTGCTTTGTCTTGATTAGAGATGACATTTCTGCATCAAAAGGGACACCAGAGGTAAGTATATGATCTACCATTTGGTCAGGTATTAGTACGAAAACCCATATCTTGTACACAACATTATAAACTTGCTTGTTTTTAATTGCAAAACAGTCGGTACGTTGTTGAATATACCTGTTGGACGGGCAGTGGAAGTCACAGTTCTTGTAGTAGTTTGGTTACAATATGGAGGAGGCGGTTGTCTGTCACAACAAAAGGAAGGTTTGTTTGGCTGAGACGGATGACAAGCAGAATCAGTGTTGTTACTCAACATGGTTGAGCAGTTACAGAGGTAGTGATTGTATTGGTTATTCCAAGCTGTAAAACGAGAAGAGAAACTCTGGAAACATTTGTAAATCATTTATCATGATTGTCTGGTGAAAAACAAGTGTTTGCCCATTTTATAGCAGGATGTATTTCTTTTTTAATTCTACCTTGATGGATATTCAAGGAATTTTATTTAGATATCAGTTTTAAATGATATGACAGAGCACAAGATTATGCCATTGTAGGACGGAATAACTTAAAGTAACCGGTATGCTCCACTGATAGCTTGATACTACAGTGGATTCTAAGAAATTAATCAATCTAATGATGAAACATTTGCGTGCAGAAACATTCCATCTGTCAACATTTCCTGGTACATTTCCCTGAGCTATGAAGCTCCTATCGTAATTATTGGAAAAAAAAACAGTTCTGTATATGTACTGTGATATTTACCCGAGGTATCAGAAGAACAAATGGGTTGAGTGCGGGTCATGTCATGTAGCACTGTGCCCCGGAAACAGCCTAGGATGTAGGGGAAGGTAAATGTCATATGATACCGATATCTTCCGTCAGACCCGATCCTGCCGTGGCATTTATCCAGGTCGGCCGATGTTAGATTCTTTACAATGCCGTTTTCCTGTACCTTAGGCCCGTATATAGCATACCCATCTGCTGCGACCCCCATGAATTCATCTATTTGACCCTCGTAAAGACAGTTAAAAGGAAGCTTGTGGTAGTGGTAAGCGCCATTCTGACTTGCGTGACCATCGCAACTATCTAATATCTCGGCACCAGGTCCTTCCACAGCATTTTGGTTTTGACCATCAAGCGGGTTGTAGAGAGCCACTCCAGTCCTGGCAATGCCGATCATGCCCAAGGAAAGACAACCAGGAACAGCTTCTATTGTAGGATGTTTTGGAATTGGGATATTATAGTTCTGATGGGTAGGTCTGTTAGGGTTTACCATCTCCCACTGATGATCAGGTTCACCGGAGGCCATTATCATGTATCTGGATAAGTGATAATAGAAATCATGTTTGGAATGGATTGGTTATACCTTGGAGTATGTATTAACACAAAACGACGAGTTAATCAAATTAATCTCCGGATTTATCATGTTTAGCTGATGACCATTTGTTTGGCAATTACTCTTTGGTAGAAACAGCTATTAAAGTAAAGCATAACTGAATAACAAATAGACCTGGTTTGTCCAGTGTGATGATTTAACCTTAGCATTGTCTCACTGACGGCCAATTGTTTATTTTAATAGTACATGTTGGAGTGTGGCTGCTCACCTGTCCGCGTGTTCGATAACGGATACCGTAGCATTGAAGTTGCCGGACGTTTGGAAATAGGCCAGCTCTTGTGTGTTTAAACCTGTAAAATTAAGCATATACGATCATTTATAAAATAGACAAAGGCCGAAGGAATTTTCATATGAAAGATTCTTCATACGTAGCTTCATATCCTGTCGAAAGTATGATGTGGACATGATCAGGGCTTCCTGAATGATCAAGTAATTAATAACTACATGTAAATTACAACTTACTCGCTAAACCACATCCATGTTGTCAATAATTAAATATTAAGCAATGGTTTAACGAACAAGTTGTGGAATGACTTCTGAACGGAAACGGTAATTGAGATTTATTTTAGATGTCACGTGTCATTGAATCTAAAGTGTGAGTGCCGATCTGATTAAGCGGCCAAGTAAAATATTTTACAACACTTGCTGTTAAAAACACACACAAACATGTCAGAACAGAATCATAATCCGAAACATACTTATCATTATAAACTGAAATTTAAGTGTAAAATAGAGGAGAATATGAACAAAAGAATGATTTACACGATGGCTCATGAAATGGAGTTAGCGTCTTCTGCTTTATTTAAGACACCTGTCATGTCAATTTGGATACATCCAATTAAATTATGTCATGTTTCGAAATGCGAACAAAGTATACAATAACGGAATCAACAGGCAAACACGTCAAGCTCTATATCGTGCAAAGAAAAAATAATATTTTTCATGGAGATCACCACGAGGTGCGTAAAACTTCATAATAATTTTCATCAGCCTGCCTCTCTCGAAACCCCGTGTTTTATCAATTTGGCTGTCAGCTGTCGAAATATTGCACGCAAATCGTAATATTGGAAAATGCTCTTTAGTATCGAATCAACTGCGACATTTTAACAACATAAGTTCAGAGTGCAGGGTTGTTGCTATCCAGAAATGGAAAACAAACCACAGGAAAATTAAAATTATTAAGCTTGTTATAGAGTTAAGTAGAAAACTGCCCATGTTGGTTTCGTTGCAGGAAAAGATCAAGAAAAGCGGCTGATGTGGAAAAAATCTGTCGTGTCCTTGATCCTTAACATCAATACGTGTACAGAGAACCTCACCTTTTCTTTACAATACCTTAACAGAACGAGGGAAACACTCTTTGGATTTGTGCACAATAGCCGGTACTCTTTTTTTCTTTCTTTTTGATCAAAGTAACAAAAATGTTTGACTTCACCAAAGGGGACCAGTTCCAGTTAATGGGAATATTCTTATGAAAGGAACGATAAAATTTAATTCACCTGAAGGGCTTGCAGTGGTAGACGCGGGAATGGCAGTGGAAGAAGGGGGCCTTGCAGTTGTAGTTTGTGGTTTGGCAGTTGCAGTGGCTGGTCTTGCAGTTGTAGTTTGTGGTTTGGCAGTTGTAGTGGCTGGTCTTGCAGTTGTAGTTTGTGGTTTGGCAGTTGTAGTGGCTGGTCTTGCAGTTGTAGTTTGTGGTTTGGCTGTTGTAGTGGCTGGTCTTGCAGTTGTAGTGGCTGGACTCACGGTTGTTTGGCTGCAATATGGGGGTGGCCTTGGCCTATTACAACAACTTGCAGGCTTGTCTGGGTTAGAAGGATGACAGTCACCATTGGTGTTTCCCGTGGTTGTTGTCGAACAGTTACACAAGTAGTGACCGTAAACTCCATCCCATACTGGAAACACGATATAAATGTGAAATACAAGGACGGCTTTCTATTAATGCAGTAATATGAGGCTATAGCTATTTTTCTTTTGTGTTACCAGAAACACGTTTCGTTGTGCATTAAAGATGTAATACCAATAAATCAAAAAATAATATCAGTAAACACAATCTTGCTGTCATGTATTATAGATTCATTCATATAATTCATTAAACAGAGAAAAATCAACTCGAAAAACATTATTTGTTGATGTATACCGCAGAGTATGGGGGCAGAAGAGCATAAATGAAGAATAATGTCATTTATGTTTTATATTGAAAATATTTCAATGCCTATACTACCAATCAATGATATGTTTATGACGTAATTTTTAATCAATCAATCAATATGATGCAAGGATAATAAGTTTTGCTGTCCAATTTGTGAAAACCGTGCAAAGCTTATCATTGTTTCTTGACCTTTAGTGCACCTAGGTTACCAAAGAGGGTGGTGTAAAGTCATTATCAATAGCAGTGACGAAAATGTTGGGAAATGATATTTACCCGAGGTATCAGATGAACAGACAGCTTGAGTGCGGGTCATGTCATATAGTACTGCGCCTCGGAAACAGCCTAGGATGTAGGGGAAGGTAAAGGTCATATGATACCGATATCTTCCGTCAGACCCGATCCTGCCGTGGCATTTATCCAGGTCGGCCGATGTTAGATTCTTTACAATGCCGTTTTCCTGTACCTTAGGCCCGTATATAGCATACCCATCTGCCGCGACCCCCATGAATTCATCTATTTGACCCTCGTAAAGACAGTTAAAAGGAAGCTTGTGGTAGTGGTAAGCGCCATTCGGACTTGCGTGACCATCGCAACTATCTAATATCTCGGCACCAGGTCCTTCCACAGCATTTTGGTTTTGACTATCAAGCGGGTTGTAGAGAGCCACCCCAGTCCTGGCAATGCCGATCATGCCCAAGGAAAGACAACCAGGAACAGTTTCTATTGTAGGATGTTTTGGAATTGGGATATTATAGTTCTGATGGGTAGGTCTGTTAGGGTTTACCATCTCCCACTGATGATCAGGTTCACCGGAGGCTATTATCATGTATCTGGATGAGATACAATAGTTTAACTATTTATAGCGACAATCAACTTTGTTAGTCTCAGTATTGAACGGTATTTAAGTTTGTGTATGAATATTTCCAGAACACAAAATGCTGATCAGAGGATGCGATTTACACTACTGTGTAATGAAAAATGCCGACATATGAACTAAACGATTAATAAACTAAAACTTTACAAATATTTCTGCTTCATAGACACCCTCCATGTAAATGGTGGTCAATCAAAGTGATATTACATTCTCAAATGAGACCAAGATGAACAACAGAACCACCATGTTTGCTTTGTTTGTTATACAACATGTTTTCTGGTATTTTTCTATGCCATTGTCACGTTGTTATGTATGTAACATCAGCACGGTGTTTATCAATTAAATACCCTTTCCTTACGTTCCTGGTTCTTACCGATCCGTTTGTTCGTTGATGGATACAGTAGCATTGTATCTACCAGTTGTTTGGAAATAACCGAGTTCCTCTGACGTCAATCCTGTTACGTAAAACAAACGTGAATATTTTAATCTGATTACAAAGCTTGTGAAAATAACTCTGTGGTGAAAATCGGTATCATAAGGATGACTTGACCTCTAGATGATTGTTAGGACATTCTACGTTTTATTCATAAATTTCAGTTATATTGGATACAGCTGAAGATGAAAAACAATGGGTTTCAAGAACTGAAGATAAGACAAATGGGGTTTAAACGCTTTTAATAAACTATAACGACATAACAAATGAACTCACGAGTTCGTAGAATTCCGATAAATCTCTACATTTCATTAAACATTAATAGAACTTCATCCGTATCGAGTTAGTTTTCAATTTTTGTTGCAAGTGTTGACATTTGTACATCACATAATTACACAAGAATACTGATATTTTGTATCTTTTCTTGGAGTTTATTCAAAGGATCTTATGGGGAGAAAGCCAAGTTTATGACATGTATTTTTGTTTCCAATTAGATAATTGTGCCTTATAAAATATTAACATTTTGGTGAAAATATCGAAGACATGAGTGCATCACTTTGTTACTGTACTAAGGCACTGATATGTTGTATCGGGGCCCTGGTTATGGAAGATTTTGGTTAAAAACATTTTTTTAGCTCACCTGCCCCGTAGGGCCAAGTGAACTTATGCCATGGCGCGGCGTCCGTCGTCCGTCGTCCGGCCGTCCGTCCGTCCATAGTGAGATATCACCTTCATCCTGAAAACAACTTCTTCTCAATATCCAATGGACCAAATGTTTTGATATTTGGCTGTTTTGGATGAAGCCCGACAAAGTTCTCGGAAAGAAATGACCTTGACTTATATTCAAGGTCAAAGGGGTCAAACTGAAAGACCTAAAGGCATGATATTTGGCTGGTATGTTCCCAAATAGAGACCGACAAATATCATTAAATAATATTTAAGGTCAAACTTGTTAAAACATTTAAATGAAACTAAAATGCTTAGAGCTATGGTATTTGATTGGTATATATATACCAGGTGAGCGCTGCAGAACTATTGGGTCTCTTGTTTAATTTCTGTGTCTAGTAAGATATTACTACATCGCTTTGTAATAACAATTCATAATTTTTATTTGAAATCAGGTTTCCATGAGGTTTAATTGGCCCTTTCCAGAGAACGACTAAAAGGTTGTGGATTATTGACAAACGCTTGTTCAAATATCATATTGGACGAATTCACGAAACTGCTGCATTCATAATGATTTAATTTGTATTACAAAACCCTTATATCTGCTTACTGTGACATAGATACGGGGGCTGATTCATAAGTTGAGAGCCTCATATTTAATGGTTTGACTTTTGGTGGACATATTGCTTTATTTTTTAAACAATATCCCGTTCAGTATCTATACACTTTTGCCAGCAATGTTTAAGGGCCCCAATGCCACTTTTTCAACAGTCCTGTTTTTTACTGTTCAGAAAGTCCTCCACCGCGTATATTTAATTTTGAAAATAGATGAAAGTCTGATTGAGTGAGAACAGAAGAATATGACAGGCGCTCAATCAATTCAAAGTTACAATTCTAATGGCAGCCATGGCAATGACAGACTTGAGTCTGAGTTAAGTGATACATAATATGTGTCATTGATTGCTTGTCCCGTTTGCAGATAACCGTACATCAGAATACCATTAGTATCCCAGAAAACAGAGCCAATAACATTTCACGCTGGTAGAACAGTATTTGCCTTCCGTTGGCGGGGGTGAACAAGGGTGCTTCCAAATATTATATCACAACTCTTTCAGCGGTTTCGTTCATTTTGCAAAAGTCACTTGCCTTGTTTACTTTATAGTGCTGCCTCTTCGACATAAACTGACCAAATGTTTAGGTATTTGTGTTCCTAACTGAATAATGATGTCAATACGGAAAATGTTATGTTCCACTAACATTAGAAGAAAATATTTTCCGTGTTGTGATGATGCTTCAATTATTGACTCGATTCACTTAGTATCTACAAGTTTAACTACACATATATAAATAGTCCGAAGAGCACTTTGGAAGGTGAATTCTGCCAGTCATAGTAGGTCTTACTTTATTTTTATTTCAACAAATTTTATTGACAAAGATGGTACAGTCAATGTGGATTGAATAACAGGCAAAGCCTATATAAATTCTTCCCACGAAGCCAAAGTTAACCAAGTTTTAGAGCAATGATATAAATTATATAATTTGAAATAAAAGTGAATTTCTAAACACAGAAAGGGAAAAAAAGGAAAACCAAATAAAGGGAGATAACTCTCACACATCTCTCATACAATATGCACAGTATATATATATATATATAGTATACAGCAACCTACATTTGTATACACTTGCAATAATACATATCAATGATAAATTTTATATCAAACAGATTGACAGGTTGGCTTGTTTTTATTTATTACATATATGTATTGTCTTATGATTTAATAATATAAGGATATTTTAAATCAAATTTATATTCAGAGAAAAAATGTATTGGTTTACAACTTACCGCTGGCATATATGCACGAAACTGTCATTGACAGTACATTTACCAGAAGTGTTCTTTGGACAAGCATTTTCCTACAATACCCTGGAAACAGAAATGAAAATGTACTTACCAATTAATAATTCCTTTGGTCACCTACGACGAGGTTCATTTGTTATACAATGCTGACAGTTACTGATATTTAGACGTTTAAAACGTCAATTGACACTGAATTTCCTAAGAACGAGGAAATCTAGCAACCGAGGCAAAATATAACAACATGAGTGTTCTCTGTATAACCACTGCTGTCGATGTTATATATGCACTGGATCGTAATCGCAAACCCTCATGAGCAAACATTTAAGGCCAAGATTTTGGACCGTAACTCCCTGATGCACGAGAATTTGAAAAGGAAGGTACTGGATGATAAACTTTGGTAACATCATTGTCACTGTTAGTGACTCTTCTTATTGAAACCATTATACTGACAATAATGATAACCTCGGACCTGCTAACTATATCGAAAATCCTCTTATTATTGTATCTGTTTTTACAGATTGATTGATTACATAGACATACCTAATTAAGGACACGGATGAAAATATAATAACGTTATACATACCTTATTTTGCAGTGGTTTCATTCAGTAAGAATCCATTCAGTACACCTGTCCGCAGATTCGATGCGTTGTTATGTATATAGTCCGGCGCCGAGATCTGGTTCAAAAACTAAGCACATATATTCTATTTATAGTACGGTGGTCATTCGGATGGAACTATAAGACGATTTTTATAGGTGTAACCGGTTGCTCTATTGGTATGCCTTTTAAATACTAAAGCTCACGATATCGTGACAATGAAGCAAAGTTTCTCACGATGTGTCCCAGTTTTGATAAATAGGAAACTTTAGGATACAAAAGAGGAAATTTGACCAGTGTTAAAACGTTTTCATTTATATGTTACCAGATATATGTTTGCTTCAAAATTTGATTACATTACCCGTGCAACACATGTTATTAAAACAGACAAATGCTATTACGACTTCGCGCCTTAGATTAAAATTAAAATCCATTCATTTGAAAAGCTACAGGTCTAACTCGTACTAGAAACACACCTACAAATGAGATATTTCTATACTATTTGGCTCCATAACACTTTTGCTATTTAACGCTTACTATAGATTAAGATTTGCCAAATGCTTCTAGTTATTCTAACAGTAGTTGTTTAAATCTCATTTATACACAAGACGTCAAGAGGAACATTTCAAAAGAAAAAAAAACAAAATCTATTACGACTTAACCAATGCATCTCTATGAAAACAACAGCATTGCCTACATGAAAAACGACTGTGTCTGTTGTAGTGTTACATATTGTAGATGTTATGATCTCATCCTGACCGAAATACTTTTGAATCTTTACTGATATTAATATATTATTCGTTAGAAATGAGCAGAAAGGAAAATACTAAAGTCTGGGTCCTTACCTACGTTTACCTTTAAAATAAACGTTTATTGCGTCAGCGACATCACCAGGGACTGCTCTAAGGGGTAGGTCATATTAAGTTCTAATTCTATTAACTTGGCATTGAATTAAGATTCAGACAACATGTCGATATTATGTATGTTGTTCTATACGACAGGCTTATGTTGAATAATACTCTATTTCTTTGTGCGTTATGAAGCTGGACGTGTTTGATACTCGTTGTTTCCGTTGTTTCATACCTGAGAACCTGACATTACTTAATTGGCTTAACCACAATTTACTTGCCGAGTGTCGTCGCATTCTCCATGTATTTTTTCTGGAGTGTCTGTGTAAAGTTTTCCTTTTTGTTCATATTGTGTGCTAGTTTTTTCAGCTTTGGCTATGATTATGTTGACATTTTGGTATTTTCTTGTTATTTTTCCTATTAGGATGATACATTTTTCATTATCGAGATAATTTTGTGACCTCACCCAAACTACACAAGAGTGTCATGTCACATTTTCCGTGTTCTTTAAATATTCTATTTCTTTGCTTTGAGTTTGTTTATTGAACTTACCTAAATACATTGTATATGCTAGATGAGAGAGAAAACGATTCCAGTGGTCACAAAAGTTAGCTTTATTAAAAAAAACAAGAAAACAAAACATTCATCTCTAAAATCATGGACATGCATAGTGGCCATGACATTATTTTCTAACTATGTTTTGACGCACCACAGTATCTTCTGGAATAGATTTGGAAAGCGTCATTTTTACAGAGTCGTAGAATACGGAAGCCTGCGCTGGATATATCATTGAAGACTTTTGTCGAACTCATATTCGCCAATACCTGCTCCCACACGAGTAAGGATCGTGATGTAGTCGCCATATGTTTTAATGGAATCAATCTGTTCATCAAGGAAATCGTGCTCCAACATGTGACTCAGCTGTCAACAAATACATAGTATCGATAATGTATCGGATGTAGCAATGTATTCAATGCCAGGTTCTAATTCAAACAAAATTGTGATGTTTCTCGTTCTTGTTGACAAGAATTGCCTTACGCCGTCTTTAACCTGCATTTATCTTACAATTGTGGTCCTATCATTTTAGCCACTTACGTGAGGGTCGCTTGATGTATTTTTGTGGAGATCAAGAAGTTGATCGTTGACATATCTTTCAAGCACTAAGGAGTCTTGCATAGCTTGGAGCCCCGAAAACCACGTACTGTGATCCTTCTACAAACATTAGTGAAATACCACTCAAATACGTTGTCAATTAGACTTCGTGCGGCTATAAATATACAGTGTATCATGTTTACATTATTATGCTAGTTATATACACTATTTTAACTTGCACGTTTAAATATTCGGGAGTTTGCATTCTCTTCTGTTTTACTTGCAAAGCATGTCATGTCGTCTATTTTATATTGATATATCATGTACGTTGTTTAATTACATAAATTTTGCAATTTATTGAAATTATTATATCTTTAGAAATGGGGTTTTATCATCATGTTTTCCAAGTACATACTGGTAAATTAAATATTAATTATAGAAAAACACATCTGGTAAACATACATATGACTTCATCATTACATACATACCGAACATGTCGCATCTGAATGACTTTTTTCTCTCGACATAAAGTTGCAAATCTACAATAAGAAAAGTAAAAATGGGGAATTCAGCACAAAGAACAAACGTGGTTGGCAAATTTTGAAGGAGTTGAGCAGGGATATCCTTTTTCAACTATTTCCTGACCCTTAAAAGCTGTGTAGCCGAAGACTTGTGTCATTTGATCACTTCATGTCGACAATGCAGAACTCTAAAGTAAACAAGGCAAGTGAAATTTCGAAGTGGACAAAACAGCTGAAAGAGCAGTGATTTAATATTTGTATAAGAAAGGTATATCACCTAAGGACATCCTTACTGATATGGTAGCAACACCAGGGTGTGGTGCCTATTCATATGTTACAGTGAAATGGTGGGTGGCGGAATTTATGCGTAGTACGCAGACCTTGGGGATTACGCCTGTCCTGGAAGGCCTGTCACTGTTGCCTCCCCAGAAATGGTCAGTGAAGTACATTATATAGAGATTTACTCAGTACAGTTGGGATTCCACACCAAAGAGCACATTTCGTTCTTACGGATTTAAGATCTTGTTTCTAGATCAGAAGCACACCGGGTGGACGTTGCCACGTGCTAATATGAATCCTTTTGAGGCAGATCCTGCTAAATTTCTGCGCAGGTTTGTGACTATGGAGGAAACATGGGTCCACCATTTTACCCAAGAGGCCCACCACAGTCTAAACAATGAAAACACTCTGGTTCACTCCCACCAAAGAAGGCAAAGACTGTTCCATCATCTGGAAAGGTTATGGCCTCAGTTTTCCGGGATACATTAAATTATCTGCAAAAGGGTCAAACAATCAATGACACATATTATGCATCACCTCAAAGGCAATTAAGAGAAAATATCAAACTAAGGCGCTGCGAAAGGTCAGTAAAGAAGTGTTGTTTGACCAGGACAATGCCCCTGTTCACAAATCTGTGGTTGTCACAGCTGCCATGAACGATTGTGGCTTTGATTTAATTGAGCATCCGCCTTATTCTTCTGATATCGCTCCATCAGACTTTCGTCTATTTCCATAGTTGAAAAAGACGATTTCCAATACCTACTTTCGGTCAGATGATGATGTCATTCATGCAGTGGAGAACTTTTTGAACATTCGAGAAAAGAACTTTAAAAGTGGAAATGAGGCCCTTAAACATCGCTGACAAAAGTGTATAGATACTGAAAGGTACCATGTTGAAAAACAATGCAATATGTCAGCTAAAAGTCAAAGTTTTAATATGAGGCTATTACCTTATCATCAGCTCTCGTAGATCAAAAGCATAAGAGAATAACAAATCAACGATACATTACTTGGAAATATGCTTTAAATGTGCGTGTGAGATAACGGTAAGAAACAGGAAATAAGCTTTACACATGCGTGCGGGAAAGAGTAAGGAACAGAAAATATATTTTAAACTTGCGTGCGGGATAGGGTAAGAAACGGAAAATAAGCTTTAAACTTGCGTGCGGAATAAGGGTAATAAACAGGAAATAAGCTTTAAACATACGTGTGGGATAAGGGTAAGACACAGGAAATAATTTTTTTCACAGGCGTGCGGGATAATGGTAAGAAACAGGAAATAAGCTTCAAAAATGATAGCGGGATAGGGATAAGAATCGGGAAATATGTTTTAAATATGTGATTATACCATGGGACGGAAAAAAGTTATTTGATTATCAAAATTGTTTGGTTTTTTTTTTTTATTCGGAGTAAGGATACACTATCATAACTGCGCCGAAAGTAGGTTAACAAGTTGTTACAAATTCGTCGGTAAACACCTATAGCTAGCTAAGAAAAGTTTCAGCAGGAATAGCTTAATAAACTTGTTATATGTACATTTACTATTCCTTTTATTCACAGCTAGCTTAGCTGTAAAATAAACTTATGTTATATGAGTTACAACTGTATAATCCATAACAAACGTATAAGCTCATTAAACCGATTAAACGGAGACTTGCTTGAATTGCTTTATAGAGCGTTTATGCTTTTGAAATATGATTTATATGTATGTGTGTACGTAATACTGATAATGTCTTCCTGAGCAAAAAGTAAATTTATGCATCGCACATATACGAGATATGTCGAGAGCATTATGGGCTTGTTTCGACTTTCTACTGATGTTAATTCGACTTACACAGGCTTCCTGTCTGTTGAATTGTGGAAAATCCGCCAGCTTTGTTGACACTGTGTCGCACACATCTTGAAGCTTTGAAATATAAGAAAAAACATTTCATTGATCCAACAACAATATGTGAGTTATAACAATATTGTAAAATAAGTGTAGATTATGAACATCAATTGTCTTTTATCGATTAGGTTGTATAACCGACATTCACGTTAATTCATGCATAGTGTTACGTTTTCAATATATCAAAGAAAGTCTTGAATCGGTTTTATTTAGCTGACTTTGAGCTATACGATCAGATGAATATTTAGATCCTAAAGATATGTTTCATTCTTCTTTTCTAGTTTAAAGAAAAGAATACCGAACAGGATTGAAAATTCGTTTTCTAAAAAATTGTGTGCACTAGCAGTCCTTACTGTAATGGTATTGAGGTCAACCTCTCCTCCTCTCATATTGAGGTAATTCATCAGTTTCTCGGCATGATCATTTTCTTCTTTAGCCGCTGCAGAAAACCACTTGGCAAAGCCATCCAAAGCAATATCGCCACGCTTGAAAAATTTACTCTGTAATAGATAACCTACTGCTTCGATTTCTATGGCAAATATCAGTTATTTCAGTGCTTAAAGGAATGCTAGTCTTCGTTGATACAAGCCTTTGGGCTGAACAAATTATGGCAGGTTTCCTTAGTGTGACACTTTGATTCATATCTATTTGTAATTCTTAGTGAAAATCGATGAAACAAGTAAAAAAAATTCACGACAGCGAAATTTAAATGGCCTCTAAGGAGAAAGTACAATGAAAACAACAGCGATGCTTTCTTTAATGCCCATGACCTTTGTCAGAGGAAATGAATGAAGAAGTTGATGAAAAAATCAAGAAAATACCAACATAGCAACATAATCATAATTCAAACTCAAATTCCATAAAACAAGGGTGAAATATGAACAAAAGAAAGATTTACACGGAAACCCCTGAAAAAGAATAAGACAAAGTGTTTTGGAAAAGTAAGCGTCTTCTGCTTCATCGATGACACATGCGATGTAAATTTTGGTGAAGGTATACTTCATGACAAATGATGATGGTTCTATGTTGATGAGTTCCTTGTGAATGTGTATTCACTACTTGAATAAATAAAACATTGCCATTTGGCAGGTCATGATTGATACAATTGCTTATAGTTTTGGCTGTTAGTTGTTTAATATATCATTCTATATTTGTATGAGATACTTACATAGGCCTGGTAGAAGTAGCTGGCTAACTGTTCCTTGTTGATATGGTTTACCACATGTTCTATGTTGGTGTCCACAAATTGGTCCCTAACGGTATCTACATTTTTCGTCGGCTGCCCTTTATTAAAAGCAAAGAAATACCATTGCAGTATTTATTAAATGTAAACTTTATTCAATCATACTTTGGATAAATACAGATAGTAAGTTGTAACAATACTCAAGTAAATAGCAATTTTTAATACAGATTTATAATTAGATACCATAGAGCCAAACAACAAATTAAACTGCATACTACAGCTTCAGCGACACCCATTGTCTAAATTTTGAAACATATGAGGACTACATAGTGATCGGAAAAAAATGTCAGTATATAAATTGTGGTGTATATTAATTCAATAAATTTCGTAGTTTTCAAATACAAGTATCTGGTAATTTCAGAAGAACGCCAAGTATGTGTGTATATTCCGAATCCACTATTTGAATGAATTAAAAGGTGACATGTAGGTGCACCTGTTCGCTTATAATAAAGTATGTCACACCCAAGCAATTAGTATTTTACAAGTAGGATTTATTTAGATGTTGTTAACCTAAGTCGATATGATAATAAGAGTTGTCTTTTAGTTAGCTCCCGTCGTTTGACTAGAAGAAAGTACCCAAGTGATATATAACAGTGTAGATGTATTGTATATGTAACACGCAATCACCTGTTTATAAACCTACAAATGGAAAAGTTAATTTGTGTATTTGTGTCGTTTAAATCAGGTCCAACTATGAATAAAGAATATAGTATACATTATATACTATCGTAAGAAAGGAGATTGGCAGGTTATGTCAAATAAATGTGACAAAAATATTCCCTCGTGCATTGGTAACCAATTCGTAATCAATTTCATTATGAAAATTGTAATCAAAACTTATTTCATGTAAAAATAAACCTTGCATTTTTGTTCTTTTTGTCTTTTGGTTTTTTTTTTTTTTTTTTTTTGCACTGTTTCCTTTTGTGTTTGATGCAGCATGCAACAAAAAGATACATATAACACAACGATTACCCGTATTAAACTGGAATGTCCCGTACTCTAACAAAGCTCAGGTCGTCACCTAAAGAAACTTCACGTTTTGATGTCAGCCATTGCATTATTTCTCGGTCAATGCATCGTCTTAACAAAACCACACATGTTGACTAGTGTCCCAGGAATGGCAGACCTCGGAAGACTTCAATTTGACAAGAAAGACTTCTGGCAGGCAAAACGAGCCCCGTTCATCTCTGCCATCAGATTCGGGAATAGTGGGAAGTTAATGTTTGTATTAGCCGACGTCAACACACGTTTGAACATCAGGCGACTTTACTCTCGTTGACCAGTACAACGTTCCTTGTTGATTGGAAGGCACAAACAAGCAAAACTGCAATGGGCTCATGATCATCAAACATGACATTTTTAGGTTTTGGCGAAGTGTCCATTGATCTGATGAAAGTCACGTTTTGATTAGGCAGTTCCGTGTTTGAAGAAATATGGCATGCTATAAGATAATGGTGGCGATGTTACAGTCTGGGGATGTTTTTTAATCTTAAATGTAGGTTTGGTTACGTGTCCTTGATAAAAGTTTAAATGTACAGACATACTGCGATCGACCTTTAGTTGTTCCGCATTTCGATTCCCATTTATACGCAGTTGTCCTATCTTAATGAATAACAATGACAAACCACACAGAGCCCGCCTTTTGCAAGAGTATCTTCAACAAGATAGAGATGCCACCAGATATGATCCCGATTGCGCATGTGTAGAACTCTGTCGGATACAAGATGCAAGAGTGGCAGGAACTTCCTCAGAACAAGCTTCTGTGTCCGGTCAATGACATGAGAAGACGGTCACAAACACGGTTACAGTGACTAAAAACGTGTAAGCTATAACCAATAGTGACATTTTTGTATCCAGCGAAAGTCGTTTATATCTCATGTAGTTAATTTTCTTGGTCAAGTTGAATGTTGGTGATTTAATGACATATCTGTTAATAAAAGCCAATTAAAGTAAAACTTTTGTTCTAGACGTTTAGAATGGCTTTTTACCACGTCTTTTTAAAACGATATATTGACAGTGTATAGTTTCGTACTTTAAACACATTCCTGTATAGCCTGTTGAGATTTAATTGAATATTTTTTTCTAAAATACATCAAATTAATCCCAAACTAAGACGTGGGTTTTACCTAACTTATAGCCCAAGTATATATATATATATATATTTGGTGGTCGTCAGAAGTGACGAATATACCACAAGGAACGCTTTCCCTGTCAGGACTTGGTTTCACTTCCGACATGTTAAGATAGTATGTTATGGTGCTTACTCTGTAAATCTATTAGATATTACAAACAATTACAACGATATCATTTAACGAAGGTAAAAACGACATAATTTGTTTCGTGTACATAATATCAAACATTGTACAATATATGAAAAGTTCAATTACTAGATTGAATTTCATTCTCAACAGGATTCAGAAAGCCAAATAACGCGCGTGAAATGAGTTAATGTCATTTTATAGAACATATGAAATTTAAAGAAAAGAGCAGGATATTCAAAATATCAACATTGTTTCTTGGATACTCACTTGCAAAGCAAAAGGCCAAAAGGCAAACAAAAATGATGAGCGTCCTCATAACTTCGTTGTGTGTTCGATAGATTTCTTTTGCCTAATGGCGTCGGTTTTTGTAATGATACTGGTGGACTTGGATAGCTCTAACGTAGTTTGACTCTCACGTGATATGATGATGTCAATGGATTATCATCATTTATTGATAATGCCCGGCCTGTATGAACCTTGTCAGGTGCGCGTAACGATCAAGGTAACTGTATCACGAATGAGGATAACAGTGCGAGCATTGACCGATAACTTATATATACAAGTACATAGCATAGTTTAACAAAACCTCTGACATCTACCCACTGATACATTTATCTTGCAAATATGACTCTAACATCATACTTTGGGTTAAGTGTAACAGAGATCAGACGCCGAACGTTCACGGACACTGTAGAATTGAGTGACGGACGATAATTTTCAGATATTTTTACTTAGAATTTCCTTTTAATTCTATAGTCTTGTTCCATTGGGATGTGGATGAAGTACAGTACCGTCTTTTAGGAGGAAAATACTCGAACAGAATGAAACCAAATAGAGAAGATAGACAACTGAAAACGTAACATCGTACTTATACACAGTATACACAACCTACCATCACATATCTGAATTATAACATGTAAATCATCTTTGATCTATTTAATTGTCAATAATCGAGGAACTTTAATTAGGAATACCATCTTTATTTAACACTAAGTAGTGGAAAAGTTTTCAATTAAAAAAAGAAATTGATATCAGCATTCATTAATACCGATTAAGCTACTTGAAAAACATTAGATTCCTCAAATACGCCTTGATTTCGGCTGTCGCAATAGCTCATTTTGTTAATGAAAACGCAAAGATCGTATCCGAGGTGTGCGGTTCGGTACACCCTACCCATGACACAGGTGTATGGCAGTTAGTGGACAAGACACTTAACATCAATTAATCTGGATGTCATGGGAGTGCCTCCCTAGTTTTGTTCAACGAGGTAGCCACCAGCTACTACAAGGATACGCCGTCTCAAAATGACACTGGGTGCTCAGAGGTTGATAAACGCAGCAAACTACATGTAACAAACGCCACAATTTCCACTATTCATGTGAATGCAATGTAATATATACCGCATATAATGCAGTGAATAGTATCATTACTCTGACATCAGATGGTTTCATGGAGATCTGAATTATATATCAGATACGACTTATTTAGATAACCGGTGTTTTACCTGTGATATCTTAATGATAATTGACCTCGATATGACCACATATGCGCATTTGATTTGTACCGTAGTTGCTCGTTATAGCGCTCTATACAGGTGTGCTGGATACTTGAAACGACAGTTAATGAGATGAAAACATATACGGCACTACACGGAACACATAATGATATCATGACCGTTGAAACTTACAATACACTATCGCTCTCACTGCCCCTGGAACATTTCATGGCCGAATTGTTGGCACAAGCGAAGTGATTTTATTGGTCTGGAGCTGGTTTCAGGAGGAAAAACAACTGACTAATCGCAGACTTTGAAGATTAAAAAGGCGCGACACCCAACTTCAAAGCCATTACCACATACAGTTAAGCGGCCTCGATATTTGTTTGATGCAAATCAAGGGAACAAACCAGTCTTATCGACTAATCCACAAGGTGCCGCACATGGAATCTTCGATTTTGCCATGAAATGTTCCAGGGGTACAGAAAGCAATCGTGATCGTAGTCCCTGGAGTGTCGAGGATGGTTCCAGGGGTACAGAAAGCAATCGTGATCGTAGTCCCTGGAGTATTCGTGATGGTTCCAGGGGTACAGAAGGCAATCGTGATCGTAGTCCCTGGAGTGTCGAGGATGGTTCCAGGGGTACAGAAAGCAATCGTGATCGTAGTCCCTGGAGTGTCGAGGATGGTTCCAAGGGTACAGAAAACAATCGTGATCGTAGTCCCTGGAGTGTCGAGGATGGTTCCAAGGGTACAGAAAACAATCGTGATCGTAGTCCCTGGAGTGTCGAGGATGGTTCCAGGGGTACAGAAAACCATCGTGATCGTAGTCCCTGGAGTATCGAGGATGGTTCCAGGGGTGCTGAGAGCGATATTGCTAGTAACCCCTGGAACAGTTAAGATGCAAACGAGGCGAACTTCCGTAAATTTTGATAGGAGAGTTAGAATGATGATTAATTTAAATTATAATTGGTTGCACTGAATTGGCCATATGGGAGAAGAAAATGGTCGGGTACTTCAACCGCTAATACAAGGAAGAAATGGTCAAGCACTGAGATGAGGCTTGAAACGCTTATACAAGGAGGAAATGGTCAGAAACTGAGAGGATGCTAGAAACGCTAATACAAGAAAGAAATGGGCAGGCACTTAGAGAATGCTTGAAACGCTAATACAAAGAAGAAATGGTCAGGCACTGAGAGGGTGCTTGAAACGCTAATACAAGGAAGAAATGATCAGGAACTGAGAGGATGCTTGAAACGCTAATACAAGGAAGAACTTGTCAGGAACTGAGAATATGCTTGAAACGCTAATACAAGAAAGAACTTGTCAGGACCTAAAAGGATGCTTGAAACGCTAATACAAGAAAGAAATGGTCAGGCACTGACAGGATGCTAGAAACGCTAATACAAGGAAGAAATGGTCAGGCACTGAGAGGGTGCTTGAAATGCTAATACAAGAAAGAAATGGTCAGGCACTGAGAGGATGCTAGAAACGCAAATACAAGAAAGAAATGGTTAGGCACCGAGAGGATGCTTGAAACGCTAATACAAGGAAGAAATGGTCAGGACCTGAAAGGATGCTTGAAACGCTAATAGACGGAAGAAATGGTAAGGTACTAAGAGGATAATTGAAAGGCTAATTAGAGAAAAATGATCAGGTAGTGCGGTGGTAACATTGAAATGCTAATATTAGAATAAGAAAATAGGTAGAGTGAGGGAGAAATACGAGGAAAAAATAGATAAGTACGTCATGATGCTAGAAACTGTGATGCAAGAAAAAGTGGATTGGTACAGCGGAGGATACATAAGAAAACTGAAGGAAAAAATCATCAGGTACTGCGGGAGAGACACTGAAATCCTAATACGGGCGAAAATAAATGGTCATGTGCATTGAAATGATTTTATTATATAGTAAAAAATCTTGTGCGGTGAGGGGTATATTGAAATGATATCATAAAACTATGAGAAGTATATTGAAATGATAAAATTCGAGAAAAATAAGGTCGGGTTTATGTATATCATTGAAACAATATCATGATTAAGAAGGTCGAGTATAATGAGGAGTACACTATTATGAATAATACGGTAGATGAACAGAAGTACAATTATGTTGACGTTGCACGCACCTTCAGAAAGATAACACTGTTATCGTATGTTTATTCCGTGTCATAGTACAAATGTATTTCAGGGATAGACAGTTATCCTATCTGTATACCGGTTACTAATTAGAACAATTATAATAGAAACAGATAATTAAACATGAGGATGTATTCAGTGGGTGTGTTGGTGTCGATTTTGGCGTGGCTGACGTATGTGGGGCCGGGCAATAGTCAGTCTCCACAAGTGCCGCCTCCAGTCAAATCAGGTACGTTTATGATGTATATATCATGTTAAATTAACAGTACATTTGTATTTCTTACAGCTTATTTAACTTCGTATGACAAGTGTCAAACATGATAGCAGGAACATTAAAATCGGGGTGTTTAGTGACGTGTACTGATATTTAAAAAAGAATATCACCGTGTAGAACGATTATGTCAATAAGATGCTTACATCAACCCAGTACAATGTAAGGGTTGTAGGAAGTTTTATGTGGGTAATACGTTGTACTGTACATTCGCGTGTCATTACCGTGTAAGATGTAAACACTAGTTTGGGTACTTTGCTAATATACACCTAGTATTTCAATATATTTGTATATTCCTTTTGTGTGTGAACTCGCAAAATGATTTATATCCAACTTTACCCCTGGCGTCAAATATGTCGTGATCACATTATAATAATTCACGTAAAACATGCATTAACCGATCTTTCACAAAATATTCAAATTGTAGTAAATTACGCATGCATCACCTCTCAGGTAGAGCTTTCTCATAGCAGCCGGGTCAAGCTAGTTTAGTTACCAAACTTTTATTGTGACTTCTATGTAATTACCTCGATCACGACAGAACAAGTTAAATCATCACGGATTTTGAATAAATTTTTTAACTTGATAATGAAGTCCCAGGTTACAGAGATGGGTACAGCAGTGCGCATAATATCCTTAAGATAAAATGGTGGTTGAGTACAATGCATCATGATATAAAGTATCATTATAACCGGCAGGGATTATTAGCTAACCAAAAGCCACAAGAAGTCTTTACATACTTACTCACGAATCATCCCCATGAAAACCTAGGAAGCACCGTTGGGCATCTCTGAACACAATTTTCACGAACATTGCTTCTATCCCTACTTCTTAATGATACACTTGTGTTTCGAGACGTCCTCACAATGTTTTATTGAATAAGAAGAGATCACATTTGCAAGCATCATACCAATATATTTCTTTCTGATTTAAAAATCTATTTGCTGTTATTATTTCTTTTAATTCGTCAAAGGATGTTTTTATTCCAATAAGTAAATTATAAACATTCACAAAATGCTGAACTGGTTTTGTCTAAAAGAATGAAACGTACTTGAGTGCACTAACAGACTGAATTATTTGTGAGTTTGTGTGTGTTATCTATTTTCGCCATCTTGATATGACGATTCAGATCACACATTACCCGTGTCTTATTCTTTACACAGACCCTGAACCAGCTAATGAACTTTATGGCTTTGATGAGGTGAAGGCACGTTCTTTTATGGTCAAAAACATCAAGACGTCATTCCAGTCCTACTACACGTACCTGGCAATTGTAATGTATTTTTTTCATGTCAACTATCAAAGTCAAAATTTACAGACTAATGTTTATAGCCCAATGTAAACTTTCAGAAGCATTCGCCATAACCAGTGTATTGGCATTTATTATGTTATGACTGTCAGAATACTTCAAATAAGTAGATAAGCTAATGTACAGGATATTGTGCATTATGTAAATCTACTATCCTAAACAAGTATGTTTGTCTATCAATTATTTAATTACATTTGTACTGCGAGGTCGAGAAACAACAGTTTGAGTGTTGACATGAACAGCGACTGGTACAAGTATCAGTGCGCAAAATTTATGCTTCGTATTGTAGCTGACAATTTTACAGTTGTATTACATTTGTGAGAAAATTTGAAAGTTATATAACATATATTCGAATATCCGAATATCTATTAAATAAAATCGTAGTTCAACGCACGCTGGTTTTCAGTATCATTAACTGTTGAAGTACTTATTTTATTTTCTATATATGACGTTACGATTTAAATGTGAAATGTACAAATATGAATGCGTTGGCATATGTTTAATATTCATTGATGTGGTAAATAGCTACCTGTTTCTACCTGTGTGTGATAAAAAGACACAAATTAACACATAGTCGATAAACGCATAATAGGAAAGAGTAATGGAAAGTGTCGTGCTCTCGCTGGAGTTCACAACTTTTGATTTCTGGCCGGACACTATACTGTTCTTCAGTGGCTGGTTGCAATGAATGATTTACTGTCAATAAGCTGTACTACTAGACTATATATCGAATTGTTTGAAGTCATACAACGCTCCTCTATTTCTTTTATCTTTATTTTACATTTGTATGATTGCTTAACTGTTTCAGTCCTATTGTTTCGCACGTCACAATATCTCGCTTCCCGGTTTCGAGAAATTGTTCCGATCCTACACGGAGATGGAGCGACAGAATGCAGAGAAAATCATGCTATACATGATACAGAGAGGGATGACTTTCGAGTTTCATTCTATTAATCCCAGTAAGAAACTATCTTCACAGGTAGGTTAACCGGAGAAATAGTTTGTTAGTAAAAAATAAGAAAAAACATCAATAGCGTTAATAACCAGCAGGACACCGACCGAACTAGAGAAAAATTATGTACATTGTTCAAAAATAGTTTTCTATGGATTGACTAAAAAAAACTCATTACATTGTTATAAAGCGACAGTGAAGATAAAATAAATTCTCATTTACTGTTACATTTTAAAACTAGCTAAATGAAAACCATTACAATGTTTGTAAGCGATGATAATAAACAGCATTTTACAGTAGAATATTTCTATATACTCTATTACTTATGTAGTTATTCTGTACATCGTTTTTGGTGAATAGTTGTATATGTATGTAGACCTTTTACGGAAGCTATATTTTTTTATGTTAGAGTCGTTTTGTCATTTCTTTTTTGAACGGAGACTTGAGAAACTCCATTAATCGTTGACCGAGAGCGTGCAATTTTACGCCGGTAGCATACGTATTGCCATGGAGACCGGATAATTCATTATCAGTTTTACGGAGTCGAGAATCTAGAGTAATTTCTTCAAAGTTTCACAAAAATATAGACAAACTCTAGTACATTTAACGGCAGCCTTGATCATGTTATCAATGTCTTCAAAGCGCATATAGTTTTAAAAAAGTGATTGTTTTTTATTTTTTACCTGGTTTTAATATATTCCGCCTGCATCTTCCATTTGAAAAAAAGAACCACAATATTAAATCGCCTCACATGTTTACGGGGTAATTTTATATACCAGTATTATGAATGACAAGAATACTGTGTCATACAGTTATAAGAAATGATTAACGTTAGGGCTCGAAACGCGCGAACGCATCAAAGGTAAAAAGGAAATGGTTCATGTAAAGTGAAAGAGATAGCCAGCTATTTCGTAATAACGAGATAACGTTTTTGTCATTACGAGATCACTTAAGTCGTAATAACGAGTTTTTTGTCATAGCGAGATCTTTTAGGTCGTAATAACGATATAAATTTTATTGTCATAACGAGATCACTGAAGTCGTAATAACGAGATAAATTTTATTGTCATAACGAGAGAGTCGTAATAACGATATAAATTTTATTGTCATAACGAGATCACTGAAGTCGTAATAACGATATAAATTTTATTGTCATAACGAGATCACTGAAGTCGTAATAACAAAAAAGAATATAAAGACAAAAAAATCAAAAAGAAGTCTTAATAACGGTATAAATTTTATTGTCATAACGAGATCACTGAAGTCGTAATAACGATATAAATTTTATTGTCATAACGAGATCACTGAAGTCGTAATAACGATATAAATTTTATTGTCATAACGAGATCACTGAAGTCGTAATAACGATATAAATTTTATTGTCATAACGAGATCACTGAAGTCGTAATAACGAGATAAATTTTATTGTCATAACGAGATCACTGAAGTCGTAATAACGATATAAATTTTATTGTCATAACGAGATCACTGAAGTCGTAATAACGATATAAATTTTATTGTCATAACGAAAAAGTCGTAATAACGAGATAAATTTTATTGTCATAACGAGATCAAAGTCGAGATAAATTTTATTGTCATAACGAGATCACTGAAGTCGTAATAACGATATAAATTTTATTGTCATAACGAGATCACTGAAGTCGTAATAACGATATAAATTTTATTGTCATAACGAGATCACTGAAGTCGTAATAACGATATAAATTTTATTGTCATAACGAGATCACTGAAGTCGTAATAACGATATAAATTTTATTGTCATAACGAGATCGCTGAAGTCGTAATAACGAGATAAATTTTATTGTCATAAAGAGAGTAACTAGTTTTTTTTCTGGTTAGAGTTACAGTTAACAATATGATATTCTTCACGGTCCATCAACACATAACAGATCATTATAGGGTCAACAAGTGGACAAAAAATTTCTTACCGAAATGTGAATAAAAAAAATTGAAAACAGGTCAAAACACCCACATACATGGTTTAAAACGATCATGGATACATGGTTTAAAACAATCATAAAGACAATGGTTAGTCATACCTTGAGGTATAGACTGGCAGTTTTCAAACAGTTTAGAATATCAATATTTACTGTTATAAAAAGAAGTTTCAGATTTGTTTTGCAGTGAAAAAAATGTCGTATAGGCTGCAGGACAAAATTATGCAGTTCAATAAAATGTGTTTTACTGTAAATGTACATCGCATGCTATGTATTGATGCTGGTTTCAAACTAAATTTGATGTGTAACGACTACAGAACTGGTACATTGCATGTTGACTTCTTTCTTTACATGAGCCAAAGTCATTAAATATTTAATATGATTTCCGGCCTATTTCATCTGTCGAAGTTCTTTTGCAGTGCTATGAACGCGCCGATACTGGTGCAACTGAATGGAGTTACGTTATGAGTGTAATTGACTTTGCTCTTGGTGACCAGAAGCATAGATTAAACCTACTCAAGAAAACTCACTATGCTGCGGTTACGAATGACTTCCCACATGTAAGTTAGTCTGCTTTAATTATCTCAGTACACGATTACGCTTTGTCTTAAGGCTTCTGTCAGCTATATATTTCAGTGGCAACCCTAATTAGCATTTTATAAGTTAACTACAGCTTTCTGTTAAGTTCCACTACAGTATTTGTTATTGTGAGTGCCTTAAAACAATGTTTTCTGCTACATGTACATGATATTGTGTGAGCCTCGAAATAATGTTTCCTTTTACATGTACACGGGTTGTGATTGCTTCGAAACAGTGTTTTCCTTTACATGAACAGGGCGCTTGTGCACCTCGAAACTGTGTTTTCCATTACATGAACAGGGTGCTTGTGCGCCTCGAAACAGTGTTTTCCATTACAGGAACAGGGTGCTTGTGCGCCTCGAAACAGTGTTTTCCTTTACATGAACAGGGTGCTTGTGCGCCTCGAAACAGTGCTTTCCTTTACATGAACAGGGTGTTTGTGCGCCTCGAAACAGTGTTTTCCTTTACATGAACAGGGTGCTTTGTGGCCTCGAAATGTTTTCTGCTACATGTACACGGTATTGTGAGCGCCTCAAAACATTGTTTTCTGCCTTGAAACATTGTTTTCTACTACTTGTACACGGTATTGTGAGCGCCTCGAAACATTGTTTTCTGTCTCCTAACAGTGTTTTCCTTTACATGTACAGGGTGTTTTGTGCGCCTCGAAACAATGTTTCCTTTTACATGTACACGGGTTGTGATTGCCTCGAAACAGTGTTTTCCTTTACATGAACAGGGTGTTTTGTGCGCCTCGAAATAATGTTTTCTGCTACATGTACACGGTATTGTGTGCGCCTCGAAACATTGCTTTCTCCTACATGTACAGGGTATTGTTTGCGCCTCGAAACATTGTTTTCTGCTACATGTACACGATATTGTGTGCGCCTCTTAACAATGTTTTCTGCTACATGTACACGGTATTGTTTGCGTCTCGAAACATTGCTTTCTCCTACATGTACAGGGTATTGTTTGCGCCTCGAAACATTGTTTTCTGCTACATGTACACGGTATTGTGTGCGCCTCTTAACAATGTTTTCTGCTACATGTACACGGTATTATGAGCGCCGCGAAACATTGTTTTCTGTCTCGAAACAGTGTTTTCTTTTACATGTACAGGGTGTTTTGTGCGCCTCGAAATATTTGTTCTCCTGTATGTAAACATTGTTTTCTACAACTTGAACACGGTGTTGTTTACGCCTCTAAACATTGTTTTCATGTACATGTACGCTCTATTTGGACAAAGAAAAGTCCTTGGCATGAGTGCACAAATTCATTAATGTTCTAATTTGTTAATTTGAGATTTAGAATACATGAATGTCCGATATACAAATACACGTGCAAACCAAACCTGCATTATAGTTGTGCGAAACACTCGCTCATTTTGACGCCATGTCGATAGTGATCAACACTCAGGAAGCTTACATTTTTACAATTAAGACACTAGGGTAGTATCATGTATTTATAACGTCAAAGGTGTCATATATGCTTTATTATTTTTTTGATTACTTGTCGTAATTGTACCAGAGTTTGATATGTGTTGTATGTATAATTCGTATCCATATATATATATATATATATATATATATATATATACATTGCGACCCAGGTGTTCATATCACGTAATTAGACAAGTTGCAACTGTGTTCATGTTGTCATCTCCAGAAAATTCTAGCTGTCTATTATAGTACAACTTCCAGACATACTTTTTTGGGGAAGTCGTGGCGGTGTAATGGCTAGGCAGTCTGCAATTTCTTTGCTATGTGATCTGGTGTCATAGCTCGCGAGTCCGAGCAAGACTAAACAATTGTCTTCCTTCATTATGTTTGTTATAATGGCCAATGATATCAATAACCTAACACAAAGCATAATATGAGGAAATGTTGTTGATTCGAATGTTCCAGATTTGAATTACGTGTCGTAGTTGCACACGAGTTTTATATAGATCAACTTCTTTGATCCTATCATTCCGAGAGGCAGGATTTGCAGGAGCTCTTTCAAGTTTCTTATCTTATATTTTCAGCTGAAACATTTTCTAGAGGACGAATGTATGGACCAGAAGTACCTGAAGATCAAAGAGATCGCTGACATTCATGCTCGCTTGAAAAGGATTAAAGATAGCACATCTCCAAATTTAGGGCTCTACCTGTTTGACCGAAGTCTTCTGTCATGAACATGCTTAACCTACAACATCCTACTCAGCACTGAGGAGATATTCCACATGAGAAAGTGTCGTTAAGTTACAACAATATTTTCTGTCTAACAATAATAAGGACCCTATTAAGACTTAAGAACACAAAGCAAAGGTTCAAAATCAACAACTAGAAATATTAGAGAGAAAAGGATATAAAACAAGAGATCCCAGAGGGATCTTGGTGCACACCTTTGTTTGATTTTTTTATGCCCTTGTAAAGATGGATTTTCACTTCTTTTATCTGGTTTAGCTGTTAATGATAAGACATTTGAATATTCCTTTGCAAAAATAACGTTGATAATATTTACCTGCCAAATCCAAAATAGCCACCTGGAAGCCATTTTGTTTCTTCTGATCAGTCCCAAAATTAAACGAACAGAAGGAGAGACCAAAGGGAACATACGTATGGAATTTGAGAGATATCCATTCAGTACTTCTTTAAAAATAGCAGTAACAATCCTTACTAGGCAAAATCCAAGATGGCTACCTGTTGGCCATTGTAATTTTTTGTGAATCCTCAAACAGGCACAACTAGGGGCCTAAAGGAACCTGAACATGAAATTTGAGAAAGATCTATAGAGGGGTTCTCAAAAATAGTGATAACAAGCTTTCGAAGTCAAAATCCAAGATGGCCGCTTGTAGCCCATTTTGTACTTCTGATCAGTCCCAAAATAACATGGGCACTAGAGACCAACGGGATCCTACATATAAAGATTTGAAAGAGATCCATCCCTTTTCAAGAAATAGTGAAAACCAACTTCATTGAAAATATCTACGATGGCTGACTGTCGGCCATCTTTTCATCAGTCCCAAAATCAAACGGCCACAACTTGGAACCAAGGGGAACCGGCATATACAATTTCATGAATATCCATCCAGTACTTCTCTATAAATAGTGATAACAAAAATGGCCGGACGGACAGACGACGGACCACAGAAACAGAGCGATTTGAATAGTTCGCCATCTGATGATGTTGGGCTAAAAATTCTAAAAGAAGTGCTCCATTTATTTTAATCCTTTAAGAATATGTTTATAGAGTGACTGAAGAGATATTTACAAACCAATAACAAGAAAAAATTTCCATAGGAACAAATATGTTTATTGGTAAACTGCTAAGGCTGATCTGATGGTAACATGAATAAAAAGTCCACAAACGATGCAGTCTTCTACAACATATTCTTTACATGTAATGAATCTGTATCAAAATTCATTTTTTAAATTACCATGAAATATAAAATTAAAACCAATAAACATAAATGAATTCAGAATGTTCTAACACCATCTCTATAACAATCCCCAGAAGACAATTTCTGTTTTGCACATATGTAGTTGTATCTCCTTTCAAAAGAAAAATAACATTTATTTTCTATAACTGAAGGACTGATCTATGTTGTAAATCATGAAGTACCCAACTGCAGTCCGCGAGACTTAATAATGGTAAATACAGTTTGTATGTTGATATGATTATATACAGCTCGCTGTACATGATTAACACTTAGTTGTGCTAATATACACCAATACAATATATCAAGACTTAGGCTTGCTTGTTCTTGTAAAACATTGTGTGATCAAACAATGCACATTTTTGATACAACTTAGATATAATAATAATTTCAAAAAATATCTTTATTAATTACTAATTATTCCCACAAAATTTAGATATAAAGCACCTCCTTAATTTCCAACCCTAATTAAATTGAAATTTACAAAATGTATGAAAATTTGGTGAATGTGGCCATGATACTTTTGTCTTCCTATCATGTGATATAGTACTTACATCCAAGGGTAACCTTTAAGTTTAAAATATATTTACATTATAATTTGTACTAAATGATTATCAAGAAACAAGTATTTCCTAACAGAGTTTAATGTAGACATTGATTAAAAGGGACAATTAGAAAATTTCTAAAAAATAACTATAAATACACTCTATTTTATGTCCCTGGAGATACTTATTAAAAAATGGTCTTCCTTAACATGTCCTTGGAAGAACAATTCGCGACAAGTCAGGAATAGCCATTGGAGTTTAGTTGTCAAGTACCCGGTGCAACATGGTGTTTTTGTTTTACAGAAAGCTAAATCGGACCATTAGTTTCTAAAATGTTTGTGTCTTTATTACGACACTTTACTGAATAGCTGTGAATGGCATGTACCCTATGTCTATTTGTGAGGTAGTTACTAGCTACTACCAGGAGACTCCACCTCAACATGACCCTATAATGAATGATAATAAAAAAAGGATAAAAAATCATGAATCATACTGTTAACACTTATCTATGTTACAGCAGAAAAGGAGTTTACTAATATCATTAGTACATGTAAACAAGTTGAAGATAAAGAACAATGGAGTACACAATCCTGCATAATGTAGGAGACAGATCCAAAGCCATTAGATCAATCGTCACTATCTTTGTAAATGTAGGAGCAATTCAGCAACTCGAATATGTAAAATTAGATTCTCTAATTAAATGTAATCTATTTTCATAAGGATTCATTGTCCATAATTTTTACAAACACACCATGTTTTCTTCTCAACCATTACAGATTAAAGTCTAGGATACTTTTTGTTTGTAGTTAAACCATCAGAAATTCAGAGTGTGGTTTGAAAGTTCAACACATATTGCAAAGAGATACATTTTGACATAAAATTCCCTATTTGTTAATATTTAATATTCCATATAAAATCTGCCATACCTCTGATATATAAAACTGATCCATATCAAAGTGTGACATGCTGTACCCATATGTACCTAACCTAACTGGATCTTCATTTTGTGAATATTTTGTTCAAGTTCAAAACAATTTGTGGTAATGATGTTTTCTATCTGCAATTAGCAGTGTACAGAAGACATGGCATGATCCTGAAAATCTGGGACATGTCTGTGACACATAAAGTTTGTAATTCATATTACAATAGCAACTGTTAAGAGGGTGATTGTAATTGTGTTAAAGTTGATTTTGCAAAGAACTGGTTTCCAGTAAAATAACTGAAAACTAAACATCCCCTTTAACATAACAGAAGTGATGGCTGAAATTATTATTGTAGTGTTGACTTAAATTTTCGAAAATCATGAAAGTGTTACCTCTACAAAATATCTTTATATCTGAAAACTACTGGTAAAAAAACCCCACATAGTCAATCTCAACATGGGTATATACCAAATCTGCAATTGCATTTCAATAATACAAGACACAAGGTACATTGTTTAAAAAAATCACCCATTTCACCAAAACGATATTGTTCACTGCTACCTTAATGACATCGTAATATTACTTGCAGGTCCAGACAATGTAACTTTGTAAGATTTGAGGATATAATCTGCATCAACCAATCAGAAATGAGAAAATGCTAGCATCAGCCAATCAGAAATGTGGAAGTGTTGACAATGTCAGGAAATCACAAAGAATTAACATAATACAAAAACACCAAAATTGGACAACATACATTGATAAAATGGTAAATGTCTGTAACTAATAAGGGATAGATTTTCATATTCCTTGTTCCTAGCATTTTATATGCAGGTGCCATTCAAGTTTTGCCTGAAACTCATATGTGTATATACAAAGGGTATTTATTGTTCTCTAGCACAAGTGACAGAGGGATGACTGGGTAACTGGGTAAACTGAAAACAGTATCTTCCAATTAAAGTGTTTTGATTTTCATTATGTTACATCATAATCTAAATAGCATTTCCACCTACACGACACCTTTCAAATATGTCAAGATACCTGTTTTTAGGCAGTCAATTATACTTGTATTCAATAAGGTGATCAGCCAACTGGTACAAGTCATGTCAAAGTGTTACTTGGACTGACTGTGTCTTATATGTAAACAATAAAAGGCAGGCCTATTTTTTTCAACAAAGCATGGAATACAAAAATATCCTTCAAAAGATGCTTGCCATATATATATCTCAGGCCATGAGTCAAAGATATTATTTTAAGTTTCATGCATGTGCTTTTGCAATTGACCATCCCCCCCCCCCCCCCCCCCCCCAGTATTCAGATTTTTGATGAGTTCCAATAATAAGGGATATAGAAGGGTCCCAAAATTCCATTGAGCCCTACAGGAAAAGCAGAAGTCTAGGACTAAAACACTGATGAGCCCTACAGGAAAAGCAGGAGTCTAGGACTAAAACACTGAGTCGCAAAATCACTGAATCCAGTGATATTTTTTATTCTTTGGATTAAATATGGTACTCCCTTTTTCATTTATCTGTTTTTATTTTTTATTTTTTTTTCAATTTTTGGAACATTTCTTTTTTCTTTCACAATTCTTTAGTTTTCCTGTTTAAAAAAAAATTGGCATCTGTAAAAATAAATGAATAAGCCAAATACTGTATGGGTCATAATATTTGAAGCACCTTTCTGACAAAAATATCAGAATATATTCATATGTACCTGTTTTTGTGGCAAATATATTTTCACCCTCCAAGAACGATCTAATGTAAAAAAAACCCCAACAAGTTCAATCTGATGAAGGAATGTTAGTAAACAAATTAAGTAATTCTCATAGGCATAATAGAAGAAACCCCTACTATCAGGACCAAAAAAATCTTATATGATAATTACTTACATGGTAAACATTTAAAAACCAGCCAGTGCTTTTCTCTTAAACTGAACCTGTCAAAATAAAGATATTTGGAAATGAACATCATAATTGTATAAATAAAAAGTATCTTTCCTAGAGTCTTTTTTTCCTTTATCATTTGCCATTTAATTTCCTTTTAATATTAAAAAGTTAAAAGGAAATCATTTTAAAATGAAAACTATTTTTTACTCATTCACACAGATCTAAGAGCCACTTTACATCTGTGATTTTGTGACTGTATACAGAACTAGGTATGTAATCCCCCCAAAAATGTATGATAAGATATTCCATAGCAAAGATTTAAAACAGTTTCAAGGAGAGAAAATGACAAATCTCTCCTAGTAAGTGATGTCTAATCTCGTTTTGAAAAATGCATTGATCTACCAAAGACTAATTTGATAAAAAAAATTGATAAACCCATTGATATGACTAAACCTGACAATAGTGTGTAGCCAAGTTCAAAACCATTTGAGTTTAAAAGAAATGTCTTCTAGTTAAAAGAAGCTAGTTTAACCATGATAAGACATAGGAAGGGATTGGTATATATGAAAACATGAGATCCCAGTGGGATCTTGGCAGCCAATATTGTTTGATCTTTATTTGTTCTTTAAAAGTTCGTCTTTTCCATTCTTCCCCTTCTCTCCTCCGTTTTTGCTCTGAATGATATAAAATTTGAACATTTCTTTACAGAACTACTAATAATAATCTTTTAGTGTCAAATCCAAGATGGTCGCTTAGCAGCGATTTTGTTTTTCTGATCAGTTTCAAAATAAATGGGAACAACCAAGTACACAAGGGGAACCTACAAAATGGCCTCCTGTCACCCATTTTGTTATTTTGAACAGTCATAAAATCAAATGGGTACAGAGAGAACAAGAGGAGCCTAAATATGAAATGTGAGAAAGATCCACCAGTCTTTCTCAAGGATTAGCAAAACAAAAATTGTTTACAAATGGACGATGGATGACAAACATGGGGCAATTTGACTTGCCAGCCATCTGATTATGGTGGACTAATTAAGGTTTTCAATATCTCTTTTTTGGTAAACACTCTCAGCAAATAGAAATGATGAGGCCTACACATGGAAATAGAAAGAAAATGAAATTGGCTATGTCATATACATCTATACAACGGAAAAAGAAACGCAAGTGCAGTTTTTGTAATATAACTTTTAGACATGTGGACGAAATTTAATTAAATTTGACACTGAGATACCTCTGTCCACTGTGAAAATGTTCCTCAGGTAAGATTCAACTGTGACCCTGCTTGACCCTGTATGCTTTCAGCAGATTTTTCAAGAAAGCTGGGTACTCATGCACCATATGTGCTGGTAAATCATTACAAATTGAACATTGGAACAGTAAAGATCAGCTACACATTTCTGTTTGAAGTGATTGTAGAGGGAAATGCTGAGAATGAATGAACTTGATAGGGGTAGTACCATTTTGTCTGATAATGAAGGGGCATTCAAAACATCATGTAGCCCAGCAACATTGTGTACAACAGACAACCGATATCAAATGCGGGCACTCATTGTCGACCTCTTATCAATCAATGTTACCTTACATTACAGCAGGGCAACAAGAGGTCCCATGTTGCTAAGGTTTGTCATGACTTTCTGGCTCAAAACAACATCCCAGTTCTTGATTGGCCACCATACCGTCCAGATTTGTCCCCAATCAAGCATTTGTGGGATGAGCTGGACAGAAGGGTTAGGAAGAGTGTCAACTCCCCATATACCATTACTCAACTCACACAGGCCCTTATTCAGGAGTGGAATAATATCCATCAAAGGACAATAAACACCTTAATGGGGTCAATATTAAGGAGAGTAAGAGCAGTGACTGAAGCCTGGGGTGGGCACACATGCCACAAATTTAGATCACAGAAGAGCATAGGGTATCCTTGTTTTAACGCTATTCATGCAAATGCCATCTGTGATAGGACAACAAAAATCATCAAAATGTATTCAGTAATAAAATTAGAAAATCAAAAAACCCAAACGATGAACTAATCATCAATGAATCATGTAAAATAATTATGAAAAATAAACTTGCATTTCATTTTTCCACTAGTATAGATAACTTGTTCTGTTTAGTAGGAACTTTTATTTCCACTGATCGGGAAGCTTGCTTTCCAGTACAAGAGGGCTATATTTACTATCAGTTAAAAGATATAAGGAATCATGTTAAGTATGACAACCCAAATAGCCAACATTTCATCACACAGAGAAGTAAGCGATGGTCATAAAATATTTGATTAAGCAATGTCTGCAGTTATCTGAATTAAAACCTCAGCAAATATCAACACAATTTATCAGAACATAAACACACAATGATTCAGAAATTTTATCTGTTACATTGTAACAAAAACATTTATACAGGATAAAATTTTATCTCTGCAAAGAGATCAGAGAGTGACATCTCCAATCATTAAGCTCTGTGAAAGTTAACTACTGAAGAGTAGTAATGAGGAAAGTTAACCATAATATTTTCCTATTTACACTAATGAGAAGTTAAGCATGTGACCCCATTTTAGGTCTCAGGCTATTTCTGTTAAAATATAAATCATATAATGATTATGCTACATAATACCATACAAACTCTAACACATATGACATGTTCTTTTAAAATCAAAATACTCCATGTATATATACACAAATAGAGAAATTGTTCAAAAATACAGCTATGATCTACCATTGACATACAGTATTAAGATAACCATACACACCTGGTATATACATTTTAACTAGAACACAATATCATGACTCGATATATATTTCACAAACACATACCATCACATATATAAGATATGAAAACGAAAAAAGCAAGTTGTCTATAAAAATATGAGTGCAGGTTTTCTGGGCAAGCTCTGTGAGAATTGGGTAAGTTTCCTTCGTAGTTTAAATATGTGTAGAACCTTTCCTGTCCAGTTTCCACACCTTTCATTCCCTTTCCTGACAGCTTTTACCTTCTTCCTACAAACAGCATTAGCAAATTATATTTACAAAAGAGCAGCTCTGCAAAGTATATGAGAGAAGTCAAAGTCTGTCCTCATACGGGGAAATATTAATATACACCTTTCACTTTTGATCTAATTGGCACTAGTTGAAAATGCATTATGCTCGAATGTAACATCAGGAAGATGCTAATTTATAACCAACAAGACATCCAAGAGTTATCTCGTTGCCTACCATTGTTTCTCCTTTATCAGTTGGATTTTTCTCTTTTTTTCCTTTAGGTTCATCTTACATAAAATATAATTACTTCTAAAGAAATAGCCATAACAACAATTCTGAAAGACCCAAGGGGGACCTATTCTGAAAGACCCAAGGGGAACCTATTCTGAAAGACCCCAGGGGGACCTATTCTGAAAGACCCACGGGGGACCTATTCTGAAAGACCCAAGGGGGACCTATTCTGAAAGATCCAAGGGGGACCTATGTAGGAGTTCTGAGAATGCATCATCCAGTACATCTTCTGAAATCATGATAACAAGAATTGTTAAGAGGAACTGACTATGGATGGGGTGTAATTTGAATACTCCACCATCTATTAACAGCATGCTAAAAAGCCATCTTTTATGAGGGACTAATTAGTTTCCAAACCAAAGGAAAATATTGAATTAAGAAGCTGGTACTGTGGAGATGTGCTTAAAACAATCTTATCCTAAATAAATTCAGCAAAGCAATGAAGTCATCGATACATATTTACATACAAACAGGTGGATCAAAACCCCTGACAACTTGTCACCAGGTTAACTACATTCTCACAAGCAATACAATAATATTATAATAAACTGCAATATTGAGATAAAAGCATATGGAAATCACTTACCATATCATCTAGCACACCTTGTCCAAGATTTATCAGCTTTTATCAATCTTGTGAGGGTCTGTAATGTGGTCAGTCAAATGTTTCATCATTCCAAACATACGCACTCGTCGCTTACCTACAACATTGTCAGAGTGTTATTTTTTGTCTTCAGTTTGTCAGATGCTAGAAAACACAAACTTCAAACATTTGTATCATGTATGTAGTTATATAGGTATTTGTGTGATTCATGCACACTGTATAGTATAATTTGGTTTTGGAAGAGGGAGAAAAAGTCTGAATTTGTTTTGTTTATTTGATATACTTTAAGTTCATCATACACATGGTGGAGGAACCAGGATATCACAATATCACTATACAGCTTGGTAAACATGAACACAAATACCTCAGTGGAGGTCAAAGACAAGTAGATGTACAAGATAAATCTTTCAAACTCAAATCATTAATGCTAAGTATCAAACACTAACTTGCCAAGAAATCACCTCCACTACAACTCTGTGAGAGATAACAAGGGGAAATATCCATGTATGATCTTACATAAGTTTACATTTCAAATGAGATTATATGAAAGCAGACCAACAATATGGACAAAAATGAGTCCCAAAGGGCCTGTATTGTTCATCTGGTTTACTTTGCTGAAACTGATTTATTTTGACCAAGAGAAAATTATTTAAAACACTTGTATCTCTTTTCCCGTAACAGTCTTGACCCTCCTTTAAAAGGGCTTTAATGCAGCTATCTGAAAATATCTAAGTTCTCAACATAATACAGATTTCAAAGAATTTGCTGTATGTCCACTATATGGCCCTACCCTTCTGACCCAATAGGCCACTGCTCATACAAAATTGATCCTCTTTTCCCAAGCATGTCTCACACCAAATTGGGACAGAATCTAGGCATTCCTATGTAAGAAGAATAATCTAGAAGAGTTTGTCTACTTTCCCTATTGGGTTCAATCATTCCCCCTATACAAGGCTGAGATCCATCGTTCCTACAAATTTGATACCTCTTTACCTAAACATGCATTAGGCCAAATTGGGACAACATCAAGGTATTCCTACAGCAGAAGAAGGATTTTAAAGAATTTATTCTATTTCCCCTTTTGGGTCCTGCCCCTAAGTCCCCATGGGGCCGAGACCTACATTTATTACAGAACTGATTTCCCGGATCGCCTTTGGGCCAAGTGATCTAAAAAAAAAAACTTAAGGGATTTATAAATCAAAATGTGCATGAAATGGAAATAAAAACAAAGTAATCAGGGGCACTGTAGATCTTATCAGGTGTAGACCTTAGTGGGGTGATGCTATGGTGAGAATATGTACTGAATTTTCTAATCCCTTAATGAGATATCTTGTTATCACATATGAATTTTCTAATCCCTTAATGAGATATCTTGTTATCACATATGCGCGGATGTGTGTACAGACAAACACACAAAGTCTTTCTGTATATCTCCCAACCTTACCCAAGTTTAATATCTTAAAAAGAACATTTGGTAAAAATTGAATTAACTTTTATTTCAATTCCAACCAATTTCCTTTGGCTTTATATCTTGACCTCAAAACAGGTTATACAATAATAGGGTTTATTCATTAAATACAAAACAGAATCAGTATGAAGCTGACGAAGACTGGCTGCAGACCTCAAGCAACTTTTGCATATAATGTATACAAGTCTGTTCCAGTCACCTGGTCACACTCTGACAATTTTTTGGTACTGGTGAGGATGGATCAAGAACCAAGACCAACATTTCCTACCTCCACTGAACACCAGATTTGCTAGTGAAATAGAATTTAAACCAGTTTAAAATAGCATGGCAATCGTACTTGGACTGACAGTTTTGAACCCTTTGACATTACTGTAGACTGTAATATCACATCATAAATATCTTACCAAACACACGAAATAAGTCATCATTACAGATCATATACTGTTTGTTCTTTGGGTCCTGAAAAATAGAGAAACAAGCATAGAACGTGTCTCAGTCAGAATCATCACAGCAATAAAGTTAGTTTTCAAAATTTGATCTTCAAATCCGTTGAACAAAAATCCACCATTAAACTATGGCAAGCATTAATGCATTGCTATGAGTTAAGTTATTCTTCCACCACTTAGCTTATGATTAACAAAATTAGAATATTCATTGCTTTGGTTTTATTTACCAGAAGACTGCTTTCCTTGGCAATTTCATAAATTTTTTTCACAACATCACATCTGGGCATCTGTTGATAAAAATAAACAAGTTTTATACAACAGTGATAACACAATGGAAAAAATGTTTTGACATGTGTACAACATCCACCCAAAATTCATCTACCTTTAACAAAGTTATTTTATTGCAATTAAATTTCAGCCCTTCATCAATTCTGAACAAACTAGCTTATGAAATTATGAATTATGTAAATGCAATACCATTAGGTTGATCATATTTAAGCATAAATCTTTCAAAATAAAAAGCACTAAAATATGTACCACTAAATTATGTAGATTTACACTATGTTTACCAAGATTATATGAGAGCATAAAACAATAATATCGCCAATATATTAGCAAATTAGATGACAACCATTGGTACATCTGCTAAGAATATGTACAGAATTTATTGCAGTAACACATATATATATTTATTCTCCTGAACACTGACCCGCAAAATATCTAAAAAGAAATTCAGTAAAGTTTGGGGTCTTTTCTTCATCTTACAAGCTCAAAATTCAGTTTGATACTTCGTATTCGTGTTGCAAATTTGAAAATATTTACAAAATGTTACAATTGTCTTAATAATTAAATATATGTGATAATTAAGTGATTAGTGGATGACCTCACTGATTAATCCACATTTACCAAATATCTGTGTATGACTGCATCAATTAGTTACATTTACCATGTGTCTGTGTATGACTGCATCAATTAGTTACATTTACCATGTGTCTGTGTATGACTGCATCAATTAGTTACATTTACCATGTGTCTGTGTATGACTGCATCAATTAGTTACATTTACCATGTGTCTGTGTATGACTGCATCAATTAGTTACATTTACCATGTGTCTGTGTATGACTGCATCAATTAGTTACATTTACCATGTGTCTGTGTATGACTGCATCAATTAGTTACATTTACCATGTGTCTGTGTATGACTGCATCAATTAGTTACATTTACCATGTGTCTGTGTATGACTGCATCAATTAGTTACATTTACCATGTGTCTGTGTATGACTGCATCAATTAGTTACATTTACCATGTGTCTGTGTATGACTGCATCAATTAGTTACATTTACCATGTGTCTGTGTATGACTGCATCAATTAGTTACATTTACCATGTGTCTGTGTATGACTGCATCAATTAGTTACATTTACCATGTGTCTGTGTATGACTGCATCAATTAGTTACATTTACCATGTGTCTGTGTATGACTGCATCAATTAGTTACATTTACCATGTGTCTGTGTATGACTGCATCAATTAGTTACATTTACCATGTGTCTGTGTATGACTGCATCAACTGGTTACATTTACCTTGTGTCTGTGTATAACTGCATCAACTGGTTACCATGTATCTGTGTATGACTGCATCAACTGGTTACCATGTGTCTGTGTATGACTGCATCAACTGGTTACCATGTATCTGTGTATGAGTGCATCAACTGGTTACCATGTGTCTGTGTATGACTGCATCAACTGGTTACCATGTGTCTGTGTATGACTGCATCAACTGGTTACCATGTGTCTGTGTATGACTGCATCAACTGGTTACCATGTGTCTGTGTATGACTGCATCAACTGGTTACCATGTGTCTGTGTATGACTGCATCAACTGGTTACCATGTGTCTGTGTATGACTGCATCAACTGGTTACCATGTGTCTGTGTATGACTGCATCAACTGGTTACCATGTGTCTGTGTATGACTGCATCAACTGGTTACCTTGTGTCTGTGTATGACTGCATCAACTGGTTACCATGTGTTTGTGTATGACTTATTTATATTTGTTGATGATCCTACTGACTGGCTATTTATTGCCTGTATCTGTGGATGACTGCAACGATTGTTTACCTTATGTCTGTATTTGTGGTTGAACAATTAATTTTTTACCCAAAACCTGAATTGTATCTTAAGCCTCTATTTGAACATATCAATTTTTTACCTATAGCCTATATTTTTAGATGATGATAGATTGTTTACCTACAACATGTATTTGTATGACCCCATTTCAATCAGCTACAAATTATCTAGTTATCAAACACTACTACTTAGTCGGAAACTTTCATGCCTTTAAAATTATTCAATACCTGGTTGATTTCTAATTGGTTTAAAAGAAAAAAATATCTACTTCTTTTAAACTGTTAGATACAAAATAAGAAGTTGATTTATATCAAAACAGAAATATTTCTAGTTGTGTTGTTTATAGAAACTGAGAGTGAATATTCACCTGATCAGTACCCATGATGTCAGCCAGTGCTGGAGACAGTAAACAAGGCTTCCCATAGCCCTTACCTACAAATTACAAACACTAAAATCAAAAACAAGCCTTCCAAAGCCCTTATATAAAAACCACATACACAAAGACAGTAAGTAAGCCTTCCCATAGCCTTTAACTACAAAAATGAAAACACTTCAATCATAAACAAGGCTGTCCATAATCTTAATTTCAAAACAATAACACTTAAACAATAAACTTCCCATATCCTTTACATACAAAACAAAAAACACTTCCCATATCCCTTACATACAAAACAAAACCACTCCCGATATCCCTTACATACAAAACAAAAAACACTTCCCATATCCCTTACATACAAAACAAAACCACTCCCGATATCCCTTACATACAAAACAAAAAACACTTCCCATATCCCTTACATACAAAACAAAACCACTCCCGATATCCCTTACATACAAAACAAAACCACTCCAAAACGATATCCCTTACATACAAAACAAAAAACACTTCCCATATCCCTTACATACAAAACAAAACCACTCCCGATATCCCTTACATACAAAACAAAACCACTCCCGATATCCCTTACATACAAAACAAAAAACACTTCCCATATCCCTTACATACAAAACAAAACCACTCCCGATATCCCTTACATACAAAACAAAACACTCCCGATATCCCTTACATACAAAACAAAAAACACTTCCCATATCCCTTACATACAAAACAAAACCACTCCCGATATCCCTTACATACAAAACAAAAACACTTCCCGATATCCCTTACATACAAAACAAAACCACTCCCGATATCCCTTACATACAAAACAAAAACACTTCCCGATATCCCTTACATACAAAACAAAACCACTCCCGATATCCCTTACATACAAAACAAAACCACTCCCGATATCCCTTACATACAAAACAAAACCACTCCCGATATCCCTTACATACAAAACAAAAACACTTCCCATATCCCTTACATACAAAACAAAACCACTCCCGATATCCCTTACATACAAAACAAAACCACTCCCGATATCCCTTATATACAAAACAAAAACACTTCCCGATATCCCTTACATACAAAACAAAACCACTCCCGATATCCCTTACATACAAAACAAAACCACTCCCGATATCCCTTACATACAAAACAAAAACACTTCCCATATCCCTTACATACAAAACAAAACCACTCCCGATATCCCTTACATACAAAACAAAAACACTTCCCATATCCCTTACATACAAAACAAAACCACTCCCGATATCCCTTACATACAAAACAAAACCACTCCCGATATCCCTTACATACAAAACAAAAACACTTCCCCAAAAACACTATTCCCTTACATACAAAACAAAACCACTCCCGATATCCCTTACATACAAAACAAAACCACTCCCGATATCCCTTACATACAAAACAAAAACACTTCCAATATCCCTTACATACAAAACAAAACCACTTCCCACATCCCTTACATACAAAACAAAACCACTCCCGATATCCCTTACATACAAAACAAAAAACACTTCCCATATCCATTACATACAAAACAAAAACACTTCAATTATAAACATAGCTTCCCGAAGCCCTTAACGACAAAACACGAACAAACACAAGGTTTTCTATAGCCCTTACTTTCATGTACAAATGATAAAACACTTAAACAGTAAACAAGGATTTCCTTAGCCCTGTCTTACAAAAATCAAATAATTTGCTTTGATTTCTTAAATCTGAATAACAATTTTTATCATCATGATACAAATTCGACATCGACTAAACACAATTTTCCCAGTCCTACATTGATGGAAATGAAGACAGAATGTTAAAAGCTTTTTGATCATCGATATTCAATGTAAGAAGAAAACTGTAGTAACAATAATAAAACAACTTTAATTTATAACTTTTAAAATGAATATAAGACTCAAAAACATTCATTTGCCAAAATTTCAACATTAAAACATTTTTTTTAAAACTAATTGAGAAACAGGTATGTAAACATTACATAAACTAAATGGAATAGTCTTATTGGCTTGATGAGAAAGGATGTAGAAGTAGGGTTCTTTACTTAGAGATGAAACAAAGATCAGAGAGATACAAGAAGGAATATTTTCACTTATCAATTGAGTATCTGAGTCTTAAAGCAGGATAAATACAGACATATATACTCAGATGTACAAAACTGAATTCAGTTCCAGCAAAATCATAACTGGATATTACATAACTAACAAGAATAACATTGTAATTGGTATAATCTGCATGTATATTGAATCAGGGTACAATAACCTTTCTATTACAAAGTAAATTTAATTGTGTTTTTCCCTTTGTTTCATTTCTTTACCTTTTCGTTCACCATCGCCTTTAGATTCTCTGCTTCTTTTGCTTGGTTTCTAAACAATAGGATTAAAGGTCAAATTATTAGTACAGGGGTCATGAAAATGTGAAAATTCAGAATTGCTTCAAACTTCTGGACAAATTTTTAGGAGATAACCCCATTGCATTTTGAAACTTGAGATGGAATATTAAGATTATTTTGCAGCAAAATAAGTTAACATTTAAACATTAAGCATTTTGGAAAAGATTTGAGACATTTTGTCGGAATTTTTGACATCAATAAGATTAAAAAAGAAGTGAAAGTCTATTGACTTCTCATTCACATAATTGTTCTTCACATCATTTTCATGACACGTCAGGGTCAGTTGTGGGTCACTCACATCATTCATGTTTTTCATTAGATTCTGGGTTGTATGTTGTAGTTATACTGCCACAACTTTTTATCAGTATTTAAATCAAATGCCATGTAATATTAAGAATGAACGAGAATGAGAGTTATTAACAGCTTGCTATCAGTCAGGAATACTAAACAGATTAATAATATATTATACATTCACTTTTAACATCAAGTAGTGAGATGCAATCTGGTGTACATCAGATAATTGAAACTAGATTTTGAAGTATCCCAGATTATTGAAATTTCTGGTCTTCAAAGAACCTGAAGTTTCTTACAGGTAAGTGTATTTGAAATATCACAAAGTACTTTAAGGTTACCTGAACAGGCTACAGGCCATATACTCTGGATGATCTTGAGTGTTTCAGTACTTTTTATAATAATTTCTTAATAATAAAATTGTTTAAACTAACAAGAGGTGCAGAAGCCCAAAAGGTCAACTGAATTAACTCAACAATTGAAAAAATTTGAAAGAAATTTTAGTGTAGAAAATAGAAAATGTTTATAAACAGAGACAGAAGAGTTTTACTCAAGTTGCAACTGGGTCAAGGAATTTACATGTTAAGTAAACCCCTTCTAGGCCCTTCTGTCCATAAAGATTATTGATTTTTGAGAAGATTTTCGAATTTTTGGCCAAGGCTCTAAGGTTCCTGAGCGGTGAGGAACATATCATTTACAATTTCGCTATTTCATAGAAAATTGGTTCAACATTTTCCAGAATTTGAAAAATGTAAAATGTTTAAGGATTCATGAAGGACATTGCTGAACAAAAAGCTATTGCAAAGCTATTTGTGGCAACTGCCTTTCAAGTGGTCAAATATGTATCACCTATCAAAATTTATTTTATTCAAGTAACAAAACAACCAATGGTGGTAGAACATTAGTTGTGTTTGATAACAGTTAATCTGATACTTGTAATTGGCATCAGTTAAAACCCATTGTTGTGTTTGATAACAGTTAATCTGGTATTTGTAACAGGAATCAGTTAAAATCCATAATCGATTAACGGTTATAATTAGATAGGCTTTCCAATGTAGTTAATTGTTTACATAATCGACTGTGTTCAATAGACATTCTCTGTTGCAGTAACATTTTCTTATTTGAAACTTTAACATGAAATACAGGTACCTTACTTATCTAGAATTAACTTTTAACATAACGATGAATATAATTGGCTTTTTTATTACTCCTAATATCAATTTTAGTTTTGCTGAAACACAAGAAAGTATTAATGACGACTGATTATACGTAAAAATTTATAATTAATCATCAAATCAGATGAGGTTACTCAATTAAATAATTGACTGTATCCAATCACCATCCTATCATTATCAAGGATCCATTTATAACTCATCATAACTGTTTAAATCTTTCGTTCATACTTCCATACAAAGAAATCTTTCATGAATACTTCATTTTTCTAAGGAAAGTAAAAGGTTAGTGTTCCGATTTGATCCTTACTCTCCGAGAACTAGTAATCTGATTATCTCCCTTTGTTTTATTCACATGTACATTTTGTAACATTATATGACTCTATACTTGAAACACAATTGAACATGCAACACTAGACTTTTAGAAGTTACTAAAAGTTTTCTTATTTCAGTGAGATGCAGGAGTATGATGCAGTACATGTGTCCATAACACATTTAAAAAAACATCAAGTTTGCTGAATGTCAGACAAAAATCAAGAAAGATAAGCAATATATACAAACTTAACAGAGAGAACCTTAACTTAATTTATAGTAACAAAAGATGCCTTAGCATGCAACACTTAGTGGGTATTAAAAAATAACCTACAGGTGGTCGTTTAGGTGTACGGCTACTACGACGAGGACCAGTCTCTTCCTCCTGTAGTTGTCGTGCTATTTCTTCGTCATCCATACCATCCTATAAAATAATTGAAAGCCTTATATTTGAATGAAATTACCTTTAGTACATTTATACTGTGACCTAAAACAAACATCCGTGTTTCTACTATTCTGACCCAACCGTTGGCAGAGAGTCCTCTATACATATTCTTAGTAAAATGACGATTGGTTGGAATGATGCTAAAGATCCCCCAGCCACCTGCATGAAGTATGGAGCTCTATTACGTGTATGATTTTAATAGTTATGATTCTTTAGACTCTTGTCAGGTATTGGTTGACCTGCCAGGTATATTTTTCTGAACTTGATATTTGACATGTCAACAAGATCACTGGTGAGATATAAATGTTCTTGGTCTTCCTGTTTCGGCCAGATAAGTAGGAAGATAAGTAGAGGAAATCTTTTTATTTTTATACTCCTATCATGAAAAAGTCAGGGTACACTATTGCCATAATTCCAAAGAAATCCCACATCTTATTAGCTTTTCTCTGACAAAAACCTGATAAAATCAAAATCAGACCAAAAGAAAAGAATGACACTTACCGTTACCTCACCCAAGCTCTCGTTTTCTATTTGTCTTTGAGATTTGGGTTTCTTTCTAGGTGGTTCCTCTTCCTGCAAAGCAAAATTAATAGGGTGCTGATTTTGTTATCTGCTTTAAGTTATGTGTGTATCCAGTGGGCCTCCAATATACTGTTCTAAGATCTGGGCTATATCAGCTACAAAAGGGAGACTCCATCTAAAAATTATCCTGAAGACTGTTACAGGGCAATGTAATATCAGCAAACAAATCTTTCCCAAATTGGCCTGAGTCTCAAATATGATCAATTTTGAATTTTCTTGAATTTCTTATTGTCTTTTTTCACATTTATTTTGCAACAATATGGGGGTTATTTAATCATCAAATTGCAAATTAATTATTGCTAGTCTTATTGTTAATGTTGCTAGTCTTATTATTGTAAGGTGATATACTTGTTTGTCACCTGAATATGGTGTCATTCTGCATTATATTGAGAAAAATTTTTCCAAGGGAAATAATTTATATTTCAGTCTGTACATGATGACACATCATACTATGATTATATGAAAGAGCTGAAAAATCCAAGAACAAAACTTGTCATAAAACCAACCTCTTCTTCTTCCTCCTCCTCTTCTTCACTCTCCTCTTCCTCTTCTTTTTCTTCCTCTTTCTTTTTATCTTTGCCATTACTTTTATCATCATCATTACTATCTTCGTCATCATCAAGTAACTCCATAACTATGGTATCAATTTCTTTCTTCCTGATTAAAGATTAGAGAAAAGATGGAGCCCTGAGGTAAATCTCGACATTAGTAATTGAGCTGATCACATGACCTTATGACCTATTCTTTTGATGAAGTAATCAAAGTGGATATGGCTAATTAACCTACAACAGCTGGTCAACAGGAAAAATAGCCATAGACTACAATCAAATCTGAACCAAACCAAACTAGTTAGTAGTAGCTGACCCAGACAGAAAACTAGTTAGGAGTAGCTGACCCAGACAGAAAACTGATAAATCAAACAAGTGTCGGAGCTACAATTCTCTGCTTCTAATGACTACTTTCAAATCTTCCTTAGCAGTTTTACAATAAAATGGCACTATATATAGCAATGTTACCAGCAACCATTCATGGCCTCGAAATTAGTTACTGCTGAAAATCTACAAAATTTGTCTTCTATAACCATTAGTTGATTACAGCGATTTGTTTTTAAAAATAATTCATAATATAGAATTTGTGGAAAATCCAGTAATTGATCTCAGTAACATATCTAAGAAAAGCTTGGCACATCAAATACCAATATAACTGGTAATTGAGTGAAACCAGCTGATTGCAATAACATGCCCTTATAGACAGAAAACTGATCACATATATACATATCAATGAGTTAGAGGAGTAAACATGGTCAAAGTCTTCTTTTTAGCAATCTTTTTCTTGGTAACATATGCAGCTGTAAATGCAGTGCAGAGCTTTGTTTTTCTTTTCTTTCCTTTAATCATTAAATAATTTATTGAAACATATTTAAAAGTAAAACCAAACAATAGCATATGAATGCTAAAATAACAAGTAGTTACAAATATGTTTATGACCGGAGCAAATAGGTAAGTCTACTTTTAACACTGGGCCAAATTACATAAAAGACACCAATCTCTCTAATATAATTTAGTATTTCATCCATACCAGCCTAGGTGAAAAGCTATCCAATTTGTAAAGAATCAGAGCAGTCAATTAATACATGTTCCATTGTAATCATGGAATTGCGCACAAAACAGACCGGTGGGTCATCATCCTGCAGTTTAATGTTATCTTGTAAAGGACCTTAAGAGCATTTTTAACTGCAGCTGTATCATTGCTAGGGTTTCCCATGTGTCCTGGGATCCAGATAAATCTATGTTTTGGTTTGACATACTATATGTATTCTTAATAACAAGCTTGCATACAAATTCCTTATTTTTTAAGTTTTGTGACTTTAAACTGTTTAAGTCTGAGACCATGATTGTATCAACTTGAATATAATGTTCGATATAAATTACCAGTATAATCAAGTGCTAAATCAATGACATGTGATTTAGATGAGATTATAGAAGCATCCTCAGGAAGACTAGTGGAGAAAATGATGCTTTGAACAGTAAGGGAAGAGTACAGATTGTTTGAGGTATTTTTTTGAGCACTTCTGAAAAGTTTGGTAAAAAAGCACTTAACAATAATTTTACCAGAAGTGTTTCCAATTTTATTATTTTTACATATATGCCTTATGTGTGTTGAGCTTTTTCTGGTGTACCCATTAATTTTTCCAGACACATATGTATCTCATTCTTCATAAAAACTGGATGAGTACAACAAATATCCTTTTATTATGAAACTAGCATTACATCATGACGTTCCAATTTTAAATCATACTTTATAAGCTAATACTTCTCCTATATACTTTGCTGAAGCAAATCTATGTACCATCAGATCCCATGGGTGACTAACTGCATGTACAGTGTACAAGTACATCATGCATTATTCGAAGTGTTTTATTTAATCAGTTTCGCCATTATTTTGGATTTTGTATGCTTTGCTTGGAAAAAATAAAGAGGTTATGTCATGCTATTAAGAATAGGCAAATCATGCACACAAACCCCCAACTGTACAATGTACATAAAAATATCTATGAATTTAAAAGTCTTTTGAACTTTGTTTGTTGTTATTTTGCAATGTAAACCATTAGATATTCTGATGATCTCTGTAGGATATTTTTGTAGCATAAACCTTACCTTTCAGTTAAATCTGTGTTGAATTTTTCTTGAAGTTTTAGTCGAATCTTTTTCGCGGACAAAGTACTCAAGTCCGCTCCCTTCAGCATCTCTGGAAAAGACAGTAACTTTTGAACAGTTTTAATGTTGAAATAATAGAAATTATTGACTTCGTCAAGTTACAATGTTAACATACAATTTATCTGATACCAAATAAACCATAGAACAAACCTTTCACAGCTCTTCGCAGCTCCTTTTCATTCAACTTGGCCATGTTGCCGACAAAGGAAGTGAAAATTAGTAAAGGGACATAACTCTCACACATTTACATATAATCGTAAGTTTCCGGCAATCTTCGAGCTTTCCGAATGAACTATTTGATATATATATATATATCTGATCACCGATTGAACGCAGACACATTATTTCATAGTAACTGACAATTGTCCTTTTTTCATTCTAACATCGGCAAATGTCTCTTCTGAGCTGATGTTGTATGTTTTATTGTATACGGCAGTATAATGGGGATGTAGATATTTTGCTTAGTGAGATTTTCAATAAAATGCATTTTGTAAACGGTAGGCCTATACTATACAGATTTGCTGATAACACGTATCTAAATTGCCTTTGATGACCTAGCACTGAGACAAGAAGCTAAAGATGCCCATTAGATAATTTAAGGCCTCCCGGACTGTATCAGCAGAAAACTTGTCAACCTCTATTTGGGGTTAGTTACGATGTACCGATTGTTTTTAAGCCAAAGATTCAAAACATTATGGACGTTTCATCCAAAGCCATGACAGAAAAATATCAACGGGGTTTGAAACGACTAAATTTTAAAAAATGCAGCATTTTAAAATCAATTAAAAAACGAATAATTATAAATTGTACCGCATACTTTAACAGGTGTTGTTATTAAGCTTTCTCGTAAACTTGATACTGGTTCAGAAATTTTAAACAATACGTTGCAGGCATACTTTCGGTATGAAACACACAAAACAAGCATTTTTATGACTACACGTACATGTAAATCTATAAGAGAAAAATACGTAATGAAAATAAAGCCCGCCCGTTTCTCATATGTGAATTCCTGATATTACGATAAATGTGAATCACAAATATGTGTAAGAAATAAAGTTGCCAACATTTTAAGTGAAATCAGTCAGTGTGATATTAAAATATTATCTCATAGAACAAAACACATTTCTTCTCTTTATTCTAGATTTGTTTGTTTGAATTTCGTAACACCCTTACATGCACTTTCTCACTTAAAAACATCGTTTGATTTTCAATTGTATAGATTAACGCAGCGTCTGTCGCAAAAATAGAAGGAAAGACCATAGGCATGATGATTAGCAGGTGTAATGAATTGTTATTGGACGTCGTTATATACTGTACCGAGTTTAAATATCTCCGGTCCTATAAATATACACACGTGACTAGAGCTTTAACAATGGTCAATCCTCTAGTCATTTGACATGGAGGACATTATCACGTATACCTTTGACAGTGCGAACGTTGTTTACAGTTTTAATAATTTTCTTGAGGATAAAGAGTACAACTGAATCAGTGATAACATACGGTTTAGATATATTGTACACGATCATTTCGCTATAATCAAATGTGACAGATATTTTTTAACGACCATCCCGTATAAAACTAAGGTAGATGTTCAGAGTTTATTGTCGACTGAAAAATGTAGCCACGAACATTTTCTGAAGCCTGTCTAGTTCATTAACAGGACCCTTTTCACGGTACGCAAAAATGACGTCACTGCCTTTTATTGTACTTCAGTAAAGAAAATGAAAACGGAAACTCGAAATAATATAGGATGTCATTTTACATTTTAATCCACTCGAGTAATACCATTAAAATGACCAATTGAAAATATGTCCAGAGTACAGATAAACAGCAACAGGATCACCAAACACAGGGACGAGCATCACACACCACCAATTCCATGTCTTACAATGAAATGAAGTACTTCCAAACGACGATAGAACTATCTCAAATATTTTCTCGACCTATTCTTTTCAAAGTTCATTGTTGTGAATTTATCTGTAGGTTGTTGGTATTTTGTACGATAATCGTGATATAAGGAACAAGCTCTGGAATATCGAATATAAAATTTGATGAAAGTATTGAATTACATGTATATCATTCAAGAGGAAATTAAAAAAAAAACTGGTAATCATAAATGAAAAAAAAGACGGATATTGCGATTACAATTATTGTATTTTTTAGTTATAATATTTTTACTGGATGATTAGATACATTTATGATTAAATTAAAAAAAAAATTAAAATCTTAAGTTGCCACTTCCCAGTTTTCTTTCATTAAAATTGAAAACTCTCTAAGATGCCTTAGTCATTAACAACAAGACTTGATCTCCGTGTTTATACAAGATGTAATTCTGTGTCATGTATCCGACGGAGTGTAATTAGGATGCTAATAATATTGTATTATTTATCTATTATAAATGTACTTCAAACATAAACTACTACGAAAATTAGTTTGAAAGATTAGATGACAAAAAGTAAAACAAATAATAATCAACAAAAACAATTTGTCGCTGCTCTTCTGTTGACGCTACAGACGTCAAAATGCATTTTTGTTTCTTTTACATTTGTTCGTATTTTTGTTTCCATCCAAGTTCCGTTTTCATTTTTGTCATTAAAGATGCATGCAATGGAATGATACTTAGATAATGGACCAAAAAACAAAAAAACAAACAAAAAACGAAAACTCGAAATACATTTTGTTTTTCAATTTCATTTTAAAGCATAAATTCTCCATTGATTTTAAAATAGAATTTTTTGCAAAATTGCAACACCGTGCTGCAACAGGATAACGCTCGATATCAGTAATTTTTTCGTTTAGATGTTCAAAAACATACGATTCAATAGCACCTTAACATTAAAGACAGTAGAGTCAAATTATTCGTCCTTCTGAATTTTACATGTGTATAATCTACTTTTAAAATTTTTTCTGTCAACCTGGCTGTTTTTTCATATTGTGGGCTCAGTTTTGGTGGCTGGTCTGACCTGTCAAATAAAACAATATCCGCGGCTACCTTACATTTAAACATTTATAAGATATTTCATATCTTTTCATTGTCAATAGACATATTATCTTACGGGCTTCCGCTTGTGCTCATATTCGATGAAGTTGTATTAAGCCTTTTAACTACATTGTTTGCTTTTTGTGGAAAATGATTTTTGTTAACATTTACATGTCATTCTTGTGCAGGATGTTAAAATTACATACGCATTATGGTTTGAATTGAATGGTCCTAAAACATTTTAGTGTGTACAGAACGAATCAGAATATGAAGTAATCTTATTTTATTCTCTCCTGGTTTGGAGCTAGAAGCAAGATAATGTTCATTTATGGAAAGTGTCAACGTTTCCTGATTCGGTTTTATCACGGATCAGTACAGGTTTTAACTCGACAGCAACGACGGTTGTTCTAGAGTGTACCTTTATGTTGGTGAACGTTTCCATGCCAGTTGTGTAATTCAACAACGTCCATTCGAGGTAGTGTCATGGTATGGGATTGCATCTCATTCCGTGGCAGAACAGGTATTCTGGCTGTGGAAGGCACATTTACAGGCATCAGATTTCATGAGAAAATCATCCGGCCTCACGTCCTTCCATTAGTGCAGCAACGTAACACCGCGCTGCAACAGGATAACGCTCGCCCACACATCGCGCGGGTCGTCATCGACTTCATGATCCTGAACAATGTGAATGTGCTTCCTTGGCCTGCAATGTCATCGGATGTGTCGCCAATAGAACACGTGATGGATGAGATGCAGCGTCGCATCACGTCGCCTCCAAAATCAGCCGTTGACGTTACCTGACATGTCACGTGCGCTTGTGAGAATATGGAATTGTATTCCCCAGGCGTCTTTCAGCACAATGTAGGCATCAATAAGGCTTCGTTGTCACGCATTCATCGATTCCAATGGTGGACATACACGGTATTGCTGAGCTGACCTTTGTTTCGAGAACGTCTGTTAAAACTGATTTCTATTCAAGACGGTGCTGGTACAATAACCATATCAACTGAGGTGGTGTTAAATAGATGTAAGATGACACCCTGTTGATTCTGTTTTGTTTACTTACTTATAGTAAATTATACCAATATTCAGTTTATTTAGTATATATTGGTCCTACAATTCAAGAAAAATGATCCACCAAGTCATCATTTATATATTTCTAGTGTGATCTGAGGTGGTATTTCATGCACAAGATTGTGTTTCTTGTGGATTTTTGTTGTTGTTTTTTTTAAAGAATTCTGAGGTATACGCAAGAGAAGTAGCCCAAATTGTTGACGATAAAATTTAACCACGTCTTCGCAAAATGTGATCCACACGTCGTATCTAAGTGCTTCACTTTTGGATATAGTTACAACTATTGGTGACAAACCAATGCACAAAAGTCTATGGTAACACGTAGAAACATACGTTACGTTGAGTCGTGCCATGCCTCCGGTCAAACATGAGTTTCAAACACCCTGAAATCAAACGGCAAAAACTATGATAGAAAGAAGAAATTCTAAATTAGACTTTTCAACCTGAAACAACAGCAACATGTAAAACTAGAGGATTATAGAGAAGTTCTATGGTTGTCGCAACGATCTCACGTGGAACTCCATAAACATATAACCATATATAAGTTTATGATATATGAAATTGATCGGTATGATGCTAGTCTCACTGGTAGATTATTCTAATCACTGAACAGTTATTTACATGGATTACCAAAGCTTTTCATGACGGGTTTTCGTCGATGAAGCAGCCTTTCTCATGGGTCTCCGTCTCTCTGTGTATATTTCTTTTCTTCATATTTGGTGATGAAATGTATGAAACGGGGTATTTTTCTCTTTAAACTTTTACTTTAATATAAATTTGTAAGAAATGATAACACCGTGTCCTGATGAAAAAAGACGTGTTACATTATCATTTTTATCTATTTACATCTTTATGCTCTTGTAGTATTTATGATATAAAAAACAAGTTAATTTTGTAACCTACCTTCTTTATAAATGTTCACAATGTTACTGTTGCAGCAACTTCAATACTTTGCATTGTATTTTCTACATGTACAATTTGATACTTTCCTCAAAATAATTGTTTGAATGATACCACACATCTTCGCTAGTCAAGGCCACTTAGTTTCACGGCCGAATGCCGTGAAACTAAGTGGCCTTGGCTAGCGAAGATGGAACCACAACACTCATCTCATACTGATTATCTCACATGTCACTTAATGATCACCTGTAATTGTTTACATTATCATAACTTTATACAGTCAGGTGTCCTGGTTTTATTTGTATATCACGGGGTATAACTAATGCTAGTATACACTAAGTAAGTATATCATCTAGAGTGTGGCGGTCCATATCTAAAAATAGATTTGACCACAAGACCAAATGTACTGACGCAGTTGAATGTGTACTTTTGAAAGACGAGATTGAAGCTATGTCATCATCATCATCATCATCACCATCATCATCCGCAGCAGCTGCAGCAGCATCTGTCTTAACATTGAATGATTGTCTTCATTTTATATTTTGTACATCAGTAATTTTTTCGTTTAGATGTTCAAAAACATACGATTCAATAGCACCTTAACATTAAAGACAGTAGAGTCAAATTATTCGTCCTTCTGAATTTTACATGTGTATAATCTACTTTTAATTTTTTTTTCTGTCAATCTGGCTGTTTTTTCATATTGTGGGCTCAGTTTTGGTGGCTGGTCTGACCTGTCAAATAAAACAATATCCGCGGCTAACCTTACATTTAAACATTTATAAGATATTTCATATCTTTTCATTGTCAACAGACATATTATCTTACGGGCTTCCGCTTGTGCTCATATTCCATGAAGTTAAATTAAGTTTTTTAACTACATTGTTTTCTATTTGTGAAAAATGGTTGTGTTAACATTTACATGTCATTCTTGTGCAGGATGTTAAAATTACATACGCATTATGGTTTGAATTGAATGGTCCTAAAACATTTTAGAAAACAGAACGAATCAGAATATGAAGTAATCTTATTTTATTTTCTCCTGGTTTGGAGCTAGAAGCAAGATAATGTTCATTTATGGAAAGTGTCAACGTTTCCTGATTCGGTTTAAGTATATCGGAACTCTCGATATTCTTGCTACGCCAGACTTTAAAAAATAATGCATTAATGATATCCATGATATGTACTTAGTACTGCTGAAGGTCTCGAAATTTTAATTAGATGTCTTTAAAAATTTTGAAATGAAAAAAGAACACAGAATCATTGTAATGATTTAATGAACCTAAATAGCTAAATATGTTTTTTATTGGTCATATTACATTCCCATTTATTCTATACCTATTCCATACGTTAGTACTTATATGGACAGACCAATACACAGGCTTACACGCTCTACTTAACACATTTGCGACACAAACACCACCCACATCCGATGTACATAATTCTTGACCAACGAAGAAAAATATGTTCAACTGGACAAATATGTTTATGACCAAATAGGGTATTTGTTTATTGGTCGAAAAGTGACTGATAAAGCACTTTGAGAAATGAATAAAATGCAATGATCGTCATATTTACATGTTGACAATTGAAGTTGGTACAATACATTTATATATAATAGAGAATTCTTATAGAAACTATCTCAATTTTATACTGTTGTCTCCAAACATTAGCACACGAAGTACTTTTTACATGTTTTGATATTCATCAAAGATTTTGTCATTTGTCAGATTTTATACAATGCATTTTATGTCTTAAAAATGCCTTCTTATTTGTTTTTTCTTCAAGATACGATTTGAAAAATGTTGTGACGTAGAAAAGATCGAAATGTTACGCTATGTACGTCACATTGTTCCCAAGGTCGAAGTGACCAGATTGACCATTGTCCGTATTTTAAAGGTCTAACCACATGTGTATATAGCGACGACCACTTTACGCTCCAAGGGAAAGATTATATCCGATATAGATATACACCAATTGACCAAGGATTTGTGTAATTCTTTTTACATAAGAACACTAGTTTGTTGATACATTTGAATAAAAGTGACGTCCACACACACGATTAGATAATATCCTGGTGTTGTTCGTATCATAATAATGATTTTGACTAATATTCTTGTGGATTGTTCAGAATAGTGCCGCAATACTTGTTTACCTACGTCAACGATGAAAACATCCGTGAGACTTGTTTGTCTACGTCTGTCAAAAAACTATAAATACAGATAGAAATGCTGAACGAATTCAAATCGTCAGATGCATGTACTTAATACACATTGGAAATCTTGGACAATTCAACGTATCACAAAGAAAGATCAGCATGGTTGCAGGTGAGTCTTTACAAAACACATCAGTTTTTGGTAATTTTCTACCCATTGTCTTAGAATTACCTTGTGTAAATTGTATAAATTTAACAAAATCTTCGATGCAATGTTAAAATTACAGTTGAGTTACATTATCAAAATATCAGGTAGCTTTTCTTTTTGTTTTAAATTGAGAAAGATAGATATGGAGAAGAAGGGAAATATTAGAGCCTTGATGTCGGAAAAGCAGAAATGACTTACCCGTCCAGAACAAAATATTTAATTTTGAGGTTGCATTCCCTTTTCTAATTTTTATTTAAAACGTCTTTTTCAGATATGCTGCTGATTTTAGCTTTATGCATGACGGCGAGTGCGGATTACTCCGTTCCGGTGGTAGAGAAGGCGGTGTGGGGAGTAGTTCCCAAACAAACTATGCAAGGTGAATGTACCTTCCACATAGGAGAATTTCAAAGGGAAGGAGATTGGCATGTTAATATAACTCTGACCAAGGCAACGCAATCCATTACTGTAAGTTTCCATAAGGACTGAATAACTGGGTTATATTTTGATATTCCAAATTTCTTCAGATAACCTTAATCTCCAACCGTCATTGAAATTAATGAAGGTGTTAGAAATAGATCGATGATTTCTTATTCACAACTGATTGTTTATTCCACATGAGCACTCTGAGAAGATATTATCTAGTGAACTCTAGTGAAATGCCGTATTGATTAAAAGCACCACATGTATATAGTGTTCTTGAAACATTTTGTTTACTATTTCCTAATTTATTTCTTCATTTATTAAATTAACTATCACGTTAAGGTGTCAAATTATACATTCTTTCGGCCTGATATGATTGTCTTAATTTCCCCTCTGGCTTTTAATGTATTCATTACAGTTTTAGGTTATTAACTCATTATTATGTGTAAATTCCAACGTACCAGTGCATTTTTATTTCCATTACGAGCACCAATTTACCAATGATACTCCCGATACTGAGGTATGGTGTGATGGTACGAGTTATCTTGCATTGCTGAACATTCATTTTTTGTTAACATTATAGTTAAAGCATACACAGACACAATGACAACGTAAATGCAGTCTTATCGATAAACCATATGATAAGCATGATTTAATATCCTTCCTCATTGCAGTGGTATATCATGAATGTCACATCACAACATAAAAGAGGGAAGTGGTATTACGGGGAAAACATATATGAACATGGCCCCCAGATAATCAACATGCAGTTCCAAGTACAGTTCAAGTCAAAGCGACCACCAAAGGGAATGTGTGTCACAAATATCCCCTACCCGACCACAGCTCCAACATCTACTTTACATTCAACAACGTCACTTTCTTCATCAACGGTAGATACTTCAACTCAACCATTCTCATCAACAACTGTGATCTCAACAACACAGCAAATCTCAATAATGACCGATGCTTCATCAACCCCAGACACCACAACAACTACAGACGTTACAACAACTCGCCAATCCTCAACAGACGCATCATCAACACAGTCATCAGTAACAACAATGGAGACTTCAACAACACAAACATCAACAACAACAACAAGAAGTACGATGGGTTCTACTGTCGAAATGACGCGACTGACAGAAAACTGGGTGTCAAACGGAAATAATTTTACCAAGTTTAATTGCCGTTTTCCTATCAGCAATACACTTAAGGAATTCAACATCTATATCAACTTAAACGGGCCGTCATCAGGACTGTCTGTGAGTATCAAAACTGAGATTTGTACTGCATTGTTAAATGTATCGGTATATTATCATTTGTACACCCCTTATCCTCTTTAATATGGTCTTTCAAAATTACACTAACTGAAATAAAATCATTACATATATATATATTTATTTAAATATTTAACATTGATATTTATCTCCTTTCAAGATTTGGGTCGGCGCCATTGACTACAGCGATGCCAAAGGCCGGCAGTACAGGATCAAGAACTACAACGAAGAACATCCACCAGCTCTAAGCTTTGATTTCATCGTGAAGTACTCCTCTCCTAACTTTCAATCTGGTTCTTGTTCACTGCATACATCGGGTCATACAATGGCTACCTCTCCAGTCACCACATTAACTACGTCATCCAACCCATCATCGTCATTGTCTACGTCATCATTATCAACAATATCCACCACTGAGTCGTCATTGTCATCCACAACAACAGGACAGAGTTCTACCACTGACGGTAGTAACGTGCAGACTACCACAACACAAGGTCAGTACACTAATAGAAAGGATCGTTATGTATCTATGGCAATCATTATTGTCATTTTGATTATGCTAACAGTAGAAGACATGCTTCTATTTGTACCTTTAAGTTGTTTAACATTTAAACGTTGGTTTACAGACCTGAACACCAAATATGACTACTCAAAAGTATTGGGATACTCGATCTTGTTCTACGAGGCTCAACGATCTGGTGTCCTTCCAGCTAGTAACCGTATACCATACAGAAATGATTCCGCTACAAATGACGGAAGTGACGTAGGATTGGACTTGACAGGAGGATGGTATGACGGTAGGTACATTGGTTTGGGTCCAGGAGTATTTTCACAAAGGCAAACTGAACCTGGGTGGTCGAATGTCGAAGTGGCAATGCATTCGTCTTTCACCTGAACGGGCGTAAATAGGTAAGGGTCACCTGACCGACCACGTGAATTTCCCTGGGTGCTCCGGGTCCCTCCCACAGTATGACAATGGGTCAACAAGCGTGATTAGAAGTTAGTTGATTTGTTTCGCAATTGTTGTAAAACATAAATACATAAAACATAAATGTTTACATAAACAGCTACTTAATAACCTCCTTATTTTCATGCTTATTTGGACGTTTGTCTTCTGATACAGCTGGGGATCACGTGAAATTCAACTTCCCAATGGCGGCCTCTACAACCATTCTGGCATGGGGATTGTCTGAATGGAGAGATTCGTACACGGTTTCAGGGCAGCTCGGACACATGCTTGATTCCATCAAATGGCCACTGGACTACTTCCTAAAGTGCTGGAATGCCTCTTCACAAGAATACTACGCACAGGTGCGTTGCTGATTTAAAACTGAACAAGTACATACTACACTTATTTTATTTTTTAAATTATTACTAACAATTGTATATGCATTGTTATTAAAGGACCTGGGGAGAATCACACAATTGATATGGTTTGTTTTACTCTTAGGTTGGGAACGGCGGACTGGACCATTCATTTTGGGGTCGACCAGAGGAAATGACCATGCAGAGGCCGTCTTATAAAATAAACAAGCTCAGTCCCGGAAGTGACGTAGCAGCAGAAACTGCTGCAGCTTTAGCGATAGGATCTTTAGTTTTCCAGCGTGAAGGAAGTAAGTTAGTCATTTATTATTTCAGGATGTGACGATGAAATTTTCAATACACCTGTACATAAAATAATGGGTTCGACAATGGCACTATTTCTGATCAGGTACATGTATATCTAAGCCCTTTGCTTACATTACAGACAATGACTACGCTAATGAGCTTCTGTCAGCAGCCGAGACACTATATAACTTCGCAAACAACTACAGAGGCAAATACAGCGACGCCATACCGGATGCTAGAAAATATTACGAGTGAGTATGTTCATATATGACAACAGGATCATTCTATTATTAGGAGATCAATTTTATACTTGTTTAGCACCAACAAACAAAACCATTTTTATCAATATAATAATAATTTAGACATATTTAAATTTTCTCAATTGCGTTGCAGATCTTACAATGGTTATGATGACGAACTGTGCTACGCCGCGGCAATGTTATATAAGGCCACGGGAACACCGAGGTACCTCAATGAAGCAGAAGCAATATTTACTCCATCACTAAACAAAAGACCTTGGGCTTTCTCCTGGGACGACAAGACTGTGGGATGTCAGGTATGTAACACATTTATAATGAAGAGCATGTATTTGTGACTTCCTCCAGTTAAAACACCATTTAGATTTGTATGTGTCGTTCCATATAATGATATTTTCTTTCTCTGTAGGTGTTGCTGTATGAAGCTACAGGAAAACCTATTTACAGGGATCTTGTGGCATCGTTCGTGCAATCCTACATGACCGGTAATGACGTCCATCATACTCCAAAAGGTTTGGCATGGCGGGACCAATGGGGTGCTCTCAGGTACTCAGGTATGTTGATTTTCCCGATCCTTATTTGGAGTTAAAATCATATAAAAAGTCGGTATATTCCTTCCCTTACATGTTGCATTGTGCAAATGACAGTTGGTTAAAATTCCGTTGGTGTCAATACATAAGACACACGAGTGAATTACACATTCCTAGTATAAAATCAGAGTTAAATAGAGTAGAGTCAAACAACCCATTGAACTACATAACACAGTTTATATATATATGTAGTAAATTCAGATGTCCCAGTGCTTAATTGAAAGATTGGCATAGCTTGAAAATTCCCAATTGAATTGTTTCAGCGAATTCCGCTTTCATCGCGCTAATGGCAGCCAAGACTGGAATAGCCGATAGCCCCGCTTTAGTGACGTCATTTAGAGACTATGCCCGGAAACAGCTTCATTACATGTTTGGCGAGAACGAGATCAACCGTAGCTACGTAATCGGTTTCGGGAATCATTTTCCAACACAGCCTCATCACAGGTCCAGGTAAGTTGAACTGATGGAGAGACGTTGAATAAAGCAAATTAATTCTTATACTGCATATCAAATATCACACGTCTCCTGATTCTGCAATTAGATGTTTTTAATTATCATTTACATGAAATCTTTCACATGGTTTGTATGTTTTTTAGTTCCTGTGATGATCTGCCAGCTATATGCAACGACAGTAACCAGTATAGGGACAGTCCCAGTCCTCAAATTCTGTACGGCGCTCTTGTGGGCGGTCCAGACAGGAATGGACAATTCATAGACAAGCGCAGTGATTACATTCAGAATGAGGTTGCGTGTGACTACAATGCCGGCTTTCAGTCCCTTGTGGCAGGTAAAGGACCTAATGTCATTTATCATCTCACCTAGACAATGGAATCATCTTAATACCTGTAGTAGTTTATTGTTCAACATTCACCGAACATTGAATTGTAATGATCTTACATATATGGACTATTCGTCCCTGTATTGGTAAGACTCCATTAAGAACTACGTTAGAAGAAATAGGAATATTTTAATTACTTGAGTGTTTTGCTTGGTTGTCTTTTCAAGAAAGGTATCGGTATTTCTTTTCAGGCATTCTGGATCTGGAACTCCCCTGAAATGATACAGAAAATTTGCCATTTACTCTGAGATGTGAAGAAGTATTGTATATTTTGTGATGTTATTGTGATTGTGAACATGACAGCGTGTGTGCCATAGACCCGTGAACATTAAGGATTTCAGAGCGCTAATTCTCCATTGGGTAATATTTGTTTCTTTTCTATTAAATTGTTTTAATTTCTTTATTGCAATAAAATATTACAAACAAATGCGCTGCATTTTGTGTTATATGTTAATATATTCATTGTTTTCTAGGCACTGTTGCCTTCTAACAACAGTGACGCTCTACATAAAGGTTTTACTCACGTACAAACTTTATATATCTTCTCTTGACATCTTCTCTATACTAAAGTGATTAAAGTTGATACATATGTAAATAATACTATCATATTTCAATGTAAACATTGATCAACAACAGATGTACCATTCAGGTTAATTCCTTGGTGATTAACATTGAAATATTACCATTCACTATTAACATTGTACAAAATACATACATGTGAATAGCAGATTTTGATAATTTTGAGTACAACTAAAAAATGGATTAAACTGCTGTTTCGTCCTTCTAGGACTCGTCAATGATAAGAGTTTAAATCAGTCATGGATCAGAGCTTAGACGCATGAAAGGAGGACAAATATATAACATGGAGAAATGAGGCAGGGAAAAAAGTAATGAAAAATGAACTGTAGAATCGTTTGTTACAGTGAGTTCGTTACACTTGTATGTAGTATAATCCAATATCAAGAACAATTAGGAGTTGGTCAGGTGAAGACAGGGCTTTAGGGAGATACAATGTTAAGGATAAAATTATTATTTATCACAATCAGCTTATCCAGTTATTTATCGTCTTACCTATTTACTTTAAATATAGGTTGAATTATTCTGACGCTCTATTCACTACACTATATCTGTCTACAGTTGATGAACATCGGACGATTTCTCGACTTCAGCTCGATATAGAAAGTCTCTATACCGTCAGAATAATTCCTATTACTGTAAATATTGCTGTTTTCGAACTTACGATTTTTATTGGTTTAATACTTAAACCTAGAACCAAAAAAACGTCCTCGATATTCCACGGGTTACGATCACTATTGCTCTGTAAACTTGGATTATGCTATTTTTACTGGTGAACGTAACCATAAATGGCTTTTAGTGTTTGATTAAACCTTTAAGCTAATTAAACAATAGGGGAGATCTATTAGATTTGTTCTCACTAAATTTGGATCGTTGATTTCATAAACAACTTTACGACGGAGGCTTGAACACTAGGTAGCGTCAACCTAGGATTTTAGACACTCGAAAGTTTGCAACACCGCAACAGTGTCTACCCTTGGTGTTTATGCAATGCTGTTGCTGCTTTCATTGGATTCCACCATCCTCCACACGGCTCTCATCATGGCGAACACCTGATCCTATGAAGATATCATAGTAACACTACTATTTACTCCGGCGTTTGTTTACTATAAAAAATATAAATATCCTAAAATCCCGAATTGTTACAAATTGTTTTACATGGTTTTCATACAAACCAGCACAAGAATATTTGCTTTTATATACATTCGTGATTTTGGAAGACATACAAATTTTAAAAAAAAAGACAAAAATGAAAACCCAATCATATGATTCCGTACGGGTAATTTTGATTTCTTTTGTGTATTAATATTCGTTCAGTATTCCTGAATTAAACCAGGATACAACAAATGTACTTAACCTCACATGTAACGTTATCAAACACAGCATCACGTCACAATCTTACCTTAAAGAATAGCAACTAAAATCGGTAACCATATATACAGGATTATCTCCAATGATCACTTGTACCGTCATGAAAAACCATTCCTCTACGTTATGGTATGTGCTTCGTAACAAATATGGTGACCAGATTCAGCATTTGTACTATTCTTCATTTCCGCGATTAACGCTGCCGAATAAAATCACGATGATGTTGCAATTACATGTACTCAGTTGTCGAGCATCCTGATTACATATCTCCTGGTTAATTCTCTCCTGGTTACCTATCTCCTGGTTAATCCTCACCTGGTTACCTATCTCCTGGTTAATTCTCTCCTGGTTACCTATCTCCTGGTTAATTAACTCCTGGTTACCTATCTCCTGGTTAATTCTCTCCTGGTTACATATCTCCTGGTTACATACCTCCTGGTTAATTCTCTCCTGGTTACATGTCTCCTGGTTAATTCTCTCCTGGTTACCTATCTCCTGGTTAATTCTCTCGTGGTTACCTATCTCCTGGTTAATTCTCTCCTGGTTACATATCTCCTGGTTAATTCTCTCCTTGTTACATATCTCCTGGTTAATTCTCTCCTGGTTACCTATCTCCTGGTTAATTCTCTCCTGGTTACCTATCTCCTGGTTAATTCTCTCCTGGTTACCTATCTCCTGGTTACATATCTCCTGGTTACATATCTCCTGGTTACCTATATCCTGGTTACCTATCTCCTGGCTACCTATCTCCTGGTTAATTCTCTCCTGGTTACATATCTCCTGGTTACATATCTCCTGGTTAATTCTCTCCTGGTTACATATCTCCTGGTTACATATCTCCTGGTTAATTCTCTCCTGGTTACATATCTCCTGGTTAATTCTCTCCTGGTTACATATCTCCTGGTTACATATCTCCTGGTTACCTATCTCCTGGTTACATATCTCCTGGTAAATTCTCTCCTGGTTACATATCTCCTGGTTACCTATCTCCTGGTTACCTATCTCCTGGTTACATATCTCCTGGTAAATTCTCTCCTGGTTACATATCTCCTGGTTACATATCTCCTGGTTAATTCTCTCCTGGTTACATATCTCCTGGTTACATATCTCCTGGTTACCTATCTCCTGGTTAATTCTCTCCTGGTTACATATCTCCTGGTTAATTATCTCCTGGTTACCTATCTCCTGGTTACCTATCTCCTGGTTACATATCTCCTGGTTACCTATCTCCTGGTTAATTCTCTCCTGGTTACCTATCTCCTGGTTAATTCTCTCCTGGTTACATATCTCCTGGTTACCTATCTCCTGGTTACATATCTCCTGGTAAATTCTCTCCTGGTTACATGTCTCCTGGTTAATTATACACAATGACACTTCCTCTCTTAACAACTTGAACATAATTGCACACAAAAGATTTTGATTGACAAAGAACCATAACTCATCTTTGACAGTTGAACTGGCCATTAAAAGTACTCTCAAATTCAGTCACAGACTGACAGTGGTTATCGAAAACACTTTTACTGAACGAAGGGAGCTAACTGTGTAAGTCTAAGATAAAATGTTTTTGTGTACGAAACATCTGTCTCATTGACACAGTCTTGTAGTAACGATATTTAAAACACTGAACAATATATCTACACGGAATTAAGGGGAAATCAATGACATATCCCTGGTAAAGAACATTAACAATCTTGCATAAAAGCAGGCGATATACTTGTCGATGATTAGCAAATGTACGAAAGTAAAATTTGCGAAGAAATCTTTTAGTCCAAGTCAAATCCCTATTCGTTCTATTTTCACAACATCAGCCTTGTACATCAAAGAAACCAAAAACGTCTACTAACCTGTTAAACAATCATGAATTATTTTCACAACATCAGCCTTGTACACCAAAGAAACCAAAATCCTCCACTAACCTGTTAAACAATCATGAATTATTTTCACATCTATCTTGTACACCACAAAAACGTCTACTAACCTGTTAAACAATCATGATGAGTCTATATTCACATGTACTGTTAGTAATTATCAGGTGCCTGTGGCACATCAGGTCCATATTTAACTCAGCTGTGACTAATTCTCATGATACAGACCAGAATAGGTCCATATTCACCTAGCCTGTAACAAATTATTGCCCTTGTGTATGCACATCTCCAGAACACTGACATTCGTCAGTGAGACGATACTTGGCAAACGGGAGGAGTCGCGGAGACGGAAAACCTGTAACAAGCTAACTATAATGTCCTTGTGACAGAGGCAAGTTTATTTTAGTCAACAATACAAGATCGTCTCTTTGTTAGCCATGAGGAAATTTGACCGGTCAAGTAATATATATATCTTTACCAGTATTTCTGGCGTAGTGTCGCAAAGTTTTTTTCCCATAGCATTTTGTCCATGTATGTTAAATATCAAATGCAGGAGGGACAGGTGCCACTTAATTAGAATTGTTAAATTTACCTGCGGTCAATATCGTCTGGATATCGGTTCCGGGCCGTTGTGTATTTCGGAACGACCATTTTGTCAAGCGATATCACATGAACTATTGACCTGCGTTGCATCGCGTTCTGATAATTTTGGTAGCTGTTACATGCCAAGATTCCAGAAAAAAGAAAATATTGTTAGTTAAACAATTCACTAAAAATATTATGAGTATATATTCATTGGTAAATTTGTGTATTTTTTTCTTTATACAAAGTTTTAAGTGTGAAACAACCTCTCAAATATGATGAAATAACCTATTAATCAATCCTCGGATGTCGGCGTTTTATTGTCGTCTGTCAAGTGAATAAAAATCAGCCATGGATAATAGGCCACTTCTGTTTGCAAATTTTTGGCTACAGAATCCAAACATGTATGCCTTATATTGAAAAGTGGTGATATTAAAATCATTACGTTTGATGCCTCATTTCAGATTTGATTTAAGTAGCAAGTTGTATGGCGAGAGATGAATAAATGAGTTTCATGGATGGATGGAGAGGAAGAAAAGTTCCTTTGTATCCATAAAAAAACTTATATAAATGTTTAATTAATAAACTTGAACCCATAAGTGTTAACACTTAATCAACAGATAGTATTTACAGGTAAAAGCATTGGCCTTCTGTCTACTCGAGAATTTCTTTATCGTAACGTTAGTAGTCTTAAGACCGTTTTTGAAACTGTTAAGATCGCAATATAGTTCTAGGTTATCTGAAAGGTGTTGGTCTGTGTTATAGACTATGACTTGCAATTTTTAGCATTGTCTTTTACCTTTAGTTTGTTTGATGTTATTTCCTTTTGGATTGCTGTGTGTTTTACCGGGTGATGGCCTTAATTACCTTTTAGGTGTTGACGGGCCGTTAAGATTGAAATAATAATAAAAATAACAATAATAATGATAGTATCAAAGTAGAAAGTCTAAGAGTTTAATTCTTAAAATTTTCGGTGGGCGAGTTGTCGAACCTGGAGACTATTTGACCATATTCAAAATAATATCACATATATATACATTTGTTTTGTGCATTTAACTGGTGACTTTTGTCAAATTAAATTTTATTGTATCTACACATACATTTGTTATTTTTTCACAATAAATTTTCTTATTCTAAATCAAGCAATTCTTCATTTAGAGTGTGGCCGAGATGTACCGGTAGACAACTTTCCTCCGAGTGTGACATGCAATTATTTTCGTTGCAATCACATGTATGCTCAGTGTCTACAGTGCAAGACATACTGAGATTGATATAAAACATTTTTGATATTTTAGTCACCATCTTCCATACAACAACTTAGAGTGGATTTTTGTCCCTTATAGATATATATAGATATGTCCCGTCTATCGGCCGAAGGGATTATCGGGACATCTAAAATTACACCACCGCTCTCGATTTAGATTTGTAACTTTGTATTTGTTTTATGTTCGATGTATGTGATGTAATTTATGTAATGTTTGTGTTTTGATAAAGGGGCAGGTTGCCTTGAGAATTTGAAAAATTAAAAATCTGTTCCAGTAATACGCATCCAACGAAGGGTTCAGTACTGAACCATACCGTCTTTTTACATTTAGCGAAACACTGAACATTCCGGTAATGGGATATGGGGTCGGAAGTAAAGATGATTATTGCTTGGGTTCAATGAAAATTAAATTTATCTTCTTGTTATCAATATATTTTACAAAAGCACCAGATAAAATATGTATTACAATTGTGCATAAGAATCTCATCACATAAGTGAATCCGACTGCCGTAGCCTAAAGGTGAAAAAAGTGGAGTCTAGTAGGCGATTTCGGATGAAAAAAAAACAAACAAAATCGGCACACATCAATGCTAAACTATAAATAGGAAGGTGCATTGAACCAATATTTGAATCATTTCCATACTGACACAATGAAACAGAATACAATGTATTTCGTAATATTGGGAACAAACAACAGAGTATATAAAATCAATTTCTAGATTCAAAATGTTGAGGAAAAAAGATATTAGGGTTTGATGTTATTAATCAGTTAGGATCGAGGTGAGCGATATTGAATGACTTGCCAAAATTAGCACGGCCTTTATTATGTATTTCAGGGTTTCAGGTTAAGTGTACAACATACGTTTACGTACATCATTGTATAACTTAAAGGATGAAATAAAAGTAGTCTAGTGAAGACGCTGTGTACGCGTACGATGGAATCTGACCTATCTGTACCTGCTGAAACACAGATAACTACATATGATAACAAACGTGGAATAGATTTAATTACACCTGTTTATGATCACCTTTATATAACGTTGGTTTCACAATTATATGAATATATATATATGATTTCTCAAATATCCCGATGGTAAATATTGATACATTGAATTGATATACTCAGAAACAAGCATACCGGTTCTGTACAGTAAAAGGACGTGGTATATCTAGATCATACATTTAATTGATGTCTCGTTCCAAACCCTAAGCATTAATTATAAATGTGTACAAATAAATTTGAATCGAATTAAAAATATCAACTCACAAACTTGTAGGTAAACCGAGTAACATACAAACAACATCACCAATAATTTACATATTTGAAAACAATGGACGCAAAAATATTAGCTAAAACGTTTACTATAATTTCCCAATAGAAGTGTTTTTTTAGTAGCTATGATATCTAAGGTTGATAACGTATTTTGTCTGCGATTTAATTGTCACAAGATGGTAAAAATTGGTGGGTAGTTTCAACATAAGTGACCTATCATCCTTAAATATGTTGTGTGCTATTACTATACTTCAATCTTAATCGTGTATGTAAAATCTGAAGATGTCTACTTTCAATGTTAAAATATTAAGGAATTATTCCTTTGTCTTTTTATAAGAACTTTTTAATCATACTGTCGGACGAATATTCACGAAACGTTACATGTAATGTATTCAATAATTGTAATGATTAATTTAAAAACGAGTCTTTGTAAAATTATTTGAATTCCTTAGTGTGAATGACCGATACTTAACCGTTGATTACATTTGACATAGATGTATTTTTCTTGTGATATATTTGTGAAACTGTATTTTTCCCTTCTTTTTTCCGTCTTAAGATAGTTTTTTCCAACCCACATTTTTTATACAATAAACATACACTTGATGATTATGTAGCACCTGTGACTCCTATCGGGATATTTTTCCAGATTTTGACTTAAATGGTTTAGTAAATTATCCAACTACTTTCTAAATTTCCAACAGGTCTTGGTGACTCATTTTTCAATGCATAATCAACGCTTTTTAGTTTACACCTTCGGTAAATCATCTATTGTCTCAGCCTATTTTAGTATTTAGCCTGAGTGAGATATACAGCAAATAACAGGTAAATAACACGCTCTGTGTCTGGTCATGACACCAGACAAAACCCATGTTCATGTACCCTCTGTATGGCATGGAAGGATGTCAGCACGTGCTGTTGACATTGTGTTGCTATTTGACAAATGAGACAATTTATCAGCAGCATAAAAGAGCGATCCCGGCATTCGAGCATGCTGCCAATAGCCAAGATTACTTGAGTTCGGTGTAAGGGGGGAACTAAATTACCACCCTAAAGTGTATAGTACCGTTCAGATATTTTTTGTCAAATTACGTTTCCTACGTCCTCTCCTAATATCAAGATAAGGAATTTAGAATAACAATAGAACAACTAATAAAACAAAAAACAAACGTGACTAAGACTTAATTAGTGAAGTGGTAAATCTGTAATATGAAATTTAGTTCCGCCACTTCACATGTGGACTGACACCGGGGATTCTGATCACCTTGTGAAACTTTCTCTATAAGCTGTCAACAGAGCTAATAACGTGAGTGACAGGTAACGTAACTTTTATGTGTTATACCATGCAAATTATCTAATATGAAGACACTCCGTGTTAATTAATAAGTAAGATTCATGAATATTCTATTTAGTTATTGTTTCCAACAGGCTCACAGTCACAGGGGCACGAGCACATGGGTCTGACATTTTGTCAATAACTTTCTTTCTAAAGCTAGTAAATGCACATTTCATACATATTTCGTGTTTGTAATGCGAGACATTACATTACATTCAATTACAAAACCTTTAATGTTAGTCATTGTAGAGGTATTTTGATTTATCACAGGTATGTTTAGCATCAATGCCAACTGTTAGTTGTTGATTTGTGGTTAAGTCAAGCAACTTTAAATTTGCAAAGCATGTTACCAAAGAATTTTTGACCAAGAGCAGTAAAACTTGAGAGGTTAATTAAAGTCTTCAGCAAAATGTTACTTATACAAACATATCATAGATAGCTTTCTATACAGTATTAGTTTACAAAATACATCTGAAAGAATGCCGGAATGAACATGGTTATCTCTGTTTTCACATTACTCAGAGATAAAGACAGGTAGGTACCTTAATATCAATCAAATGCAAAGATACTCTACAACTTGTGATTCAACTGCTGATGTTGAGAATGAAGATAATTTCATTTTGATATATGATGCCTACAAAAACTGAAGACAACATTATATCAAAACTTACTGCCTTGTGTGAAAAATACCTAGGAATTATTTCAACTAGGTAAATTTATTATAAGTTGAATATGTTAAGGAAATGATTTCTAACTCCATTCTTCTCTTTCTTTGTCTTGTTTCTTGTATTCCCCTAACAGAGGTCATTATTTATTTCAATGCCTCCGCTAGGAATCAAATCCACGACCCCTGGCTTACTAGTCTGACGCTTAACCATTCGAGCTAAAGAGAAGAACTCTTTAGCCGAGCGGTATATTGCGGCAAGTATTTACCAGGATTACATACTCCACCTCTAGGAAATAACTCATCCTTGAGTGTCCAGAGGTTACTGTGGAACTTAAGAAAATAATGCTAAGTGTTATTTCTTGAGTCCCTACATGGGGACCAATGTAACAGAGGTCATTATTTATTTCAATGCCTCTGCTAGGATTTGAACCAGGGACCTTTTGACGTACTAGTCTGACAAGAAACCAATCGAGCTAAAGAGAATTTCTCACCAGCCGAGCGGTATTTATTGTGGCTAGTGTTTACTAGGGTTACGTTCCATGTTTATATTGTACCTTGTATGTGAACTCATGTATGTTGTACGGATGGGCCTTTTAGCAAAAAGTTTATAAAAGGAATGAATGAGTTCTGCGATAACATTGAATAATCGATCATGTTATCCTTTCCTACTTCAAATATTTAACAGCCAGGACAGAACTCTATAAGAAATTATCCAATGGAAATAAAATTCCAATTATTTCCACAAATCAAATTTTAGCAGGGCATCTTCTCTAGAACATAATACTGAAATATATGTAAATAATAGGTTTCTACAACAAAATTTGTCTTAGCATCTTGGACATATACTTTAAGTGGTGTGAGATATTGGAGACTTGGCCCAATGCATACCTAGGATGCTGTATTAGGGATGTAGAAGGCCTCCTCTTCTGATCATCAGAACCCAGTTCTACACTATTTATGTTATAACTAGGTATGATCCCCAGAATACGGAGAGCTGTACAAAGGAGGAATACTGTACTGATCCTCCCATTAATTGGTGCATACTGAGACAACAAGAGGTTTAAGGTCTCCTCTTTTGAGCCCCATCCTCCACATCATATGTAAACACAATATTGCAAATGTGCAACATCACCACGACCTTGCACCGCTAATGTTTCCAGACAGGGTACATCATAACATTAACACAGAGCACTTTGGAAATAGATACAAGCAAGTTATCCCACAGGAGTTCATACCAAAGAAGCATGTAGAGCAGGTGGAGAGTTCCTGGTAAAGTGCTAACACCTCTCATCCTGACTCACCCTATATTCCCTCCAAATATGGCTGCATATGAAGAAGTCAAAATTGACATAGAGTAATGTCATAGGAAAATTCTTACTTGCTTTTTCTAAACATTACTGAATAGAGACATAAACTTTACTTGATTTGCTATTCAAAGAATGGTCTGTAATAGTAGGAATGAGGCCAATGATAACATATGATATATATAATGACGTATGAATGTAATATAATTGTGTAGAAAAAATCGAAAGTGGTATCCTAAATTATCATATTACAATATAAAACATTTCAAGCATACATGTTTTGTCCATAATTTAGCATTTCTCCAAGGATAACAGGAATTAATGCTTACTGATAATGATTAAATTCATGACAGGAGGATGATTACAGGATAGGTTTATACTAACACAGTATATACATGTCCTCTCTTTTCATCATCCATAGGTATCAACTGAGCAGTCTTGTGAATTATAATCTCTAGCAGGATTTCAGATTTTAAAAAGATACAGGAAAAATGTTGCCATAGGTTGTCATAATTTCATCCCACTGTCTGTTCTTCATTTCTCCAATCAAAATTTATTGAAGTTTGCTGTCATTAATTCAACATTATGAACAGTAGTAAGCTTATGGAGATATGAAAGATCTGGGAAAATACACAGTCAGTATTGATTGCCCTTGTGTTTGTAAAGTGTTCAGTGGAAGCTAGTACATGCACTTAAAGGTAGTGATTCAGAGAGGTTTAACGCTAACTTTGAGGTGAACATTTCAACATTTTGAATCGAGAGCTGATTGATTGATACAGGAATTCGAAGAATGAACTGATTTACAGTGAAATTGTTGTCATTGTTATCTGTAGTTTAGTGCTTATTAAGGTAGGAGAATTTACTGATAGTGAATGTGTCATCTATTCAGAATTTATCGGGCTAAATGATTAACCAAGGAAGAACTGCTATATAAAATTATTATTAAACATAATTTATAGAGAGTTGACCAAGTATTGCAGGGAAAAAGAAAAAGTTAGATAGTAATTGAAAGCTGACTTAAGTAGAGAAAATTGAATCAGTGAATTTAAACCTGTCATCATTATAATTAAAATAGACGTAAACCTTGCTGATTGATCCAGGGAGAATAAACAACTCTGATAGTTAAAATTGTCATAATTTTTCATGAATTGAAGGCTGACTTAATAATTTGAGGCAAATGAAGTGATAAGTGAACTTATCATTACTGTTCATCAATTTGAATTGATTAAGAGCTGATCAGTACTGTTACTGTACATGTGTATGCCTGCTTCAGTCCCATTAACACGCAACAAGCCATATGGCCATATGAAGATATAGGAGGGGAAAATCATGATGGACCTGAACCGACATAGAGAAAGAGAATTATATTATTGATCCATACCTTACCAAACCTTGTACAGACGGGCTCTCTTGTGTTTCTCTGCCATTACTTGGAGTTTTATACATGCATTTCCATTTCAGATGGATATAAATTTGACTTTTGTCGCATGTAAGGGTTAAGATGTCAAAGCATGCTGCCTGTCAATTATTCAGATCTGGCAGGATTGGTTATCATACTTAAATATGTATTACACATATGATGGCCCATATATCATGTAGATTATTATTGTAACAAATGTATATGAAACTGAAATGAAAGAAGATTCTATGGATTATCGCATGTTATGTTTTTAATTGCAGTGTAACTGCGAAGACCACTGAAGACAACTCTACTCAAAGATTGGTTGAACACTGCAGTGTACATTATATTGTTGCAATGCCAACTTGGATGTATTTTTAACAGTCAGTTTTTCTGGCATTGATTGCTAAAGGCAATAATCCGACCTAGTTAACACCAAACTACCAGTAAAGAGACATGATGAAATGGTGACTGGATTTGATATTACAAGAATGTTAAAATGTCTCTTCTGTGAAAGTGACATTAAACTTGACCTTGTCTTTTTATTAGCTAGCTGATATATTTTGAGTGGACATCATGATACTTTCATTGGGATATGCGGGTTTGTACCTAGTGCAGTGGCTGGTACAGTGGACGAGAAGAAACATGTTCAGACGAGCCATTTCTAAGGTGATAGGGTCACAAGGTTTAAGTCTCGTGGTTCAGAGGTCACCACAAGGATTAGAAGACCTGCTGAAATCACTGAACATATGTACTTCAACACTGGAAACCCAATGCTTACTGAACCCTAACAGGAAGGCTGTCATTTCATCCTTAATGCCACAGGTAGGTTCAAGATAACAGTTTTCTCAGCTGTGGTCATATAGTCCAGCATTTTTGCTGTCTAATTTATACATGTCTGATAAAGATCAAGGCAAAGCTGGATCAATTTACTAAAAATTTTCTTCTAGTTAAGATAACAATATCAATTTGAAAATCAATTATATTTATAGATACTGTCTCTCTGAAAGTAATTTAATATTTATCATGACATTTAAATTTGAATTGAAATTGATATATAATTCAGCTTTATCTAATTAGTGTTTATATATTGATAATGATAGAAAAAATGATAAAGCCTTTTTACATATATTGTTTAGTTTATTCTGAAGTTTAGTGATTAATAATTTCAAATGTGATTTGTTCTTCAATGTGAGCTTGTAACATTGTAATAATTGGAATTGATGAAATAATGCTTTGAAATGTGTATAAATATCACCAAAAGGACATTTTTTTACACAGATCAATATTGTTAGCATTTGATGTGTCACAGTGATAATTAATATTGTAAATTAATACATTGTCTATCATGCCTTATTGGACATATCTAATCCTTACTCTTCATAATAACATGAAATATCCAACTAATGGTTTGGAAAGTGAATGTTTTTGTGATTAGTATTGTCAAAAGAATATTGCACATTTACAATATAATTAAATGGGAATCATGAGTTTGAAAAAAACACCAGTGATAAAATTTGAATGAGAAAGTTTAAGTTTATTGTTACACAATGATCAATATGACCCTCATTCTCAACAACCTACTGTAAATAATGGAATCCTTCCATTGTCATCTATAGGTGGAAGTGAACCTTTCAGACTGGACATCATACTATGCCATGCAGAAACATTACCATACAGAGGGTGGAGAAGAGAATATTAATGTCTTACTGGAGGCTGTAAGGCCAACAGATCGCAGTAACTTCCTCCAACGGGAGTTCTCTGTTCCAGAACCTCAGAAAATACATGTAAGTTTTCACGATACATTTTTAGGCAATTTGACTTGAAGGCTTTGTCCGTTGTTGTGTGCTGTGCATAGTGTGTAAACTTTTTCTTTAAAACAAGATTTCAACAATCTTTGGCCTGATTCATCAGTTAGGGTAGGCAATAATTTTATTAAATTCAGAAAGTTGATTTGACTCCAAGGGCAGGGCCAAAAAAGGGAAAATTAGACAATATTTTGCCTCAAAACGCTATTATTTTTTAATGCTTGAATGGATTTCAACCAAATTTGGTCTGAATCATCGTTGAGAGTAGAGAATTATTTTCTAAAATCGGAAAGGTAGGCGGGCGGGATGGGCAAGTTAGTTTGTCAATATTTTGCTTTAAAATGCTACCCTTTGTTAATGCTTGAATGGATTTCAACCAAATTTGGTCTGAAACATCATTGAGGATGGGGAGTCATTTCTTAATGACCTCTTCTCAATAACCCAAAGGCCAAGAATGATGACATAAGACCTGTAGCATGATAAGATGAAGAGCTACCAACTTTGTTAATATGAATGACATTTGCTCGCTTTCAAAGTCACAGGTATCATTTGTGTTAAATGTCTAAATGACTTCTTCTCAATAACTGAAAGGACCACGGTGTTGATATTGGACCAGCTTTCAAGGTCAGAGGGTGAAATGTGTTGAAATGCTTTAGCAACTTCTTCTCAATAGCTGAAAGGCCAAGGGGCTTGATATTGAGCCTGTAGATTGCTTTTTCAACAAGCAATATGTCCAGAGTTATGGCAATTGTATAGTGTATGTTTAAAGAATAAGATTTCAAGTTCACAGAAAATGTCTCAATGAACCAAAAATGTCTTCTATGTAAGCTGTAGAGTAGTTAAGCAATTGATTTTAGGCTTATTTTGCCCCTTTCATATATATAGACCTGTCATTATAGTCAGATAACTGTTAAGGCCCATGTCTGTATAAGAAATGTGGATCAATGGTACGCATCATTTGATATGACATTTTGTAAAATTGATCAATATTTCATACCGAACGTGCAAATATATTGAACTACCATGGAAGAGGGCAAAGAGCTGAAAGTACAAAACATTGATTGCTAACCTGTTTAACATAATTTCTGGCATGTTAACTGCTACATTGTGTAGACCTCATAGTGTCAAATGTTCTTTGTACATATATGTAAAAAGTATTGGCAGATGACCCACACTGGTAGATAACCCGCTGCTTATATGATGAAAATCTTGTATGAATCTATCAAACAATACATAAATACACATAGTTACTAATTTACATTATCTATCATTTGATCGTCAGTGATGTAGTCAGCTGTGACCTTGAGCAGGTAAATTGTAACTCAGATTTGTGATAAGGTATATATTTATTAAGACCACATAGTGGAGCCCTTACTGACCTGTCTTAGTTATTACATACCTTATACTGTAAAAGAAAATACACTAATGAATCAAAACATTGGCCATGTTTGTATATAGTGTATGGATGCCCCATGAACAATACAATGTACACTTATTCACCAAATTGACCCAGAAAATGACAAAGCTGGTAATGTTTCAAGGTGAATCTGTTAGGCAAGCTGATCATGTTGATACAAGGACGATGCAACTTTCCTCAGTGATTTTGAGAGATCAGACTTCGAAGAATTGAAGAATTGAAGAAATGAAGAATTGAAGGAGACTGATTCATCTTCAGCATACGTGAACGCACTGACATAAAAATTTTGCTGATGTTGAATTTTTGTACATCATGTGATTCTTATTTATGCTTCATCATGATGTTACATAAAAGATCACACACTATAACACTGTTATATTAAAAAGTTAACAAATAGTTTGCGCAGGCAAATAGCCCGCATAGGGTCTTAAATAATAAAAATTGTAGACAGCGTGTCCGCAATACCTAAAAAGTTATTGTTTCTGGCCAAATTAATTCAGATTATTTTAGAATAACAAAAATATGGAACTCTATAATTAGAATGATAGCAGTTAAAGCTTAAGGTCTCCCTCTTGAAAGAGGGAGCTTCACGAAAAAAAAAGGAGAGAAGAAAAATGATGATAAGAATAAAAGACATATGTATATATATATAGTTAATTTAATGCTTTTAAAGAGATGGCATTCTGCTCATTCAGAAAACAACAAAATCCTGCAAACCATCTTTAATTTGATGCACTTAAACATGTCTAAATATTTGTTATTCTAGGGTTAGTGTTTGTTATGTTGACTGTGATTTGATTTTGTAGCCGATACATGTGATTTATCTTTATTTACAGGTTGCGAGTCATGGTACTGCTCTGGCCTGGAGGACAGGGCCTCCTTTTGGCATCTTGATGCGGTGTTCATTGGAGGAATTGGTTACTCTCTGCTTCGCCTTCTGTGAGGGAGCCTTAACATTAGATGAAGAACTACTTGTTCAAAGGATTGTCAGTAAGTCCTGTGAAATAATTTTAAAATTCAACATTGACATGACATTTTGTATTTAAGGGGTTATGCTCACTATCACTCTCTGTACCCATGGAGCCTTTCCTGGCAAAATTGAAAGTTCCATGTACAACACATTTTGGACAAGATGAGAAGACAAGTTTGATCCTTAGATGTACATCAATTTGCAAAGGAGCATATCAGTCTGAGATTGGTCAGTTTTTAGGCTAAATGTACTCAGTACGCATAGCCTATTGTGACGGCTTTTTAGACAAAATTTACGGATCCTGGCCTTCTCATTGGCTGAAATATCGAAAAGAGTTAGAGCCCTCTAGCGGCAATTTTCTGCGTAAATAATGGCGCGATTTTTCAAATCGCTATTTTAAAAGCATCCAAAATTAGTTTATTTTTTTAAATAACAATTCGATTACTATATATTTCAACAAAGAAGCACAGTGTGGTTGAACTAATGATAAATTTTGAACAATATATTTTACGGGATTCTCGACATGACATAGCGTACAGAACACTGTACGTGCGAGTTGGCACCATGATAAGAAGCTAGTCTGGGGGCTTGGTTTGAATTATCAACTAACAGCACTTATAAACAAACAAAACTTACAAACAGAACATCAATTTTGCTTTAATCCTTGTCGTTGTGGCAAGATCGTCTTAATATATAACATCACTTTACCTCATTAGATGTCACAAAATTGGATTGTTGGTCCTACGCGTACACCCGCCAATATGACACTTTTTCAGGATTTTCACACCCACCGCCATGATACTTTTTCATGTTCTTGAAGATAAAAAGTTTGCGCTTCGTAGGCAAGGTACATTTGGTGCTCATGATTTATGAATGATATATTTTTAATACTGTACTGATCATGATGTTGACTTTGTTATAACTTATATTTTTGCCTTTTAGTTTTATTTGATGAAGGTTGATTGTGCTGATTTCTCAAGGTTTGTTAATGTGTATCAAAGTTCCTTGAAATGAAAATATTCCTTCAAACAAAGTGCATATAAAAAAAAACCAAAATATTTATGTTTATAATTGTCAATTAACTAAAACGAAATATTTCCATAACATATTTATTCATTTAGCGTGTCATGGTGACATTATCTAATGCATTGGAGATCAGAAATAGTAGTAGCTATAGTGAAAATATCGTAAATTTTGCATATATATGGAAGTCTGGTTTAATCTCATAGAACTATGCCTTTACAGACATAATTACTGGAAGAAAAGTCTAACCATGATACTTCAAGGAAGATAGGCATGTAAATACATTTAATGTAATTACTTACACTTTTATCTATCTGAAATGCTGTGTATACCTTGTCTACTTTCCTCAACTACAAATATAATTATAATAAGTAAGGACTATTACTTTGCAATACATTCAAAATAAAGAAGTATGTATAAAGTCCTTTCGATATGTCTAAATCTCATATCGATAGGATAGTAAATGCAACATCTTGGGTATTTCAAAGGTTTCATTTAGTCAACTTCATCATAGAGCTATTTATCATTTGGCTTGTTGGTGATAAATATATGGTTGTGTGTATTTTGTTATTTTTTTTTTTTTTTACCTATTTTGATTTATTCACATTATTGTCGTCATATCTGAAATAGGAATTAAAGAAGATATAAAATCGCTTAAAATTAAGAAAAATAGCCTCTGGTTCTCTTATTTTAGTAATTTTTGCATTCCAAAGTGTAGGAGTATGGGGAAAGTAATATAGCTTAGCGGTTATTTGTGAACATTTTGCAATATGTTATCCTCTCAGTACTTTCATTTCTTCCTGAAACCTGCCCTTCATCAATCAAACTACTTCACTTGTATTTCAATTTTGCCAGGAAATGTTCCAGGAGTGCAGAAAGCGAAAATGTGAGCCTAATCTAAGGAGTATAAAGGATGGACAGTTTTATGAAAAAATATAGCTTAAACATATAGTGCTCGCATGACAATTCTGTCTAGTAGTGTAATCACATTTGTATGACAACTTTCGTTATCATGATATTTAACATCACATGACCTCGCCTCTCGAAGAGAGGGAGAGATAATGTTAACATCATCATTGGTTTCTAGTTAAGATTATAGTGCAGGTGCCATTGCCTCCTGTTCAATTCAAATCAACCTCTTCACTTTAGTAGCTTCAATTCTGAAGAGATTTTAATGAAATTGTATAGATTTCAAAGATGAACACAGAAAACTCTGTTTTGGATTAGTGTAGATATCAGGTTTCCAAGTCAAGGTAATTTACTTTTTATCATTACTTGTTAACCAATTTGGTAGCATCACTTTATATAGTACAATAGGAAGAAATCCGGTGAAAGTTGAAGCTGAAATTAGCCTCTGTGCTTAAAGAGCATTAATGGTACCAATCTCTGGTCTGTTACTATCTCTTTCTTCAAACATATTCAATGTACAGTTACTCAGATAGCTGTTGTTTCCTGAATGCTTTGTTATAAAATATTTATACGTGCAGCAGTGACATGCTCAGACCTAAATGTAAGTTTATACCTACGCTGCTTAAGAGGTATATCATTGATTTTCTAACTGAAAAATGGATTATATGCCCCAATAGACACAATATTCTTCATTCACATACATCTTACTTATAACACATTTTCATCAGTGTGTAGACAGAGAGTCTCTAGGCTTGTGTTGAGAGTTGGAGTCATTCAGATATGAAGAAAACACCATTCTGTATGTATCTAACTATCTGATGTAAATGTACACGCAAATATTCTGTTCTTAACAATTAGGCAAATGTACAATTCAAAAGATCTTTGTGCATGATGATGGACAACGTAAATAGATTGAAATTTTATCCTGCATTAATGCCTTTTGAATATAAACTTTATTTTAAAACATTTGCACAACAAGTTATTGCATCTAGCTCTAATCTCTCTTGTTGGCCCAGATGTAAGCATGTTGGGGGTCTCACTATGGTAGGAAACTGGAGTACACAGGGAAAACCCATGTTGTTGGACAGGTGACCACTTCCTTGTCTTGTCAGTCCATGGGAATCAAACCCTGGATGGCTAGGTGAAAGGTGGCTGCAATACTACTGCACCACCTCACCACTGATGAATGACTTAATGAACCTGGGATCTATAAATACTTATAGATCTATTGATTTGGTTGATTGACCAGGTGTTACTGGATAATTATTCAGGTCATTTTGCAAAGTTTGAATAAGAGATGACATAAAAACAATAGCAATTTTATCTTTCCTACGCAACCTTAGAGGATGGATGTTGAATTTCTATGATCCGTAAACTGATCTGTAAAGGGATGGATATTGAACAGTTGTCCATGTTTGGTACATGTGTCCTGTAGAGGGATGGATGTTGACATGTGAATAGTTGTCCATGTTCAGTACATGTATCCTGTAGAGAGATGGATGTTGACTTGTGGACATTTGTCAATGTTCAGTACATGTGTCCTGTAGAGGGATGGATATTGACATGTGAATAGTTGTCAATGTTCAGTACATGTGTCCTGTAGAGGGATGGATATTGACATGTGAATAGTTGTCAATATTCAGTACATGTGTCCTAAAGAGGGATGGATGTTGACATGTGAACATTTGTCAAAGTTCAGTACATGTGTCCTGTAGAGGGATGGATATTGACATGTGAATAGTTGTCAATGTTCAGTACATGTGTCATGTAGAGGGATGGATGTTGACATGTGAACATTTGTCAATGATCAGTACATGTATCCTGTAGAGGGATGGATGTTGACTTGTGAACATTTGTCAATGTTCAGTACATGTGTCCTGTAGAGGGATGGATATTGACATGTGAATAGTTGTCCATGTTCAGTACATGTATCCTGTAGAGAGATGGATGTTGACTTGTGGACATTTGTCAATGTTCAGTACATGTGTCCTGTAGAGGGATGGATATTGACATGTGAATAGTTATCAATGTTCAGTACATGTGTCCTGTAGAGGGATGGATATTGACATGTGAATAGTTGTCAATGTTCAGTACATGTGTCCTAAAGAGGGATGGATGTTGACATGTGAACATTTGTCAATGTTCAGTACATGTGTCCTGTAGAGGGATGGATATTGACATGTGAATAGTTGTCAATGTTCAGTACATGTGTCATGTAGAGGGATGGATGTTGACATGTGAACATTTGTCAATGATCAGTACATGTATCCTGTAGAGGGATGGATGTTGACTTGTGAACATTTGTCAATGTTCAGTACATGTGTCCTGTAGAGGGATGGATATTGACATGTGAATAGTTGTCAATGTTCAGTACATGTGTCCTGTAGAGGGATGGATATTGACATGTGAATAGTTGTCAATGTTCAGTACATGTGTCATGTAGAGGGATGGATGTTGACATGTGAACATTTGTCAATGATCAGTACATGTATCCTGTAGAGGGATGGATGTTGACTTGTGAACATTTGTCAATGTTCAGTACATGTGTCCTGTAGAGGGATGGATATTGACATGTGAATAGTTGTCAATGTTCAGTACATGTGTCCTGTAGAGGGATGGATGTTGACATGTGAATAGTTGTCCATGTTTGGTACATGTGTCCTGTAGAGGGATGGATATTGACATGTGAATAGTTGTCAATGTTCAGTACATGTGTCCTGTAGAGGGATGGATGTTGACATGTGAATAGTTGTCCATGTTTGGTACATGTGTCCTGTAGAGGGATGGATATTGACATGTGAATAGTTGTCAATGTTCAGTACATGTATCCTGTAGAGGGATGGTTGTTGACATGTGAATAGTTGTCAATGATCAGTACATGTATCCTGTAGAGGGATGGATATTGACATGTGAATAGTTGTCAATGTTCAGTACATGTGTCCTGTAGAGGGATGGATATTGACATGTGAATAGTTGTCAATGTTCAGTACATGTGTCCTAAAGAGGGATGGATGTTGACATGTGAATAGTTGTCAATGTTCAGTACATGTGTCCTGTAGAGGGATGGATATTGACATGTGAACATTTG